CAGTGGAGTCATAGCTAAAGGTTAACAAAACAAAAATCATTTGCCTCGACTATCAATCTAGCAGGGAGAAATGTGAAAATTATTTATTTCGAATGAGCCAAATGCAGGTTAATGGGGCCTTGAGTCAATATGTTAAAATATTTGTTTCATGTACTTAGTTGAGTTATCCCTGGGCAAAACCTATTCTAAAAATAAGCACCACATGGCCAATACTCATGATGACGCTGATGAGGACGGCTATGACAATGGTAATGGATACAAAGTACATAGCTGCCAAAATGTTTTCGGAGGCCTGGGGCAGAATGACAAATGAGGCCCGATCTGAGGGCCCATTCTTGGCCTCTCTCTGAGGCCCATTATTGTTTTTATGAGGACCCCCCCCTAAGATCTGAGGCCATGGACAAACAACCCAATCTGCCTTCCCCTCTCTGTGGCCCTGTCAAAGCACAACGACAAAACAAAAAAATGCGTTATTTGGACAGAAGTGGTGATGGCGGATGGCAAGTGTAAGCACCTTGTATCCGAGAGCTGTAAAAATGGAAAGGCCGAAGGCGATAGGGAGGTGTATACGCAGCCGCTTGCCCAGATGACCACGCATCTGAGGCTTGGCCAGTCTTGCCACGATGCCCGACATCTTGCACTGCAGCATAAGAAGCCCCGAGGGGGAATTACGTTAAAAGGAAGCAAACGCGCACGACACAACCACTCAAAGCCAGGCACTCGCCCCAGAATATTGGGTATGCTGCAGAAGCTCCCTGAAAATAAACAACACTCAACAAACATAAAACAAAAACACGTCCAGCTGAAACAACGTTGACATGCTAATCAAGCTGCTGTCATTCGACACGAGAGAGGCTCTAGACCACAGGTTCTACTTACGTGGTCTGCCAGTGGTGAGCTTGCACTCTCTCGTTTGTGGACATTTCTTAAATAAATTAGTTGAGTAATTAATCTTATTTAACAAGAAATATACATATAATGCAGCCATTGCTCACGCTACTGCTAGAATGGCCTCGACTCGAGGGTGCTCTGGAAAGGGTATTTAACCCACACAACCGCATCTGGCTAAAAAATATACCAGAATTCGTAATCGCGGGGATGCGCATTGTATATTTGGCGCAATAATGTTTTGTTTAAAGTAAAATGACACACACACACGTACATCTCACCCATATATGGACTCTTTTTGCCTGCATTGCGGATTTACAGCACTTGATAGCAGTGCATACTAATGATGAACACTGCCTTATAAACAACATACCACTAATCAGAAGACCTCTACTTTTCCGCTACTCGGAAGACTCGGTGCCTTCCACGTTAGTCTGCAATATACAGCAAGAGACCATTCAACGCATAACGATGCAATGTCCGATCCACAAATACGATGGAGTCATCGCAGCGATCCACTCCGCTGCTCCTGACGCGGTTATTTGGCTTGACCACCTGAATGTGAAATTGAGGTTGTAGATCTGCATCTACATCGGCCATACGAAAAATGTCATAGAAAGCAAATTTTGTAAAACCAATGACTCAGTGTCTTCCCAGTTGGCTTCCTTCATCAATTAAATTCTGCCGAATCATGTAGAAAGTGATTGAGAAATTACTACGATGGATTCAATTACATTTAATATACATCTCACTCAATGAGCAGCTGGGAACATTAAGTTAATTTCGCTCCAACTCTTGAATCATAATAAGGGGGGGTCCCCCCAAAGAGTTTTATGCTAAAGGTTATTTAAAAACCATAGAGCACAATCGGGCGACATTTCTTTTTTGTAACTAACGCTTTTCAGTCATTTTGTCAATCCACTGCTAGATGAAGCCCTCCTCCTCCCTTGGGTCATTGGACCATGCTTCACGTTGAGGTTGGTGAATGTGGGTGACCCAGGACTGCTTCAGAGACTGTTTGGTTCTTTAGGTAAAGTCACGTAGATGAAAAATAAAAAAATATTTAAAAAATGAAAAAAACTAAATTAAATCACGACGTGACTTTACCGAAAGAACCAAAGAGTATGGATCCTTGCAGTCACGAAAACTTCTAATCTAGAATGCTTCCGAGACATCACCCGCTACTTGTATTATAGCCGTGAGGAGGAACCGCGAACTCCGAGGGGCTGGGTTCATCACCGTCAGTGGTGAACACGTTCAGCTTTCGGTGCTACAATGACGCACTGTTTCGGACCCTGCATATTATATAGCGTCCGAATACATGACTGTCGTATTTGTTGCAAAAATACATGTTTCATTGCACGTGTTCTTATTTAAATTTACAGCTCAGAAGCCACTTAAGATATGCGCCGGCCGCCGAGATCTTAAATCAGGCCTTAGGATGACCTTCACTCGCGTCTGCCTATTCGCAAATCACCCTTCCTAAATTAACCACCGCACGCAGATAAAGGTCGAGCTTTTCCAACAACATCGTGTCCATCAGCTTGTGGAAAATACTGAACAAATTCCAGCAGAGTAGTCTGTAAGTAGCTAGTTCTGTTTCATGAATATCACGTTGGAACTGTACGAGTTTACGCATCGCTGGTAAGGAATTTAATCTACAGTGTTCAGTGACTATTGCTAAAAGCCAGCGGCGTTATTCGTCCTGAATTGAACATTAGCCCGCCAGTAAACGTAGCCCGTAAAGGTGGTGTTCAACCCCCTTTTAAAGAGCCGTTCGCTCGGCCCGAGATCCTCTCGACCTCCGGGGTTGGTCGCTCAGGAAAGTCCGTAGGCGTCGCGTGCGTCGACTAGGCCCGAACGTATTTCATTCATTCGACAACTTAATAAAGCTCCAATGTTGTTCCTAAAGCAGTGGCGTTTACGAATAAGACATTCTAAAGCGTTAAAAGCACCAATAAATGAGTACTTACGGTGTTTGTTTAAAGCGGTGAGGAAACGCGGAACTTGGTGTCACGATCGGCTCAAGGTTAGAACGTCAGGCCGAGCTTCCAATAGAAGACGCGTTCCGATTGGCTGCTCGACCAATTAATAAGACCCTCTCTGATTGGGGGAGTGTGAAGGCACGTGGGCACGAAATGCCGTTTCTGATTGGCTACGAAAGGTGAAGGTCGGCGGCTCGACCAATGAGCGCTCCCCAAGAGGGAGATTTGGAATGTATCGATTGTAGACTTTTTGGGAATCGATTCTCATTTCAGAATGCGGGAATACAATTGTGAGTTAGAATATCTGGCGGTACACGTGTTTAAATTGACTTACAATAGAAAAACATATTTTTTTACATGGATAAATAAACTAATTTAAATAGGAAATCGATTTTTTTTATCTAAAGATTGATCGTTAAGGATGGATCGATGGATTGAAAACGCTTTCGCAATAACGACGATGCGTAAACGTGGGCCGGAGTAACGGAGCGCTGCCCGGAAAGCGACGGGGTTAAGGTTTTTTTTAACTTAATTTAGCAATTGTTTGTTTTATGCAGCACGAACTTATCTGTGCCGATTTGTTTAGTAGAAAGGTTGAGTCTTTTCAACGGTTTTATTTGGATGTCAATTCTACAAACAGCCCCTTTAACGTACCATGAGCCCCCACATACAGCATATTTTCGCAATTTGTGTTAGAAAAAACTCGAAATTCGTATTTCGCGAAGTTATCCCGGAACACATTGTCCTGCGGAGGGAGCTGGTAGGAACGTTGAGTTGCTCGGTCAATGGCCAGGGTCAACGGCGGCGTGGTGTATTCCGCAAATATGCCCGACTGTGAGGGCGGGCACAAGCCGGCGTGAGTAGGTTAAACGTTGAGTTTTATAAGGACACCACGGGGTGACCAGCCCCTCTCCACCCAGCCCCACCCCTCCCCACCCAGCCCCACCCCTCCCCACCCAGCCCCACCCCTCCCACCCCCCACCCAGCCCCTCCCTGCACTACGGACGGACGGACATGTCACCCACAAATTCTTCCGCGTGTTAATGAATTGCACGACTCCTCTTGACAAAATTCTCAGATTGTGTGGTCTATCCTCCGCGATATTGCCCCCTATATTAACGCAAAGTGATCGATCAAATCTATAAATTACAAGAAAACTAACAAAGATTTGTGCAGGCCGGAAAACATATCTTACAGCACTCAATTATGGACATTACATCTACAAAAGTGCTCAGTTTTGTCCAGCCCACCAGCTCAAAATAACTAAAGGAGGCATTTTTGTCACAACCACCACAAACAGTGTGACCATCGTAACATGCACGCGTGAAACGAAGGCAACTGTAGACCGGTTTTGTTCTTATTCAGTCGAGTACCATCCATCTTCGTCTGCCTCTGGGAGTCGTGGCGAGTACAACTCTGATCGCTGCTACTCAAGAGCAGTGCACAAATCCACTTCACCACTACTCTCCGCCTCTGCTGTCTGTTAACCGTCAGAATATTGTCATACGATCAAATACAATTAGTCGTGTTGATTTGGTGAAGTTTCACGTTTCATGCCCGAATTCCCTCCATCAAATTACAATTGCAGTCTCTCTGCACCTCGCAGCAACTCCGCCGCGATCGATGACAGAGCCTCTTTAGCCTCAATAAGTAATATTAAAAAAAACTTTTTTAAACACGCTTTTATGAAATGTATTAGTAATGGCAGAACTCCATGACTCCAGGAAGTGGCCCCGAAGCTTGCCATAACGTAAGGGACCGTGGCCAATTACAGTCAACGTTAGTTGAGCGTGGACAATTAGACCCAAGCCGAAACATAACATCTAAAAAAATGTTTAAAAATATATTTTGTATGATAGAATAAGTATACCAAGTTTGCAGTCGATACCACATTGGGAAGTGGGTTACAATTGAGTTACAAGATTTGAGGAAACGACAACAGCGAGTTAAAAGAAAGTGTGTAAAATAAAAAGGGGAGAGTTGAGTTCTCGTTGCATTAATCAAGTGTTTTTTCGACGGCACTATCAGATGCATTTTAACACCATACCCGGACAATAAGTACGATAAGGATTTAATATTGGAATTTATTTACATTTAATGCACTCGTACAATATAATACATTTTAAAGCACATTTAAAAAATAACATTTTAATCTGTGACAATTAAATTTTAGTCAGTGGCTTGCAACGCGTTCTTTTCAAGGCAAGCTACACTGAAAGTCTTCATTCAAAAATATATTTAAGCAGCAGGCACCCCGCATAGACGACTGTAAACAGGTATCCACTATTCATCACAGCATATTTGCAACCTTGTGTAAAACAGCAAGTGTGCAAGTTGCCGACAGGCATCAGTAACTTTAAAAACGAATCTGTAGTTAAATACGCATTAAGCCCACTTACCACGCACCAGAATATTATAATACAACTTATGTCAGATTTGCATTAAACCATTAAAAAAATTGTATGTACTGTTCGTAAAAGTTCAAGTATATGGCTATTGCATTGTTAAACAGGAAACAATACAGCTGTACGAATACATCTGAAATGTGAGCGTGGGTTAATCTCTTACGCTTAATTTACAAGTCCACACACATCCCATTGTAAACAGCTTAATTCATTCTTACATTGGTATGGTTAATCATTACACGAACCACCAGGGCACAAGCAAATATAAAACACTTTTGCCCCAGAAACATTGTCTCGTCAATTCAGTTGGCAATCATAATAGTACTCAAATTAATTGAATATTTCATAAGGGCATTTAACAGTTAAGGCACAGATGGGTTTTATATTATAAATATGGATCTCAGAAGGCACAGTTGGCAACATTGTTCTACAAACGTGAGACAGCTTCCAGCATTGAAGCTTTGGTCTCTGTAAATCGTTGGAACAAGCAGTCTATAAGATGTTCATGCACTGTTTACTACTGTTGCACACGTGATTGCGTTGACACAGAAAAACAATGTCTCAAATTCTGTCAACCAACCTCAATCCTAGCAAGTGGAACAATAATCTATAATTGCCCAGTGTCTTTCTTCTTGGTAAATCTCTGGGTGGGGATTAAGGCACATGTATCGGAAACAATTTAGTAAAATCCTGGACATGAAAATGGCACGGAAAGCAGAAATCCTAAAAAATAACTAGTCAAGTGATAAGGATTTAATAAAATATACCCCATCTTTAAAAAAAGGGATATAAAAATATATTTATCCAAAATGTCATTCTGGGAGGATAATTGTTATATAGTTAGTGCTTTTTTGGACACAGCCCCGCAAGAATATTATTTTGGCTGCACATTACAGATATATCACACGTACCAAGTTGCACATTTTACACAGTCTAAATAAGTGGCATCACACACTACATGACAACTCTTACCACAACACTGTTCCACAAACAAATGTCTTCAAGACGTAGCATGTAAGAAGAAATATATGAACTGTGTACCCTGCACACGCCTTGCTGGTTGTAAGTTCAGTGCAATTTCATTAGAACACATGATTCGGCAAGCACTGCAAGGACCTTTTTAAAACCTGAGTTTAAGGAGAACAACAACGTGACAAATTAACTGTGACATTAAGTAATACTGAACACCAGGGTTCTTCAACTAAGAAGGCTTTAGAGTGTCCTGCCAAACTATGGCCCAGTAAGAGAGATCTCGCCTAGGCAAAGAGATACAGAACAGCGAGTTGCTAAAGACCTTAACAAGGATGACCTGTAAGCAAGCAATAAAGATTCGTGAGATGATGAACACGATATACAGACAAGAACATTGTAGACAGTCGGTTAATTTAGTTGAAGAATCCTGCTGTATGCCACAGAAAAACAGACATCAAACGAGACCTCTATCTCATTCACCAGTGTCCTTGGAAAAACAATAGAATCAACTTCACTCTACGAGCAGCCATAGTGAATCAAAGCCAGAGAATCGGAGCCGGCAAATTAGAGCCGTTGAAGGTTGCGGCGGCTGCGCCTGCTGCCTGGCAACCCGCTCCCCACTGCTGTGGCTGCGCCACCGTTTGACGGCATGGCGCAGCATTTGCACATGCCACGGTATGCACACAGACAGCGTGTGCAGAAGTCGTATGCGCAGGAGCCATTTGTGCAGAGAGCACGTGTGTGAGAGCGCGTGCAGCGCGCCGGCCAGCTGCAGCGGTGGCACACGCGGAGCTGCTCGTCCTGACACAACTCCCGTGCTGCCTGTGAAAACAAAACAAACAACATTTAATTTCATTCAGACGCTGTCTTTCCGACAAACCTGTTCTTCACCTGAGGACAGCTGCTTGCGTTGTGGCCGAAACATCGTGAGAATTATTTTATGTTTTATTTTTTATTATTGCCCTTCTACGTGACTTTACCGAAAGAACCAAGAAGATGAATCCCTGCAGTCACCAAAGCTTTAAATCGAAATTTAACATTTAAATTATTTTGGGTTCCATCCAAAATCCCCATTGCTCTCCGACGTGTGTTTTCGGCACGATGTCCGACGTTTCATGCCACGTGCTAAGAACATCTTAAGAAATTGTTCTTGAAGCTCCCACCATGGGAAGCAAAACATTGGGGACATCATGCCGAACCACACGTGAAAACGCATCGGAAAGCCAAAGAGCACAACCTAAAAAATAAGCTGCACATTAGTATTAACCTGTTATATCGGGCACACGGTATATATGGCCACATTATATCCAAGACAGACTATATCAGTGTTCTTCATTGCAAGGCTAACGGACCATTGGCAGCCCCCTGGTGGCCTTTAGTGTGGCCCCCGACAATACAAATATGAAAATACCCCATCATGCTTTCAAACACAGTGGTTTCAAATGTGTAACGGCCCTCACACTGATGTCTTATTGGTGAAAGTAGCCGCCCTCTGAAAATTAGTGAACAACACTGGACTATATGATGAGTGGGGTCTCATTCGGTCTCATTTCCCAACTTGCCTTAAAAAAGCGGCTGGCCCTGTCAGCTGGCTCTCTTGCGGCACCACCACTCTTTGTTTCCGTAGCCCCCGGACCCACAGACTTGCTTCCCCGCGATGCGCGATTTTGTCGTTTCAACACCCTGGTTGTAGATAAACTCCCATTCTCTTTCATGTCATGGAGGCAGCGGGACATGCGAGTCTATTAAGCGAAAGAAAGGTGACATAGGGAACATTGGGGATGAAGAACATTGGGATGAAAAAACATTTCAACAAAAACATCCAAAACCCACAATGAGACGTGGTTATGATTATGGTCAGCATGAGAACCAATGCTCTAGTAAGTCTTAACCATTTATAAGTTGGTTTGACCGATTCTACACTGAAATAAAAGGCTTTCGCACGTAGAGAATTTTAGTGTCGAGTTATTAGTGAATCCACTGTGCGTCGAATGATTCACTAATCAAATTTAATACTGTGTTCTTAAATTGTTCATGGAACCCAGATCACACTTGAAAAACGATGCAATTATGTTTCATTTGTCCCAATGGGTAAACGTCTTCTGATTAAAGAAAGGCGATAAGAACACTCGTATGCGTTTTTCCAGTTGTGTTCTTACAACCAGTTTCTTCAACTGTCTAATGTACTTAGAAGGAATGATGACCAGTGGTCTAGACCAACAACAGGGCCACAGCATATCCACAAGGAAGGGCGAAGAGATAATTTAATGTACAGGAGGCTAAATGGATTATTGGCATCGAGAGAACATGATAGACAGCTTGGGAAATCCTTTATCCAGAAGGCGCGAGATCATGGCTAATGATGATAACGAGAGACCAGTATAAGTTGCACCCACCTGCTTGCTGGCCGCACTCTGAATGAGCCAGTGTTTGCGCAGTGTCTTCCTCTCAGCAGTGACGATCTCCTGCCAATGCTTGCTCACCACCAGCACCCTGGTTACAAAGCCAAGAGAGCACACTTCAATCAATTTACACGGTACTTAAAAACATGACAATGTTATGGCAGTTGTACAGCAATGGCATGGAGTGATGGAGTTGTCTAGATAACAGCAGAAAATGGTGCAGCAAATATTCAGGTGAATATTTCAAACAAGAATTCCCTAAAACTACCCAAGTCTATCATGGACAGGAAAACCACATTCAAAGAAAGATTATGGGAACATGAAAGCACTAGCGGAGAGACCGTGAGGCAGGCCTAGAAAAAAAAGGTCGTTTGAAATTGTGAACCAGGATATGAAGGACTGTCAAGTGGACATGAATGAGTGAATAAAGAGATTCAGGACGGCATAATCCACATGATTGGGAAAAATGTTTGGAGTAATGGGAGGATATGGCCTCAAGCAGGCGAAAGTACATTTTCAGAAAGGCTTGGAACAGGAGAGAACAGCAATTGCGATGGTTGAGCTCAAACGTATGTGCAGTTTGCTCACCTGGCGACATCGCGGGCTGGCAGGTGCAGCAGGACCTTTTGAATGACGTGTCGGAGGTCTCGTGCTGCCAGCTGACCGAGAATGTCCACGTGCTCCTCGCCCATTTTGCGGCCGATGAGGTGGACGAGGCGTGCTTTCAGTTCAGGGTTCACGAGCGCCGAGGGGTTCATCATCGCCTGCCTCCCGTGGCTGGGAGTGCTGCATGTGGCGTCGACGTTCAGGCACTTGTGAACGCAGATGGCGAGCTCCCAGGCAAATCTGACGGTGGCACCGAAAATAATGTCAGATGTAATCAAATTGGTGACTGTCATCACCACCATAACTATTACCACAATGCTCACCACCAACAATATCCTCACCACCACCACTTAAAGTAACCAAATTACACAGAATCACCCAAAATGCACCCAATGAAACAAAAAGTCTCCTTCAATCAGACTTTAAATAATTTGTCATACAGCACCGTTTCACCGCCAAAATAATTTCGGTCAATTGCACAAAAAATAAATCGCTAAAAATAACCCAAAAATCACCTGAGGGCAGGCGTGTGCGCCGCATTAGGCACAGGGACACAGTGCGAGCAGACCCTGGCTCCACTTCCGCAGTCGCCACCGCCAACTCCACCAATGCCCGACGATTCGCGAACATGGCTGCACTTGAGCGCGAATCTGGTCAAAACCCGACACGCGCTTCCATCTGTAGCAGCTTCACCCACCGCGGCTACACGCTCAACACCCTCGCTGGCTGTGCTACAGCCTGGAGGAATCCCTTGCAAAGAAGCGCGAGTTAGTCTTCGCGAATGCGAGCGCTTGTTGGAATCTCTTCTGGGGAAAGTGACGTGGTCGTACACGATTAACGAATGTTCGCACATCGGCTCGTGCCCCCTGCCTGCTGCTGCAGATTCAACGTACGGATGCTTTGGGAAGTTGGGGCTAGCTGTGGCGGTCGGTTGCATTTTGGCTGTCTTCTTCGCAGGGCTGACAGGATAATGCCTTAAACTCCGGCGACAACCACGGATGCCCGCACCTGCAGTGTCACATGTTGGCTCAAAGCAATCATCCAATTCCATAAACTTTTCATTTCCTGTGGTCAATTCAGGTTTGTCGTTACTGGAAGAACACGAGGCTTCGCGTGGCAAATAGTCCTCATCCAGCCCTATTCCTGAGTCTCTATCTCTGCTCTGGGACGCTGCTCCAATCTTAGGCATCAATATACTGGCAGAGGAGGATAAAAACACCTCCTCTGTGAAAGGAAAGAGAGCTTCATGGCTGCTTAGTTGTGTACGAGGACCAGAGCTGAGTGTGCTCAGCTCGGAAGTGTCGACAAACAGGATCGGCACTGCAGCAGGCATTGCAAAGGATGCCTCGGGATGTCAGTCTCTCCTTGACCTGCCGTGGTTTCCTCCTCTGAGCAAATCTGTGAAGGTAGAAGGGCAATAAAAACAACAAATTCAGAAATTAATTTTGTACCTGTTTATCAGCTTTAACATCACACGTAATGGAAGGCAAATTGCTTGCTTCATTGATAGCGGATGGTACAATTGTGTTTCGCAAGAGGCTTAAACGAATTAAGAACATTTAGTTTGACTCTTTCCCGACTGAAACCCGTCAAACTTATGTGCGGATATTCTAAAATGTATATTTTTTTAAATACAGACTCTATTATATACAGTACGTGCCAAGTTCAACTTTGTCCCCTCTAGAATATCAGAATGTGTTCCCTCAGTCACGATCGTCCACATCCATGACAGACGAATGGATGCACAACTGCTAATTCTTGTGCTGCTAAACATGACTCAAAATATACTATGGTTGGAGAAATTCTGGGTAAAATAACAACAAAACGACACATTACCTAAATTTAAGTATGTTTTCATTACAGTACCCGTTTGTGAAAGTTACCGTCCAATTGGAGAAGAACCTAAAACGCGACACAAAGGCAGTTTCTTCTCAGCAAGCGCAAACTCGTACATTTCACAACGTTACCATTATTAACCCAACCATCACACGAAACTAGGGAGAATGCAGGCGAGAGATTGCTATTTACCGATATAGAGCTGATATTCGGTGTTTAATCGATAGATTAAACCACCCGCAAAGCAGCAAAGTTAAACGTAAATCCAAATCGCGAAATGGAGGAACAGGCTTGCCGCCTTTACACGGACGAGCCCCCTCTTTTTATTCGTATTTTTTAAAAACAAATACACACTCGCATTCACTCACAGACGGCACAAACGAAAGGTAACAATGTCAGCAATACGTACTAAATACGTAGACATGCTAAAACAATACGCGTTGCTGAATTTTCATTTGATTTCGCGAGCGAAGGCGTCAAGAAAATGAGCGCCTTTTTGTTGTTGACCCGCCAAAAAACCTGGACTGTTCGTCCGTCACGCAGCGCTCACCTCTCCTCCTTTTTATTTAATTCAACACCACGACGCCAAAGTATTCACAGCTTAACGACGGTCACCGAAACGCACATCTCACTTTGTGCACTTAAAAACAACTAAATATCAAGTGTGGTTCACGGTAAGAGGGTTACAAGTGGGAGCGCGGGAGCAGCAGTCAATTTCACAATAGCTAGACATTGAAACCGGTGTCAATGTATATACCTAATCAATTAATGTGCGTTACATTTACAATCAATGTATAATGCATTCAATAATAATGTTTTACCTCACGTTTAATCCACCACGACCAATATTCAACGATCTGCTACTGTATATAATGAAAGAATGTGGCACCAAGGCCGCGAGCAAGCCTTACGTTTATCCTAGCGGCCCTTACCGGTTTCGGGGCGAGGTTTCCCCGGGAAATGTCGGGCTCGAGGGGTCGGTCTCCGAAGTCGACGTAACGAGGCGATCTTTCTGCACAAACTTCTCAACGTGACCCGTGGGGTTGCAAATCATTCGCTGCAGGCCATTGATTTAAGTTAAAAAAATAACCCCTCAAGTGTTGGAAGATAATTCAACACCGGGCAAGCCCAGAGCACAGCTGCGCGCGGGAGAAATCCGCGGGCAACTCGGAGCCTTTTAAATTTGGAGCCCTCTGAAGCCGCGACTCCGCCTCCAAGCCCCGCAGGCGCGTGACGTCACAAGCGGCGTATCGGCGCCATCTTGGATAGGGAAGTTGTTGTCAAGCGCGGACGAAACCCTTCTCACAACTCTTCCCTATCCAAGATGGCCCCCCCGCCCTTCTCACAATTTTCCCTATCCAATATGGCGCCTATACGCGGCTTCAGGTGGAGGGGGAGACAACCCTGGGTGACGTCACCGCACCCGCTCATTGCCATCGGGCGGTTGTTAAGGGGGTAGGGGGGGGAACATCAACCTTAGCCAACATGGTGGATTCATATCCTCGTTCGCGATTGGTTTAAACATAATTAAATAAATAAACTTGGTGGTGGGGGAGACCGCCGAGGGGGTGGGGGGGAGGGGGCCGAGAGGGTGGGAGGGGGTCGAGAGGGTGGGAGGGGGCCGAGAGGGTGGGGGGGAGGGGGCCGAGAGGGTGGGGGGGAGGGGGCCGAGAGGGTGGGGGGGAGGGGGCCGAGAGGGTGGGGGGGAGGGGGCCGAGAGAGTGGGGGGGAGGGGGCCGAGAGGGTGGGGGGGGTGCCGAGAGGGTGGGAGGGTGCCGAGAGGGTGGGGGGGGCGCGAGAGGGTGGGGGGGCGCGAGAGGGTGGGGGGGGGGCGCGAGAGGGTGGGGGGGGGGCGCGAGAGGGTGGGGGGGAGGGGGCCGAGAGGGGGGGGGGCGCAAGAGGAGTTGGGAGGGCCGATAGGGGAGGGGCGAGAGGGGGGGGTCAGAACTTCCGGTGGGTGACGTCATCAGGCTCAATGCGAAAAATCTCACTGCCCGAGTTTCCCCCGCCGCCGCCGCTTGCCGTGACTTTCTAAACTCGCCTCTCGTGCCACGAACAAACCACCAGACACGCAACAACGAAACCGACGATGCTCTCCACTTCGATGTTCGAAGCCTCTCCTTGCCCTCCTCTCGACGTGACACGTGAACGCACGCGTCACACGAACCCCCTTGGAGCAGCGGGGGCGTGGACGTTGTAGGACCCGGCCCGCCAGTTGTTGATCGCCCTTCAGTCGCACGGCGGCGGCGGCCCTCGAGTTCGCGAACGGTGACCAACACCCACACCACACCGCCACCCTCACCACACCGCCCCCCCACCACCCTCACCACCACCCCCACCACATTACCACCACCACCCCCCCCACACCACCACCCTCACCCCCACCACAACACCACCCCCACCACCAACACACCGCCCCACCACCCCCACAACACCACCACCCACACCACCCTCACCACCACCACCCCCCCCCCCCACCACACCACCACCAACACACCGCCCCACCACCCCCACCACATCACCCCCACACCACCACCCTCACCATCACCCCCACCATCACCCCCACACCACCACCCTCACCACCACGCCCCACCACCCCCACCACAACACCACCACCACCCTCACCACCCCCACACCACCACCACCCCCCCCCCCCCACACCACCACCACCCTCATCACCGCCACATTTTCTTGACGATCCACATGCGACGTTGAGGTACGTGCTACCGAACGCAAGAGGGATGCTCGCTCTCTGCCCTATTCCAAGTGCCATTGAAACGCGTGGAGGCCTCGTGTCGTTGTTGTGGTTTTGCCTGCAGACTTGCTCATTACATTCCGCCGGGCCCAGTTCAAGACGTGCTGCGTGGTTTGTGTGTTAAGCGTGTCACGCGTACGTATGTTTGGATATATAGCACATTGTTGTGTGTAACAGCGTAGGCTTTCACGACCGATATTCATGATAAAGGTTTTTGGGTTATGTGTGTGTCTGTGTCTTATACACACAGCCTGGCACACTGTGGGCTGCACACAATGTCGTGTGTTGACAAGTTTGGAATGCGCCAGATCTCGTTTGAACTCGCAAGCTAAGCGGGACATGAGCCTGGACAGTGCTCACGTGTGCTTGGATCGATGAGGGGGTGTCACGGTGGCTATGAAATGTTAACTACCTCGCCTGGTGTGCAGGAGGTCGTGGGTTCGATCCCGGCTCTGACGCCTGCTGCTGTATATTTGGAGTTTGTGTGTGTCTCTCATCACCATCACGGTGGCTAGGAGATGTTAACTACCTCGCCTGGTGTGCAGGAGGTCGTGGGTTCGATCCCGACCCCTGACGCCTGCTGCTGTATATTTGGAGTTTGTGTGTGTCTCTCATCATCACTGTGGCTATGAGACGTTAACTACCTCGCCTAGTGTGCAGGAGGTCGTGGGTTCGATCCCGACCCACGACGCCTGCTGCTGTATATTTGGAGTTTGTGTGTGTGTCTCTCTCATCATCATCACGGTGGCTATGAGATGTTAACTACCTCGCCTAGTGTGCAGGAGGTCGTGGGTTCGATCCCGACCCCTGACGCCTGCTGCTGTATATTTGGAGTTTGTGTGTGTGTCTCTCTCATCATCATCACGGTGGCTATGAGATGTTAACTACCTCGCCTGCTGCAGCTGCTGCTGTATATTCGGAGTTTGCGTGTCTGTCTCTTCACTCCGTGGTCGCGTGGATTTTTCTCCGGGTCCTCCGGTTTTTGCATCCATACTTAGAAGCATGCGTTTTAGACTATTTGGCTGCTATAAATTTACACACGATGAGCCACTTTGTTGAGCAATCATTTGTGGCCAGGTCGCTTCTGAAAAGAGCCATATCGCTCGGTGGACCTTACCTGGTCAAATAATCAAAAAGTATATTTTTAGAAACACTGCTCGACTATGGAATTCCCATCTTCCCTTCAACCAAAGCTGGTACAATAGTGACAACAGCATTTCTCGATTCAACTCTCACCTATTACAACCTCGACAGTGATGTTTGTTGCTGACCGCTTCACATTTGGTTCTGTGTTGAGCAACTTGTGTTTTAAGATAATTATCGTGCAGCGGTTGGCATAGGCTGCCGCGGGGAAAGCAGAGATCACTTCATAAACATGAATTGTACCATGCTATGCTCCACACCTTCACCAACCCACAATGACCAGCGTGGTGAAGTATGGTTCAAATAGCATGTGGGAGGTGGGGGAGAGGGCTCATTTGTCGTAACATCGCATACACGTGTTAGAGTAAACAAAAGCAAAGCCTTACCGATGATGGTGTTGATGATAATGGTGTTGTTGATAGTATTTATGACATGTATTTAATTATCCAGGAAATCCACTTATCCAGGTAAGTCTTAGGAATGTCGTGCGTTGGGGTTTTAAATATGTTTTCGGCCAATTCATGATGTTTATTTCGTCGAGTGGGAGGAAACCGGAGCACTTGTAGAAAACCTACGTGTGCGAGGGGGCAACACTCTATCCCCGTACAGATGGTAACAAACTGCGATCATTTTACTCGCTGTTTTGCTTTCTCCTGGAAAGCCAGAGTATGGCATCTCCTGGACGCCTACGGAAAGGGAGTTTTACAAAATGTGTTTTGTGCGGTGATCCACCAACCTTCGCTGCCTTACACAGTGCTGGATTACAGGCGTGGTGACCATTACACTTGACACTCACTGCCCTTGCGTGCGTGTGTGTGTGTTTGTTTCCACGCAGAAATCCACCCGGCGAGGGGGAGAGAGGATGAATTACGTGGGGCAGCTGGCGGGGCAGGTGTTCGTGACGGTCAAGGAGCTTTACCGGGGCTTGAACCCAGCCACACTGAGTGGCTGCATCGATGTGATCGTGGTGCGCCAGCCAGACGGCTCGTTGCTGTGCTCGCCTTTCCACGTGCGGTTTGGCAAGCTCGGCGTGCTACGCTCCAGGGAGAAAGTGGTGCGTGTGCGTTTACAAAGTGCACCTGGCCTGGCACAGGCCCCGTGGTGACGTCACCGCCACTGAGTGACGAATGGCGGATGGTGTACGTTTACATTCATTCGTGTTTGGGGATGCTGCTGCTGCCGCCACGGCTTAATGATTCGAACGCTGGACTTGCAGTGCAGGAAACGCAACATATTCGTCAATAGCAATGCCTCAAACGGCATTGAATTTTTTCAAATAATACAAATAAGGTAATGTTCCGGTTAATGCCCTGCTTCATTGCATTTTTTTATCGTCGCCTATTATATATTTTTCCTTTCAAGGCAGCGTTATTAACGAATGTATCGAGTTTGTTAATTGTGCTTTATGCACCACTGACAATGCAGTAGCAGCAGCATCGCCAATTGATTTTCAGCACAGGAAGAGGTCACCGCTTCGGTGCTATCTCCCGAACGTGACATCTGAAACTACGGGGAAACTTTTTAAACGTCTTGAGATACAGCGCCTTCGTTATATAGCCTCGTGCTTTAAGAATAGCGTGACTCCAAAAATGCACTCGTCACAATTCGTAGTTAAAGGAGGGGATCGATACACATCAAAGTGACACCACGCACGGTGGGTCACGAGGAGTGGAGTTTGGAAAACGCTGCAGTGTTCTTGTTTTTTTCGGTAAAGTCACGTAGAAGGGAAATAATAAAATAATATAAATATAAAACAATAAAAATTCTCACGACGTTTCGACTGCAACACAAGCAATCATCATCAGGTGTGAAATCCACAGCAAGAACATTTTTCTTGTGAAATCCACAGCAAGAAAATTTTCTTGCTGTGGATTTCACACCTGATGATGATTGCTTGTGTATATTATTTTATTATTTCCCTTCTACGTGACTTTACCGAAAGAACCAAGAATATGAATCCCTGCAGTCACGAAAGCTTTAAATCAAAATTGAAATGCTCCAGTGTTGCCGAGAGCTGGCCTTTGTAGATACTTTTTGCCTTTTTGCGTTTCAGGTGGACATTGAGATTAACGGGCGTCCCGTGAACTTGCACATGAAACTCGGGGACAATGGAGAGGCGTTTTTCGTCGAGGAGACTCAAATGCAAGAGGCAAGTAAACCTTTCTAAACATTAATTTTAACGCTTTCCAACTGAGGTTCAAAGGAAGCGCTGTCCATCTGTCTGTTAATACAGAGGTTGGGCAGAGGGGGGTTGTTGGGAGGCATAGTTTCGCGCGTAAATCTCATCCAACACGAGTGAAACTTTACTGTTAAATTGTGTTCACATTCGGATGTATTTTTCAGAAAATCGGCCAAATCGATCAAAACATGGAGACGCTAATCAAAGGGCCCGCCACGGCATCTCAGCTGGCAAAGCCACCGTCCTCACCCCATGTCTCGTCATGACCCATGGACATGCTGCTCCTGTGTCTTTGGCGCAAGCACTATCGCTATTATCTGTAAATACTTGGAAAACATTACGGGATCCGGCCATATGCATAGTGTCTCTTTGCCGTGTTATTTTTATTTTTATCAATGCCAGTGAGTGACAGTATACAGATGTAAACAATATTACATGCATTGGTTTTGTTATAGTATGTGGGAGCATCGGAGGCATAGTGGTAAGTGCACAGCGCTGCCAACCACCCGGCCACTTGATTTGGATTCCCAACGATGGTTGACATCAGTGGCAAGTAATATCTGACCAGTCTTGCCCACCCCTTGATCGACCTGCACCGACTAGTCTGGTGAAGTATCGTTAAATAATGCCCAAGACTGACGGTGCATGCGGAGCAGAGGGCATTGGTAGAGGGCATTGCAAATTCCAAGTTTGTAACTAGCTGCACAGTTTCCGTGCATTCAGAGGCGTGGGAATCTACGGACAAGCGGAAAGGCAGCCAAAACCAGAACCAGAGATTGGGCAAACTTCCTGTCTCTGCATTGGAATATTTGGCCAACTATTTTTATTTTTGTTTTGATATCGAGTGGGAAATGAGAGGACACGCTTTTGAGCTTTTCTAAACATTGCCCAAAGATAAACATTGTCTGAACATGAACAAAATATTAACCATGGAGGAGAGATGGACTAATCAATCTTTTGCCCATACAGTGTTATTAAATCATATATTCATGTATTAGTGGGCTAGGCAGAAGAGGGCACTGCAGCAAAGCTAGATTGTTGTACTGTACGTATATGCTCCCACATCTCTGCTTCCCACCTTCACCAACCCGCCACTGACCAGCGTGGGGAAGTATGGTCAAATAACCCCCACGACCCACGAGGCACGGGGATACCCTTAAATAACGGTTTGTCCTCACGTCATTGCCCGTTGCCATTGTACTTGTTGTTTTCACTTGGGTTGGTTATTCTTATCTATTCGTACATTTTGGTTTGTGCTCGTGTTTTGGGTTGCTCACACGACGTGGCTGGCTGTTCTCAAGTTTGTTATCCAACGCTCGCGTGTCGGGTCATCGCGGTTCTGGTCTTCCCGTCCTCACGTTGCGGTTTTAGTTGTTGGGCCTTGTGCAGTTTTTTTTTTCTGGCCCTCCTCGGTGAAAACCGTCCTCTGCTGTGCTTTCTCCCGCAGAACATGGTGCCAGCTCGTCTCGTCACGTCCCCGATCCCCTGTTCGGACCGGGACGAGGGTGAGGATGATTCCGACGACATGGAGATGGAGCCGATCCTGGGAGACGAGGATGATGAAGACATTGGCAAAGTCCGAGACTTGCCGGAGGTGAGTGACACGGCGACACGACTGCAATCAGCCCGAGCTGACTTACGCCACCGGAAATGTATTATTTAACATTGCTATATATATCCATGTTTGCGTAATATTTTCGATTTCTCTTGTGACGCAGTTTTTGTTGTTATTTTTGTTTGCTTCGTTGCTGCACTTTGTCCTGCTTTTGCACGTTTTGGTGACCCAGGCCACCCATGCAAGTGAGACTCATCGTGGTCACTTGAGTTCTTATCTCATGAAACAAAATAAACTTGAAACTCCGCCTCATCCAACGTACATATGAACTCTTACTATTGTGAGTCTCGCATGAGCAGAGCACAATGGAAGTTGTGACACGCTTAACAAACATCTCTTATCTCGTAGCTAGATATCGAGGCAGTGTGTCCCAGGCTGTCTGACACGGGCTTGAAGCTTTGTCAATGACAACAAGAGATTTTAAAGTGACTTCAGCTAGAGCTACGATTCCACCCCTGACATTCACTTATAGTCTTCCACGTCATCTTCGACTTTAGACTTACGTGGACTATGCGTGCACCCACGAGATAGGAGCGAATAGATTTTTGGCTCGTGTTGACAAAAGGTCATTTAAGCTTGGTGGAGTTAAAAGGAAAAACATTCGAAACGTATGTAACTATATCAAACGTAGAGTTTTTTTTCTTGGTTCTTTCGGTAAAATCACGTAGAAGGGAAATAATAAAATAATAAAAATTAAACATAATAAAATCATTCTCACGACGTTTCGGCCACAACGCAAGCGGCCGTCCTCAGGTGAAGAACAGGTCTGTCGGAAAGACAGACCTGTTCATTCAGACGCTGTCTTTCCGACAGACCTGTTCTTCACCTGAGGACGGAAATCGAAATTTAAACGTAGAGTTTGTTTACATTACAGCACGCCCAACCACCTTATTCTCCCCGGTGCTGATGTACACGCATCGCATGACGTTCACTGGCAAGGAACAACACCCGCTGTTGTGTTTGTTCCTCCCTCCACCCCTCCCCCTTCATCAGCTGCTGACCGGAGAGGCGGCGTCCTGCGCGAGCGTGCCGGTGCCGCTCCTATCGCCGCCCTCGGCTTCCAAGAAACGGCGCAAGCGGCGGCGCAAGTCGAAGATGGACACGGGCGGGGGCCGCAGGGAGTCGTCCACCACCGCCTCGCACGACGGCGACATCTTTGCGATGGAGATGAACTCGGACGAGGAGGCAGCGGCCACCTCTCCTGCGCTCAGGTCTTGCTGCGCTCGTGTGTGCGCAGTGCCTGCCATGTCGATACTGCCGCCCCACCCCCCGTCCTCCCCACGCCCCCCACCCCAGCCCCCCCACCCCCTCCACCCCCTGAATCCTTCCAACGCTTAGCGGCCGCGTGCATTTAGGCTGATGCGGTGTCGCAGAGATGCGAACACCACCCCGAAGAGCACATTTGAATAAAGTGTTGCCGGCGCGTCACCAACTTTTGTTGCCGCTTCGTGACGTTCCCCCTTTCCCCTCGGCCGGCCGTGTGATGCAGAAGGGTGCGGAAGTAGATAAATCGCAGAACAATTCAGCGGCAACGTTTGCGGTCACCCAGTTAAACCAGAAACATGAGCCAAAGCGCAGACCTTGTCCAAACCAGTTCACTGGTGAAACACAGGACTTTTTAATCTCCTGGGAAGACTCAGAGATTTCCCACGGGCAGCTTTAGCTCTTGTTTCCACTTGTAACTGTTGTTTCCGGTTGAACTTAGTGATTGCTAACGTTGCCGTTGATTTGTTCTGTGATTGCGTGTTGCTGATTTATTATGATTTTTGTACAAATGTTCTCTCACCACGCGCTGCAGAAACAACTCCTTCCAAGTGAATAGCGGCATGGAGGCTGCGTTCTTCTCAGGTGTCCCAGTTCACCCGCATTCCGACGGCGACTGGTCCCCACTGCAGAGGTAAAGATAAAGATCCCCCCTATAGCCTTAACAGACTGTTGGGGGCAATTGCTGTTAGCGAGTAACACCTATGAATTTTGACTTAGGAATAGGGCTATTGGCCAGCTTAGGGTTAGGGTGAGGGTTAGTGACAGGTGTAGAGTTAAGCGTAAGGTTGGCCTTGGGTTTACGACAGGCTTAGTGTCAGGGACAGACTAGAGTTGCATTAGGGTTAGTGACAGGCTTAGAGTTTGAGACATGGTTATTTTAGGTTTATGGACAAGGCTAGCATTATGGTGATAATGGTAGTTAATTGATAGTCTTTGATGAGTGACAGGATTCATGGCAGGAACAAAGATAAGGTTCGGTGTAATGACTGGCGTCGGTTTAGATCCAGGGCTGTGTCTCTGGATACTCAGTCTTGGCGGTCTGTCCTCCGTCACACTGTGTGATACCTACCGCACCCCCCACCCCACACAGCCCATCCTCGCTGCGCCCCATGTCACCCAAGAGCGACTCGGAGCTCGTGTCTAAGGGGTCGGAGAACGACCTCCTCCGCAACATGCAGTGGTCCTGGGGGCAGCTGCCCGAGAGAGCGCAGGTGACTTGCGGTTGTTTCTGCTTCTGCTGCTGCTTTTGTCCCAGCAGTCTCTAGAATCTACGTTGCTTAGAGGCAGCAGGGCTGGGAGACTTTGTGTGAGTGTGTGTGCGCCTGGGTGTGTGTTTATGCCTTTCGTGATGCTGGCCACCCAACCCGTTGTGTGCTGTGCCGGTCTTCATAGGTGCTCGCAGCACATGCCCTTACAGTCAGTTAAAATGTTACACGGGGGATCTTTTATGCCTTTGTGTGTACGTGAGTTTGTGTGAGCATGTGTATATGCATGCAAGGCCTTCACCCAGCAGCAGTGGATAGATCCGTGGCGGCTGCTGCTATAGCCACCGCTGCTGCTGATTATCGTTCACGCTCCGCCTGCCCGTCCGCAGCTGATGAGCTTGGACATGGAGGACGATGAACCCCTTGTGGTCGACATCATCGCCCCGCGCGACACCACCCACTTCCGCGTCATCTTCGAGCCGCCAAACTCCTCGGGCGACACCGACGACGACATCTTCGCGCCACCGCCACGTGCCGAGCCTCCCGCCTTCCATCCCTCCTCCTCGCCCGACGACGACGACCGCGAGGAGGACGACGGTGGCGGCGGCGGCGGCGGAGGCGGAGATTACGGCGGCGGCGCGATGTCGGCGGGCGAGGCGGAGGGGGACGCGTCGTGCTGGAACGTGCTGTGCTCGTCGCCGCCGCCGCAGCTCACCAGCCGGCCCACCGTGCGGCCCGAGACGCTGCTCAAGCCCAAGGCCTCGCCGCCGGGGCGGAGGGAGTGCGGCGACGGGCGTCCCCAGGAGCCGGCCACGGCACAGCCGGGCGGACGCACGGCAGAGAACGGTGCGGGCGGTGCGGGCGGGCGGGCGGGCGGTGTGGGCGGGCGGACGTGTGTGTGGGCGGACGTGTGTGTGTGCCCGCCGTGCCAAGATTGCATATGCACGCATACGGGAATATAAACTTACATCCTGTATTCATACATAGACATGTATGGCCCCCTTTAGCAATCTACTGATGATGAGTTGCTTGTGTGGGTTGGTGAAGGCGGGAAGCGCAGATGTGGGAGGACATATTATAATTTTTCTATAATGCAGGGATGTGGAACGTCCGGCCCGCGGGCCGTATAAGGCCTGCAAAATCATTTAGTCTGGCCCTGCCAAGGCAACCGCAGGCGAGACTCGAAATTCAATAAATCTAGGAGCAAACCTGGAAAAGCAGTTGCGAGTAGCAACATCATCAATACCAGCTAACAGTCACGCCTCGCCAAAGAGAAGCAGTGCCAGCCATCACATTAGGGGCGAGTTAATTAAATGTTTGAACAATATATAACGGGCAAATTTTTAAGTTGATAAATTTGTATGGCCCGCGAATGATGTTATAAATATCCAAATGGCCCTTGGCAGAAACAAGGTTCCCCACCCCTGCTATCATGGATGCTACTTTCACGGACGACTGGTATATTACGTGACTTCTACGGTAGTGAAGACACAGGCGACCCTCGCACCTACGACCTAATTGGTTCCTGGACGACGGGCGCAAGTCGAGCTGTCGTAAGTCGAACCCTCGATTCCCAGAGGCGCAACATTATACATTGGGGTTCCGTTCCTTGAAACCCATTACATAACGTAAAAATACCAAAATCTACCACGAAAATACATGAAAATAACCCTAACAAACATTTATTGTAACTGAACATGACTTTTACACACATTAAATAAAAACAAACACATTTGAAAATCCTCAAGTACTTTTCTGCATGTGCATCACATTTCCTCTTCTCAGACATAGCGAAAGGCTAAATTTGCGTTGCGAAAGAGATGCGTTCCCTCTAGATGCAGCTGCAGGCTGTCGGGCTAGACTCAACATACCCATACGGCAGAAGAGCAAACCAGCGCCAACTGGCACTGAGTCAGCGCATAACATGCGCAGACTCAGTGCCAATAGACTCGGCGTCGGTAGCAGTCATTAGGCGGTCGTAGATACGCGTTTTGGTCGTTACTGTGGGGGTCTTACTATAAGAAAGGCCATAAAAGCGGAGGGTCGCAAGTCGGCGGTTACCTGTATTGATAAAACTGATGGTTCATGTTAGCAGTGCAAGGCCAGCACCGCTGCACTCTTCATCATTTTGTGCGTCTCGATAAACTCGTAACAAACGGTGGCCTGGTGGCTCAGAGGCCAATTGAAGGTTCTCGGAGGTAGTTCTGTGACATCTGCTTCCGTGGGCCATTCTCCATCACGAAGGGTTGCACTGCTCTGCGAGAAATCTGAATCGATTTTCCGGCTCGTGACATTGAAGTAAGTTTGGGGGCTTCCGGGGGTGGAAATAATCAATTTTTTTGCATTACATTTTTTTTCATGATGCTGTTTTTGGCGATCAGAAGCTGGCTTCATGGCACTATCGGACCCAGCCGGATCGGTGGGGCCAGACGTGGCACCCGGCGAACACCCGGAATTGGCGGCGCCGCTCCAGCCCGAGTCGATGGACGCCAACGAGACCAAAGCCCTCTCCAAGGCCGAGTCGCCCGTCCGGAAAAAAGGCACGGCCCCTTCTCTCCGTTTTGTGTCAACTTCTCGTGCCCCCCCCCCCCCCCGACATTTGTTGAGCGTGCTTGGAATGCCGTGATCGTGTTTGTGACCGTGTTTTGCTCGTTTGTGTTTGAAAAGAGGTGGGAAAACGCAGCCAATACCTGGGGCAGAGCGATATTTACCTGGATGAGCTGTCGAGATTGGATCCAGTGGAAGCTGCCATGTACTTTCCCAAGAGGTAAACTGACTTCGTCATATCGTAATCATTATCTTTCCCTTCATGTTGCTAAGTGTTATTATCATCATCATTATCATCTTCACTGTCATCTTAAGTTTTCATCACCATTATCTTATCAGTCATCCTCGCCGCCACCACCCATCGTCATCCTATTCATTGTAAAGATCAATGTCGTCATTGTCATCATCTTATCGCTATCATCATCTTACTCATCACAATTATCACCTCCCTCCCCGTGTCCGTCGTTCCGACCACCAGCGAGGGAGAGCCGTGCCCCCCAGGTCGACCTGGCGAGGTGGCCGCCGTGCCGGCCCGCTCGCCCTCCCACTCGCCGCAGTCGGTGGGCAGCGGTGCAGCCGACAGCGGCACGGAGTGCCTGTCGGACTCGGCCCAGGGAGACGCCTCCACAGTCGCCCTGTCGCTGTGCGGGGGTCTCGCCGAGTCCTGCAACATCTCGCAGGGTGAGGCACGTGACGGACACACGGCTGGTGGTGGTGCTGGTGGTGCTGGTGGTGCTGGTGGTGGCGGTGCTGGTGGTGATCAAGGTGTTACTGATGGTGGCGTTGCTGACGATGATGGTGGTGCTGGCAGTGGTGCGAGTCATGGCAGAGGCAGTTTCGGTCGGGGCGTTGGTGCTTGTGGTCATGGTGGTGCTGGCAGTGCCGGTGGTGCTAGTGCTATTGGTACTGGTGGTGCTGGTGGTGGTGATCAAGGTGTTGCTGGTGGTGGCGTTGGTGGTGATGGTGGTGCTGATGGTGCTGTGAGTCGTGGCAGAGGTAGTGGCAGTAGTGGCGGTGGTGCTGGTCGTGGTGTGTGGCCGACATAGCGCATTGTGCTATGACCCCAGCAACAAGAATTAGATTCCCACTCACTGTCAACATAGGTGACATATGAACCAGTCCTGACCTTCGGTCTTATAAACATCTTCACTGGGGAAACAAAGACGGCCGGCGTGGTGCTCGCCACCCACCCCCTCGTACTGTACCGGCCTTCATAGGTGCTCGCTAGCAGCACTTGCTCCAAGAGCCTGTGTAGGTTATACGGGAGCTCTTAGGTGCGTGGCGCATGGCACTTCGTAGTGGCCGAGCTGTACATAGCATCTAAATGCGACCGCGTCTCAAGATCCTGTGTTCACACAGTGGATGTTATGCGTGGGAGATACAAAGCCAAGTCGGTCATCGGCAGAGGCGAAAAGGCCTTGAGGCTGGACTTGAATGGGGGCAGGCGTTTGACAGCGAGGATGTTTGTTGGACCTAAAGTGACCGGGTGAAGATTCGCCGTTGAAGTTGTGTGGGGCGGGGTGTCGTGGTACCCGTGCGCCTCCCTTGCAGAGAAGTTCGAGGCTCACAGGGTCTCCTTCCAGCAGTTCCTCGAGAACCCGGCTCTCATCGACGACCTCAACCTCGTGGTGCTCATTGGAAACAAGTAGGCCGAGCACGGCGTTTTATTTCGCAAGCGTCCCGTGTTTTACAATCCACCGTCGTACAAGGTGGCACACCAGTGGCGTGCGCCTGTGTTTCTACGAGCCCCAGCCTGTGCGTAACGGATGTGTCCCCGTGTCTGTAGGTATTACAACTGGGCAGTGGCTGCACCGATGCTCTTGTCCATGCAGGCGTTCCACAAGCCCCTGCCAAAGGTACCAGGCCTCAAGAGGCGGTAGGCGTTGCGTCGCTGGGTTTCCATGATCGGTGAACACGGGCACGCGTGGAGAACCCTAGAAATTTCAGTTATTTAACGATTACGCTAGATTACCCTCTAAAGCCTTGCCGAGTCTCATGACTCACTTTTCAGGAGGGTCCTGCTCAGTTATTTTTGGGTTAACAGCTTGGGAGGTTCGGAATAGAACACAGCCAGAGAAGGGTGGGAGACGTGGGTGCAGGATGCAGGAGGATCGGGTAAAAACAACAACAAAAACTTGTGGATTATAATGTATTTGAATCTGGGGCCCTGCGAAAATTAGGACATTTGAAGAACGTTAGAAAATCATGACCCTCGGTGAATTGACAATCGACGAAAGTTAACTTTTTTCTTCGTAAGCATCAAGCACCAAGTGTGTCCTCAGGCAGTCGAACGCATCGACGTAAACCGATTTGTACATGGACATCCCTTTCGCAAATCCACTGCTGGATGAGGGCCTCTCCACTCCGTGCGGCTCGTGGGGTTTACTTGACCGTACTTGACCACGCCGGTCAGTCGGCACGACTTCCGGAGCCTAATAACGACGCGGCAGCAGGTTCCGCCGCGCTGGCGCCGTGGCCGACTTCAACCGATGTGACGGCGCGGGTGGTTTGGCGCTGTCGTTTGCCTGCAGCTGGCGGTGGAGGCCCTGATGAAGGAGAAGATGCCCAAGAAGAGCAACCGGTGGTGGTTCTCGTGGCGTCGCAGAGACAACTCGGCCAAGGCGGTGAGGCCGCACGCGCTCACGCCCCGACCCTCCACGGCACAGTCGGCTCGTTTAGAAGCCGTCGGTTTGATGTTGATGAGATTATAAAAAAAGACGGCCGGCTTATCGGTGGTGTGATCACGCCCCCCCCAGTCAAATCGTAACCGTAACGACGATAAATGACGATGACACCTTCGTCAAATTGTTTTTTTTTATTTCACCAGGTAAGGGCCCACTGACCTATGTAGTAGCTCTTTTTCGGAAGTGACTCGGCTATCACAAATGAGATCTCAACGAAGTCGCTTGTCACGTGGACAAATGCATGTTTCTAATCCGCTTCTGGATGAATGCTTCGCCACGCCGTGTCGATCGTTGGAGTTGCACTAGACCGTACACCGTGCTGGTCAGTGTTGGTTAAATTGGGGGGCGTGGTGGTGGTGGTGGCAAGATAATAGTCGTAGCCGTGGTTGGGCATCGACCTCTGGTCTCTGGGTTTGTAGTGCGACGCGCAAATAACTACACCGCCGCTTACCCACTTAGAAAATGATTTACTACCAGTGGTGACATTTTAACGAATGAATGAAGGAATAAACAAATGTTCAATCTTTTTGACAAACCCTCGGTGCTTCCTGCCCCCCCCCCCTCGCAGGAAGGGAAGAGGGAGCAGCTGCAGCCGGATAGCGGACTGAGCGGAGAGCAGTCGGGACAGTCTGACACGGGGATCCGGTGAGGCCCTGGCCCGTCACGGAACAACGGCATCCACGCTCTCCCCGCCCCCTCGTTTCACCCCCCCCTTTAACCCCCCCTTTAACCCCCCCCTCTAACCCCCGCCCCCTCTAACCCCCCCTCTAACCCCCCCTCTAACCCCCCCTCTAACCCCCCCTCGACTAACCCCCCCTCGTCTGTCCCCCCCCCCTCTTCTGACCCCTCCCCCTCGTATAACCCGCCCCCTCGTCTAACCCCCCCCCCCCCCCGTCTAACCCTCTCATCATCTCACCCCCCCTCGTCGAACCCGCTGTTACTTCACTACCTCATCCAACCACCCCCGCCGGAGTCATCGCCTCTCATCTTGACACCCCTCGACTATGTACGGATGTATGTTGAACTTCTTTAGCACCGTACATAGCCAACGGTGCTAATCGGAGGAAGGAAAACAAACTAAACACGCAAACCAGTTCTACAGAAATCTAGATGATGATTTAAAATTGCACAGCTCCAGCGGCTTCCTAATAATATCGGAAGGCAGAGCGTTCTCGACGGCCGCAGAAGCACATCTGAAAGCGCCGCGCTGCAGTGACTCGCCGCTTCTCATCTTCTCACCTCTTCGTCCCCCACCTCAGGCTGCAGGACGACGAGTCGTCATCGTCGTCGAGTGAAGACGAGGAGCTGTGCCCGGTGCCGCGCGCCGTGCCGCTGCTGGAAAGGGAGCCTCACGTGACCGCGTTCCGCAAGTCCCTGCGCCTCTCCTCTGAGCAAATTGTACGTGGGTCCCTCCCCGCACTCCCCCCCCCCCCCCACCGTGTGTGCCCCCCCCCCCTCCCCCCCATGGTCGTTGTCACAACCGGAGCTCGATTGGCTACCTCGAGCGTCTTCCAGGTCGCCACTGTTAGGCCGCAGAAGGATGGCACCCCACCGGTAGTATCCACAGCCATAGCGAGGAGCTTTATCGGATGTGGTGTGCCAGGCTGCGGAAATTGTTTCCGGGTAGGCCGCGCGGGCAAACGTGGCAGAAATGAATGCCCTGTTGGCGGTGGTTGCCCCAAGTGTCGGCTAGCACGACAGGAGGGGTGCTGCTGTTTTACTATTGTGGGCGAATGTGGGGGCCCTTAACTGACTTGGGGGTCTGTGGGGGGGCGAGGAGTGCGGCGGGTGGGGGAGTCGGTGCCAGGATGAGGGCTGATGCGGCAGCGCAGGCGTTACGAGTAGGAGACAGTCGGTGGCTACCATGAAGAGGAGCTACATCTGGGGAGTTAGGACACGGGGCAGCTCTAACAGCAGCGAGGCAGCGATGGAACAGTGCACCGACCTCTTGACCCTAGCCCACGGCTGACCGGCCGGCCGGCGTGTGCAGGCTCAGCTGCAGCTGAAGGAAGGCCCCAACACGGTGAGCTTCAGCGTCACCACGCAGTACCAGGGCACCTGCCGCTGCGAGGGAACCATCTACCTGTGGAATTGGAACGACAAGATCATCATCTCCGACATCGACGGCACCATCACCAAGTGAGCGACGCGTGTGCATTGCCCGCCGTGGATTTTTTGATTTAAAAATAAAATGTTTTTAACATTTTCCGCCCGTAGTTATTCTGGTCGCGCTGTCGTTACGAGATGGAGTTTCCATTTGGGTGGCCCACAGCAGTGTCACCCGCCGTCTTGGGGGTGGTGACACGGCCCAGTGGTAGCGTGTTGGCCACTTGTTGCACAGGTTTACAGTTCGAATCCAGCGTTTGCCCTGGTTAATTCTCTGCGGTCGTATTAACCGTAAACATCCTACACGTTATCTGCCTCACAGTGGACGTTATGTGCCTGTGTCATGGTCCAAATTTTCCACATTTAAAATTTTACCTGCAAATTATTAACTTTTGATTAGACACATCATTCATCGCTCCTGCTGTGAATACTCCACCTTTCCGGGATTAAACAATCACGTTCGGGAATGGCCCACGGAAGCGGACAAGGCAGAGTTTACATTCCTAAGTGCCACCGTAGGGGGCAACACTTTCCCTTACAGGAGACTGTGCGCTGGTGGCAGCCGGCGTGCTTCACCACTCTCATCAGCCTGTACCTCGCGGCCCTCTTACATTTGTCTTAGGGTAAATTTCTGCAGGGAATTTCCAAAGCCCCCTCCATCTGGTGTATGAGAGAGAATGTTAAAGGCCTCGTTGTATCATTCAGTGTGCGACCGTGCTCATCCAGAACAAAGACCGTACAACGTTTCGTGACGCAATGCTCCGATCCACAAATACGAAGGAGACATCGCAGCCATTCGCTCCGCTGCTCCTAACGCGGTTGTCTGCCTTGAGCACCTGAATATGAAATTGTAGTTGTTGCTCAAAATCTACATCAGCCATACAAAATAACAAATCTCTGATGATGTCAGTTAAATCGTTTACAGTTATCGAGACCTCGTCTGCAATCGGAGAAGAGGCCTGTGCACTGGACAGGGTAGAAGGATCTTGAACGACAATCCTGCCCCTAAGTCAGGGGAACTCGAAAATGTGGTAATTTACAAGAGTTGCTTTTCTTCCGCAGGTCGGACGCGCTGGGGCAGATCCTACCGACGCTCGGCAAAGACTGGACGCAGCAGGGAATCGCCAAACTCTACCACGAAATCCACAAGTACGCGGACTGCCGCGCACACCCACACCCTCGATTCTCACACCACCGAGTTCCCAGCGCGAGCGTCACATCAGCCGACTCGCGCACCAGACCAGACGAATAATCTGTCCCCCGCCGGCAACGATTAACCGTTCATTCCGCCTAGGAACCGATATTCGGGAATGTTATTTCCCATTCCGTATCTTCGTATGCCCTCATGTTTTATGGCTCCGTCGCCTCCGCAGGAACGGGTACAAGTTCCTGTACTGCTCTGCGCGCGCGATCGGCATGGCGGGAATGACGCGCGGCTACCTCAACTGGGTGAAGGAGAAGGGCACGGAGCTGCCCCGCGGCCCGCTGCTGCTTGCGCCCAGCAGCCTGCTTCTCGCCTTCCACCGGTGAGCACTCAACCGTTCGCTCGCTCAAACTCTCGCCCGCTCGTGGGCTCGTTCTCTCGCGCGTTCATTCCAGGGGTCGTCCACCCGCTGAACAGCTCACCCACGCAGTCATCTGCTCGCCCATTTATTCACCCATTCACTTAATAGCTCACCTACCCACTTACCTGTTCACATATTCGATCAACCGCTCAGTCATATGTCTGTTCGGTAAACCGCTCGCCCACACGCTCGTCTGTTAATCCATTGAATCAACTGCCCACTCGCTCGCTCGCCTGCTCGACTGCTTACTCAATCACTCACCCATCCACTCACCTTCTCACTCGCTCGTCCGCTCGCCTACCCAATTGCCCGCTCACTCGATCATTCGCCCACCCGCTCGCCCGCTAACCTTTTCACCCACCCGTCCACTCGCCCCCTTTCCCGATGGCTCATCGACCGCTCGCACGCTCGGGGCGTCCACTCGCTCGCATATATGCACCGTGCACTCGTTGTGCCTGGCTTCCCCTGCAGAGAGGTCATCGAGAAGAAACCAGAGAAGTTCAAGATCCAGTGTCTGGCGGACATCAAGCACCTCTTCAGCCCGCACTCCGAACCGTTCTACGCCGCGTTCGGCAACAAGACCAACGTAAGTGCCCGGCTCCCGCACGGCGGTTTGCACATGACGATGGCCGAGTGACCATCGCCAGTATCGTCGGTGCCTCTCTAGCGATACGTCCTGCAAATTCAAACGACGCTCCACTGGCGATATTTGTGTGTGTATGGGGAGTGGTAGTGCAACGGTTAGCGCGCTGCACTACGAACCCGGCGACCGAGGTTCGATTCCCGCTTGTGGCCAACACCAGTGACGATTATCTGAACTGGTCATGGGGCTCCCCTAAGTCGACTCAACCTCAAATGTGTGTGGCGTTGGCCACCCATCCCCTTGTGTGCTGTGCCGGCCTTCATAGGCGCTCGCGAACAGCGCTTGCCCCAACAGTCTGTTACAGGCTATAGCAGGGGATGTTTTTCTTTGTGCTCACGCGTGTGTATGTGTGTGCGCGTGTGTTTCTGCACGACGCAGGACGTGTTCGCGTACAAGCAGGTGGGTGTTCCAGAGAACCACATCTTCACCGTCAACCCAAAGGGGGAGCTCATCCAGGAGCACAGCAAGGGCCACAAATCCTCGTGAGTTGGTGACGGGGGGGGGGGGGGCACGGTGATGTTGATAGGGGCGACTCGATTCAAACGTCAGTAATTTTTAGTTTTTTCACATCTAGAGTCGGTGCATTGCTTCTGCTAAGGCCGTTTAGTTGTTGCAAAGCCGACATTCATCAACCAAGGTGGACAGGAGGTCGTGGGTTTGAGCCCCACCCTGACACCTGTATATTTAGAGTTTGCATGCCTTTCCCCATGGTCACGTAGATTTTTTTCCGGGTCCTCCAGTTTTTCCCCTCCACATTTAGAATCAACGTCAGGTTGCTATACATTTCCACACGACGATAAGCCACTTCGCTGAGCCATCATTTGCGACCGCCAGAGCCATATAGCTCCGTGGGCTTCACCTGGAAAATAAAAATAGTTTTTGTCGCGTGCGCGTGTGTGCGTGCGTGCGTTGCAGGTACAATGGGGAGCGGTAGTGTAGCGGTTAGCGCGCTGCGCTATGAACCTGGCGAACCGGGTTCAATTCCCACGGCTAACACTAGTGACGATTATCTGAACCGGTCCTGGGCCTCCCCTAGGTCGACTCAGCCTTAAATGAGTACCCGTTGCGGTGTGTAAACATCGCCACTGGGGAAACAAAGGCGGTCGGGCGTGATGCTGGCCACCCACCCCCTCGTTCGTGTACCGTTCCGGCCTTCATAGGTGCTCGCTAACAGCACTTGCCCCTACAGTCGGTTAAGGCTACACGGGGGATCTTTATCTTTCTTGCAGGTACACCCGCCTGGGCGAGCTGGTGGAGCACGTGTTCCCGCTCCGCCACCGCGAGTCCACCGCCGCTTTCCCGTGCGCCGAGCGCTACAGCGACTTCACCTTCTGGCGGGAGCCCATTCACGATTGCCTCCCGGAGTGCCCACCGCCCGAGGAACCGTGACGGCGGAACCCCAAAAACACCCCACCCCCTCCACCCCCCTCCCAACCATGCGTGTACGTGAGCGGTGGGGGGGGGGGGGGGCAGCGCCGGCTTGTGATGCCGCCAGCGAACTCTCGAGTCCGATTCGCCAGCGGCTAAGAGCGGTGGCGAGCGATATCCGGACAGGTGTTCCCCCTCCCCCACGACCCCGGCCCTCCCCTAGGTCAACTCCGCCTTAAAAATAAGCACCTGCTGCATTGTTGAAAAACATCGGCAATGGGGAAAGGAAGGCGGCCGGGCCATGGTGCTGGCTACACCGCCCCTTCCTGCGCCGTTCTGGCCTTAACAGGTGCTCGCTAACTGGTAAAGGCTAGGCGGGGGGCGGGGGTGGGGGACCTTTTGTCAGTCCGCTGCAGGGCCTCCCCCCACGCTCGCCCGGTAACAACAGTAATTGAGCAATACAGGTAACAGCAAAGCACAGGGTAACATGGTAACAGCCAACAGACGCAAGCAATGAGAACTCAATCGAGTCGAGCGCGTCGCCGCTTGTTGTCGTTGCGGAGGTTTGCGGTTCGAATCGAGCGGACCGCCCTGGTCGACGCTGCCGCGGTGTGCATTACCCATATAAATACTCTCGCACGCGCACGCCAGCTCCACCGCGGACATTGCAAAGATCCCGGGACGTTAGCGAGGGTAGGGCCTTCGTGTGCCCGCTTGAGGGTCCGAATTTGGCAATATTTTTTTATTACTTTCAAAGTTACCGAATTGTGTAAAACCACATTGCAACGTCGCCCGCTACTGGCCGACTATACTCGCGTGTGAGAGGTAGCGCTACCCTCATCGCCTTGCGCTATTAGAATGGTGAGAACAACTTTCCATGACTAATCGTTAATGTACAGTGCAAACAATACGAATGAGTCCAAGAAAATTTGACTTAAAATCGTGACCCTGAATCCTAATAATTTAGCAAACGGGAGGGGGGGGGGGAAAGGGAGGTGAATCGATGCTCACAAGGGGTGGAACAATTCGTCGGACGCGTCGATTCGTCGCGATGAATCCTTGGGTTTCGGGGTCACGGTTGAAGAGTCGATTCTTCGGTGGCACCCATGGTGGCTGGACGGTGTCCTGTGAAATAATTACAACAAATGCGAATTGAAAAAAAAAACATCCTTTCGTAAGAACGCACGTGATGACGATTCAGTGCGGGCACCGCGAGTTTCAGAATCGACATTTATCGATGTTAACTTTGGCCTACGGCTAACTGCACCCACGTCGGAAATGACACACTAAGACGGGGGGTGGGGAGGGAGGGGTCGGCAATGAAAATACTGTAACTAAAAAAGAGGCAAAAAAGGAGTCGAATTCGGTACAATTTCAAGAGCTGCTATGCACTTGAATTACGAGACGGTGAGTCCTCTTTGAATAACGGTGTCACGAAGCAGGTTCTTGAAAAGAGCCGTAGGTTGCCGACCGCCTGCACTAAGGTCATCGGCACATCGCAGGGGCAGCAGCAGCAGCTTTGTGATGCAGTCACTACTGACCCTCGACCTCACTGGAAAATGTTGGCACGTATGTGCCCACGTGTGCAATGTAGGAGCTTTGTTTAGCTTTTAGTTTTAACGACTTTCGGAACGGGTCGCCGTTAAAGGCCGAGGCCGTTGCGGTTCGATCGAAATCGGCGCGTCAAGATTTTCTCGTGCAGCTTGCCCTGCAGTGCCTCATCTTTCTCAAGAGAGCGTGCGTTGTTTCGGACCAAATGCGAGACGCGAGAGGGGGGGGGGGGACAGTTTGAGCACACGTATGTTTGTCATAAAGGGGACGCTGGATGTAACGCTGCCGCTGCGTCGGGATGTTACTTTGCGTTGGCATCGAGGGCGTCGTAGGATTTCTTCCACTCATTGCCGTTTGTTAGTTTTTGTTTTTTTAATATATATGTAAAACTTTCTTTTGTTGGAGAGCGTCGTTCATCGGCCAAATGAGACGTCACGGTCGGTGACCTGCCGTTATATTTCAGTTGATGCATCGCCTTGTTTGTGTTGCCTCTTCTTCCATGCCGAAATACATGATACCACATTTCGTCATTTTCTGCGTGCGCCTGCGTGTGCGCCTGCGTGTGCGCCTGCGTGTGCGTGCGGCGGTGGGGAGTGGTGGTGGAGCGGTGAGCGTGTGGCACTACGAACCCGCAACCAGTGTTCGGTTCCCGCTCACGCCCAACACCGGTGATGATTATTGGAACCGGTCCTGGGCCTCCCCTAGATTGACTCGGCCTCAAATGTGTACCTGGTGCGATGTGTAAACATTGCCACCAAGGAGACAAAGGCGGCCGGGCATTGTGCTGGCCACCCACCCCCTCGTGTGTCGTGTCAACTTCATAGGTGCTCGTTAACAGCACTTGTTCCAACAGTCTGTTAAGGCTATATGGGGGAATTTGTGTATTTATCTTTCTACGTGTGTGAACCGTCTAATTATCAGTATGCAATTAACCACTGACTCGTCTAACAATGGTTACCCCAAACCTGTGCCACGGTGCCAATGACGTTCTACAAATCCCGTCACAGACAACAACACAAGATCCTCCATTCGCCACTAAGTGGCGGTGACGTCACCACAGCGCTTGTGCCAGGCTACGTGCACGTTGAGGCCACGTGAAGTGTCGAACGCTCGCTGGCAGGAGGTCACGGGGCAGGCCCAGGTGCCACAGGTCGACTGACTGAGATGACTGGCTGATGCGCCACCTGTGCCCCCTACTGTGCCAATTTGCTGTGCTTTAGCCACCCGGTGCTCGGCTCGTTGTTGTGAGTGTCGTTCCTCCACCCTCGGTTGTTGGAGGACGACTGCCTCCAACTGCCCAGTAGCGTCCTTCACGAGCCTCCTCAACAGAGGCCGATCACAACAACCGCCATTCACCCCTAAGTGGCGGTGACGTCACCACGATGCTTGTGCCAGGCTACGTGCACCTTGAGGCCACGTGAAGTGTCGAACGCCCGCTCGCAGGGTCACGGGGCAGACCCAGATGCCACAGGTCGACTGACCGAGACGACTGGCTGATGCACCACCTGTGCCCCCTACTGTGCCAACTTGCTAACAACACAACTGACGCACCTTTTATTTTTAAACACGGGAGAAAAGAGCGTATTAGTGCGGAGAATACGACTACTCTTCCTCTTTCAATTATTCCTGAGCCACAAGTGTGGCATCTGACATCGTTGTTTTCTCGGGCCTGATCTGGTCCTTTCTCGATTGAATAACATCTGTCTAACCTAAATACACTGCGCTTAAGCTCTGCAATAAGACCTTACACTGGACCTAAATATGTCTTCATATATACACGCAAATGTACATACATAGAACTTTAAATGTGTAACGTACAAACAAAAAAGCCTTCGTGACGACGTGCGTTTGACCTTTGTATTCCTAAATACGTGGATGGTTTGACTCTGTTGTGGTGCGGACTTTCTTATCCACCTTTTACCCGTCAACTTCTGAGGTCACATGGTAGCGTTCACTTGCGCGTTTCATCGCAGCGATGGTCATCAAGTCCTTGCTTGTGTCGCGTTGTGTGCGAGTGTGCACGCTCCCCAGGTGTCTGCTACCCGACGCCACATCGCTAACGGTTAAATAAATCTCCGTGCTCAAGACAGCGGAGCTCTTCCCTGTGTTTATCCGAGTGTGTGCCGCGTGCGGTTGTGGGGAGCGGGTCGCGTTGCGGTCAGCGTGCTGCGCTACGAACCCGTTGGCCGCGTCATCATCCTTCCAACGAGTGTCACGTGGTAATCGCGATTTGATCATTCTCACCGATGGGATGAACCAATTTCAAGAGTTAATGTTCATAAACCACGAGGCCATCGTATCGCTAACACCCGAGAACCCCGCTGTAAACCACAGCGGGTGGAGGACACTCGGATTCGAACCGAGGATTTTTTTTCAGGGGCGTTGCTGGGCTCGGTGCTTGCCCGCATGACACAACATCAGCCCCACGAGCCACAACTCCGGGCTCACGTCTCTTTATATTTAATTTTGTTCGCTTGGAAGGTTGGCCTCGTGGTTGCTGGGTGACAGCTTCGCGTTACCACCACGCCGCAACCTTCCCCGCGATGATCATCACACCCAGGTGGGGCCACGGGGTGGGGCTGTTGTGGGTGGTGGTGGTGGTGGTGTGGGTGGTGTCTCAAATGAGAGGACGCGCAGAATTGAAGGTGGTGTGTTCTTTTTTGGTCAAACCGCAAAGCTGGGATTGCAAGATTGGGATGGGATGGCGGGGATTTAAAGAGATTGAGATTGCAACAGTGGCGTTGTAAGACTGCAAGGGTTTGGCAATTGCAAAAAGCCTCGTTTCAAAACTGGCTTTTTCGAGAGACTGATTGCGAGACGTGGATTTCAAGAGACTGATTGCGAGACGGGGATTGCAAGACTTGGATTGAAAGAGGCTTACGAACACATCGCTGGCACCGGGGAGCTATTGCCAGGCCGATTGATTCCGTACACCGCCTGCCCCTGGATCGTCTGACAATTGGTCCGACGATTCGGGGGAAGGAGCGTTCGCTATTCCGGCTGCTGAGCGCGTGGACAGCGCTGGAGTGTCGAGATTCTATGGGCAGTGGTTTGAGACTGCGTGTGGAGGGCCGGGATCGCATTGGAACCTACTCCAGCAAGCAGCCAGGGTCCTGGAGGAGCTAGTGGGTGAGAGGTCCCATCGTGACCACCATCATCATCGTCGGCTGCTCATAAAATCTGCGTAGTCTTCATCTTTGCCGCCTCCATCATCATCTTCATCGCCTTCGTTGCTGTGATTGTCTTACCTTTGATTTCCCTTTATTGTTTAACGTAAATATAGTTTCGTTCAATCGTGTTATTGTTCTTCATACTTTATTGTTGTTATTGATTTATTCGGCTGTTAGAAATCCTTTCAACTGTGTTCGTTTCTTTCATCATCATTGTCATCTCTTGCTATTGGTTTTCCTCTATTTTTTTTAAAGATCTTCGCTGTTTTTCATCATCATATATTATTTTTAATCAGCCTCATTGTCATCTTTTATTTTCGTCACCATCATCATCATCACACTCGTCATCACCCTCTATTCGCATAATCATCGCGATCCAGAAAACTAACCACTGATTGGCGCGGTTGGCTACGTACGGTGTGAAAGAAGTTCAACTTACATCTCGCGTCCACTCAAAGCAGTCGTCATCATTTACAACTCCAAAATCCACACACAAACCACCACCAATACCGCCAGCACTACCACGAGTACCACCTCCACCAGTAGCACCAGCAGCACCAGTAACAACATCACCACCAGCACCACTCAGCATCACTATCACCACCTCCACCAGTACCACCACCACCACCACCTCCAGCACCACCAGTACCACCACCAGCACCACCAGTAGCACCAGCTGCACAAGTAACAGCATCACCACCACCTCCAGCACCACTCATCACCACCAGCACCACCTCCACCAGCACCACCACCAGCACCCCCCCCCCCGCCCCACGCCAACCGAGCACGATGGCCAAGAAGCGCCTCATGTCGGAGAACGAGTTCGCCACCGAGTACTCGCTCGAGTACTCGGCCGAGCGCTCCGCGTCGCACCGCGGCGTCTTCGCGTGCTGCTCGCGCCTCGTGCCCTTCGTGCGTCTCACCTTCGAGCCGGCGGCCGTGGAGTCGCTCTACCAGGGCTACTTCCGACGCCAGCGCGCCGCCACCCTCACCGTTCTCGTCGCCTTCGTCGCCCTCTTCGGCGCCTACGTCCTGGCCACGTGCGCAGCGCTCTACTCGCGCGAGAAACTCCCCTCGCTCGTGGTGGCCGCGCTGGGCGTGAGCGCGGGCGCTCCGCTGCTCGCCCTGGCGCGTCGAGGAATCGTGGCCGAGCGTGCGGCACCCTACGTGGCGTGGCTCCACTCCGAGGTGCTCCTCTACGCATACCTCGCCTCGTACGCGTCCGGCGGCAAGGGCGCGCAGCCGGCCGACGCGCTCGCGTGGCGCGTCTTCTTCACGTTCGCCCTCTTCATCTCGATGCCCCTCGCTCTGCCCGCGCTGTCGCTGCTCGCGCTGCTGCCCAACGCCCTCTACATCGTCGTCGTGGCACTCGCCGCCTCGCTGCACGAGCCGCGCGCAGACACGGAGCCCGCCACCCTCGTGCTCCAGGTGGCCCCGCGGCGCGCGCGCGAGACCCCCTCCCCACCATCCACCCACCCCGGTGTCCCTCTGCACGTTCGTCCGTCGGTCCGTTTGTCGGTCTGGCTGTGCGTCTGGCTGTTGGTCCGTCTGTCTGTCTGTTGATCCGTCTGTCTGTCTGGCTGGCTGACTGTGCGTCTATTTGGCTATGCGTCTGTCTGTTGGTCCGTCTGTCTGTCTGGCTGTCCGTCTGTTGGTCCGTCTGTCTGTCTGTTGATCCGTCTGTCTGTCGGTACGTCTGTCTGTCTGACTGACTGTCGGCCTGGGTGTCCGTCTGTTGGTTTGTCACTTTGTTTGTCTGTCTGTCCATCTGTCCGTCCGTCTGTCAGTTCGTCCGTCTGACTGGCTGTCCGTCTGTCTGTCTGTTGATCCGTCTGTCTGTCTGACTGTAACGGGGACCGTGAGGGTGTCGGTGGGGTAAGTGGGGAGTGGGTTATGATTAGTCGCGACAAGTCTATCCAATTCAAATGAAACGTCGGTGCCGACTTCTCTACCCATTCCGCGACTTCGCCCGACAGGAAACTGCGTGGCCGAATCCATCAAAGGAAACTCATTGCCCGCAACCCTGAACCCCTCTCTAACGCTCGCTTGCCTGGACCCCTTTGTCTCCGAGCCCCCCCAAGTTGTCCATCGCAGAATTCGCGTTGGACACTGCTGCTTTGAACGCGCGCCTTTGCGCGCACGCCACCGCCACTCGTGCCAATTAAATACATCCCAGGCAGTAGCGTGGGGGGCAGTGGGGGCGAGGGGGGGCAAGGGGGTGCCTTGCCCCCCCCCCACCCACCCCCCTGGTGGCCAAAGCTACGAGTTGGGACCCCCCCCTCCCCCCCTTGATCACCACCTTGAAATTTGTTGTCGACTATTGCGGGGCCCCACCTCACCTATTGCCGCACCCCCTGATGGTGTTAGTGATTGATGGTGTTAGTGACTGATGGTGTTAGTGACTGATGGTGTTAGTGATTGATGGTGTTAGTGGCTGATGGTGTTAGTGACTGATGGTGTTAGTGATTGATGGTGTTAGTGGCTGATGGTGTTAGTGGCTGATGGTGTTAGTGACTGACGGTGTTAGTGACTGATGGTGTTAGTGGCTGATGGTGTTAGTGGCTGATGGTGTTAGTGACTGATGGTGTTAGTGACTGATGGTGTTAGTGGTGTTAGTGAATGATGGTGTTAGTGACTGATGGTGTTAGTGACTGATGGTGTTAGTGACTGATGGTGTTCGTGAATGATGGTGTTAGTAGTGTTAGTGACTGATAGTGTTAGTGACTGATGGTGTTAGTGACTGATGGTGTTAGTGACTGATGGTGTTAGTGACTGATGGTGTTAGTGACTGACGGTGTTAGTGACTGATGGTGTTAGTGACTGATAGTGTTAGTGACTGATGGTGTTAGTGACTGATAGTGTTAGTGACTGACGGTGTTAGTGACTGATGGTGTTAGTGGTGTTAGTGACTGATAGTGTTAGTGGATGATGGTGTTAGTGATTGATAGTGTTAGTAACAGATGGTGTTAGTGACTGATGGTGTTAGTGACTGATGGTGTTAGTGACTGATGGTGTTAGTGGCTGATGGTGTTAGTGATTGATAGTGTTAGTGACTGATGGTGTTAGTGACTGATGGTGTTAGTGGTGTTAGTGACTGATGGTGTTAGTGGATGATGGTGTTAGTGATTGATGGTGTTAGTGGCTGATGGTGTTAGTGATTGATAGTGTTAGTGACTGATGGTGTTAGTGACTGATGGTGTTAGTGACTGATGGTGTTAGTGACTGATGGTGTTAGTGGCTGATGGTGTTAGTGATTGATGGTGTTAGTGACTGATGGTGTTAGTGACTGATGGTGTTAGTGACTGATGGTGTTAGTGGCTGATGGTGTTAGTGGCTGATGGTGTTAGTGACTGATGGTGTTAGTGACTGATGGTGTTAGTGGCTGATGGTGTTAGTGACTGATGGTGTTAGTGACTGATGGTGTTAGTGACTGATGGTGTTAGTGACTGATGGTGTTAGTGGCTGATGGTGTTAGTGACTGATGGTGTTAGTGACTGATAATGTTGGGAGGCAGTTACAGAAAACCTTCGTCATCAACTCAGCATCATCGTCGTCCCTTGGGGGGGTGGGTCGATAAAGTTGAGTAACACACAGTGGTGACTGGACATAGCACGTGCGAGCCATTAAGGAGCCCAACCAAACACGAATTTTCCATCTAAACAAAACACCGCATCCACATTTTGCTAGCCAACTCACGACCACCTCCCCTGACCTCAACCCTCCAACCCTCAAAGAGAACCAAACTCTTCACCTGTCCCCCTCCAACTCTATGATCGAACCCCGACTCCCGTGACCGTGACCGTGACTCTAACCGTGGTCCCTCCGGCGCAGCTGGTGGCAGACGCCCTGGTGCTGCTGTGCGGGGCTCTGGCCGGGCTGCTCGCCTACCTGATGGCGGACCGCAAGCAGCGGCGAGCCTTCGTGGAGGCGAGGCAGTCCCTCGAGGTGAAACTCAGCCTCGACGAGCAGAGGCTGCAGCAGGTGAGGGCTCACGCAACATCCCTGCCACCACCTGTGAACACCTGCACTTCCCTGTGACCACCTGCACCACCCTGTCACCACCTGTAACCACCTGTGACCACCTGCACTACCCTGTCACCACCTGTAACCACCCTGTAAACACCTGCACCACCCTGTAAACACCTGCACCACCCTGTGACCACCTGCACCACCTGTGACCACCTGCACCACCTTGTCACCACCTGCACCACCTGCACCACCTACACCACCTGCACCACCTACACCACCTGCACCACCTGCACCACCTACACCACCTGCTCCCTTGTGACCACCTGCACCACCCTGTCACCACCTACACCACCTGCACCACCTGCATCACCTGCACCTCCCTGTCACCACCTGTAGCACCCTGTCACCACCTGTACCACCCTGTAACCACCTGCACCACCCTGTGACCACCTGCACCACCCTGTGAACACCTGCACCATCCTGTCACCATCTGCACCACCTGTGACTACCTGCACCACCCTGTAACCACCTGCACCACCTGTGACCACCTGCACCACCTACACCACCTGCACCACCTGTACCACCTGTACCACTTGCACCACCTGCACCACCTGCACCACCCGCATCACCTGCACCACCTGCACCACCTACACCACCTGCACCACCTGCACCTCCCTATCACCACCTGCACTACCTGTGACCACCTGCACCACCTGCACCTCCTACACCACCTGCACCACCTGCACCACCTACACCACCTGAACCACCAGTGACCACCTACACCACCCTGTGACCTCCTGCACCTCCCTGTGACCACCTGCACCACCCTGTCACCACCTGCACCACCTGTAACCACTTGCACCTCCTGTGACCACCTGCACCACATTGTGACCACCTGTACCACCCTGTCACCACCTGCACCACCTGTACCACCTGCACCACCCTGTCACCACCTGCACCACCCTGTAACCACCTGCACCACCTGTATCACCCTGTAACCACCTGTGACCACCTGCACCACCTGTGACCACTTGCACCACCTGTCACCACCTGCACCACCCTGTCACCACCTGCACCACCCTGTCACCACCTGCACCACCTGTACCACCTGCACCACCCTGTCACCACCTGCACCACCCTGTAACCACCTGCACCACCTGTATCACCCTGTAACCACCTGTGACCACCTGCACCACCTGTGACCACTTGCACCACCTGTCACCACCTGCACCACCCTGTGACCACCTGCACCACCTGCACCACCTGCACCACCCTGTCACCACCTGCACCCCCCTGTCACCACCCTGTGACCACCTGCACCACCTGCTCCCCCTCTTCCTGCATGCTCCCACCTGCAATCCCTTCAACTCTTCTGCGCCGCCATGCGCAGCCTGCACCCGATGCTGTGCATCCTGGTGGTGATGCCCTAGGGCCTTGCGCGCAGGGAGCGAGTGTGTTGGGGCAGGTGTGACTCTCAGGTGCGCTAGATGATGCACAACGCTGCACGGGCAGGAAATGCTGCCTCTACGGATGTGATGGTGTCTGTCTTATTATAATTGTTGTTAATATCACTCACTCACTGGCCTCCCTCCCTCTCTTGCTCACCAATGCACTCACCTACTCGTTCGCCGATTAACTCGCCATCTCTTCCCCTTATTCAACGCGCTCATTCACTCACCTACTCGTCCATCCACTTCATTGCTTGCTCAACCAATTCACGAACGCCCTGGGCGATTTACTCACGCACTCAACCACCCCCGAACCAACCACTCACCCCCCACTCATCCATCCGTCGCCTCCGCCTCCTTGACGTTGTCACGCAGATTGTGTATCTCTAGACACCTGCCTTCACCTGTCTCTCTCTCTCTCAACATCTTCCCGGAAGCTCCTTCGTCACGCAATCTCCACCGTAGGACGTGCCCGATCTATCCACGTCTTCTGTCTTGTCTGGCTCGTCATCAACACGCGGCACCACCATCGCGCACACAGCCACAATACCACCTCGCTGACCTCGTCAAGGAGTATTAAACCATCAATCACGCAAACTCCGATCATCCTCGCAGCAGCAGCGGCAGCGGTGGCTCTTGGCTCACCGTCGAACAAAGACGGCGGTCACCGCATCGCGCGGCGCTTTTAGATGCGCTTCCGCGGCCGTCTGGAACGTTCTTCCTTCCGATATTAGCAAGCCACTGGAGCTACGCACTTTTAAATCATCATTTAGATTGCCAAACTCATTTCTTTAGAACTGCTTTGTCTTTAGTTTGTTGTTCTTCACCCCCCCCCCCCCCACCGGCACCTCCGATTAGCGCAGTCGGCTACGTACGGTGCGAAAAAAAGTTCAGCGTGCACACAGCGCCATCGCCTCGCATCCTTCCGTCCTCCTCCATCGGCCTTTCACCACCCCAGGATGTGCCTCATCCGCATTCTTCTGCCTCCTCCGGATCATCGTTCGCGAGACGCGTCTCCTCCTGAACCGATGTTCAAACTGGGTGTATGATGCTTTCAGACGGAGCCCGGCGAGGCGTCGATTTGTCGTGATTCGTCCGTGTCGCATTGCGCGCCCCGCCGGGTGTTTAACAAAGCGGAGCAGGCGCCTTCGCCTAGAGATCAGGGTCCAGATCCGTTTATGTTTGGGGCACGATTGGCAGCTAAATAAGTTACAAAATGATAATAATAACAATAACACATTGTCCTGCGGAGGGAGCTGGTAGGAACGTTGGGTTGCTCGGTCAATGGCCAGGGTCAACGGCGGCGTGGTGTATTCCGCAAATATGCCCGACTGTGAGGGCGGGCACAAGCCGGCGTGAGTAGGTTCAACGTTGAGTTTTATAAGGGCACCACGGGGTGACCAGCCCCTCCCCACCCAGCCCCACCCAGCCCCACCCTCCCCACCCAGCCCCTCCTCACCCTCCCCTCTCCACCCAGCCCCACCCCTCCCATTTTTGGATGCACGACGGACGGACGGACACAATAATCCCCTGTGGGCTGGTGGAACCAGGTGGTTCCTCTGCCTGTGTCCTCTCTTTGGAATTTTCACACTTAAATTCTAACTTAGCAATCTTTGAAATACGTAATCAACCGGGCTATGCGTTGCGTGTTGACCGACTCTCTGTGTTGCATTACATTACATTTAGATATTTTACTAGGTTATTTAATTTTAGTGTGTCTTTCTCCTAATTTTCAAGCTTGCGTGCCACGTCGTTGTCCACTCATTGACATGCTAATTTTTTCTCTGCCCCCTCCCTCTCTCCGCGCCCGCCCCCTCTCTATATTTAAGGCCCCGTCATAGATACGACCTCTCTCTTTGTGCCGATATGTGTTCTCTCTCTGTGTGTCCTTGTGATGTCTGTCTGCTTGTATGTCTGTCTATAGTTTTCTGGTTAGATTTGTGTTGCTATTTCTTTTATACCTGATGATGATTGCTTGTGTTGCAATCGAAACGTCGTAGTATGCTATTATTTAATTTATTATTTTATCTTTATACGTGACTTTACCGAAAGAACCAAAGAATAATTCCTGCAGTCACGAAAGCTCCAAAATTAAGACCCTACCAGTAATATTGCGCGGTTTAAACAATCTGCTGCGTCTTCTTGTATGTGCCCGTTTGAGTGTTTCCGTTCACGTATTTGTACACGCGTGCCGCCGAATATCCTCACAACATTTAGGCTCCCTTATTTCCCTGGCTTGCCAGCTTGTTATTGAATCCTGTGACTGTACACTGGAGATGGGCGTCCTCTGTGCTGTTGGGGGGGCTGTGTGGGGTGAGTGGAGGCGGGGTGGATGTCACCGGAGCCAGGGTAGGGAATTGAACTCCCAGCGCCTCCCTCGGTGGTGTCAACGAGGGATGAGAGCGATCCTAGGCACCCCGCACGCTACAGACGCAACCACAAGCAGATCTTATCGGGGTTTCTTTTTTTATTACAACGGCCCGGATCGCCAAGTGGCCCAGTAACAAACAGCACTTTTGAAGTTGTGAGGTCAAGGCTCTGTTCCTTGGGGCGAATTGATGAATTGGTGAGTGAGTGAATGATCAATGAACGAATAAGCGAGTGATCAAACGAATGCGCGAATGAATGACGGCTGTGACCTCAGGCTCAACGTCTGCTCTCTGTCCCGAATGAATGAAAGATGATTGCACTCAGCGAACAAGCGAATTCGTAAATGAACCAGCGAGCGAATGAACGACGTCTGTGACGCCAGGAACGACTGCTGCTGTCCATACTGCCGCATCACATCGCGGACGAGATGCTGACGGACATCAGGAAGGACAAGAGTCAGAACGACACGCAGCAGTTCAGCAGCCTCTACATGTACCGCCACGAGAACGTGAGGTGCGTGGGGCTGGGGGGGGGGGCTCTGGGGGGGGCGAGAGAGATGATGGGCGAGTGGTCGTCATGTGTATGCTGAACTTATTTCGCGCCGTACGTAGCCAACTGCGGTGATGGTGGTGGTGATGATGGGTAACTTCCGCAGTAGCGATGATGGCAACGATTATTAGTCGTGGTTTATGTTGTATTGTTGTTATTATAATTGATGTGTCTATGCGCGTTTACCCAGGAAGGCATCACCGAGTCATGTGACTCTTTTTTCAGGAGGGTCCTGCCAACTTGTGTCAGTCGGGATGCGATGGTTTCCGTGTGTAATGAGGTTGAGTGATGAAGCTGATATAGTAATATTATGAGCATGATGCTGATAAAGCAATGGTGATGATTGCATCTTAAGACAATGATGGTATTCTGTCCGCTGGTGTTGATGATTATGTCGATGGTGGTGGTGTGACCGGGGTAGTATAATGTTCGCTGGTGTTGATGATGATGATGTTGATGATGTTTATGATGGTGGTGTGGCTGGGGTAGTATTCTGTTTGCTGTTGATGATGGTGTTGATGATGATGGTGGTGGTGATGGTGGGGTAGTATTCTGTTCGCTGGTGATGATGATGATGTTGATGATGATGGTGGTGGTGATGGTGGGGTAGTATTCTGTTCGCTGGTGATGATGATGATGTTGATGATGATGGTGGTGATGGTATGGTAGTATTCTGTTCGCTGGTGTTGATGTTGATGATGTCGATGATGTTGATGATGATGGTGGTGGTGGTGTGGTAGTATTCTGTTCGCTGGTGTTGATGATGATGATGTTGATGATGATGGTGGTGTGGTAGTATTCTGTTCGCTGGTGTTGATGTTGATGATGTCGATGTCGATGATGTTGATGGTGGTGGTGGTGTGGTAGTATTCTGTTCGCTGGTGTTGATGTTGATGATGATGTTTATGGTGGTGGTGGTGTGGTAGTATTCTGTTCGCTGGTGTTGATGTTGATGATGATGATGTTGATGATGTCGATGATGTTGATGATGATGATGGTGTTGATGATGATGGTGTTGATGATGATGATGGTGGTGTGGCTGGGGTAGTATTCTGTTCGCTGGTGTTGATGATGATGATGTTGATGATGATGTTGATGATGATGTTGATGATGATGATGATGTTGATGATGATGATGTTGATGATGATGTTGATGATGATGATGATGTTGATGATGATGATGATGTTGATGATGTTTATGATGATGGTGGTGTGGCTGGGGTAGTATTCTGTTCGCGGACATCGTGGGCTTCACGCAGCTCGCCTCCGCGTGCAGTGCGAACGAACTCGTGCGTCTGCTCAACGAACTCTTCGCGAGGTTCGATCAGCTGTCCGACGTGAGCTCACACACTCACTCTCACACACTACACACAACACACTTTCAGAGCAGACTCTCGGGGCAAGTGCTGCTATTAGTAAACTTTATATTTGCATAATTTTAAAATGGGATCGAGCATGGGATTTAGTATGGGATTATTTTATTATGTTTTATTTTTATTATTTTTTTATATCCATTTTACGTGACTTTCCGAAAGAACCAAGAAGATGAATCCCTGCAGTCACGAAAGCTTTAAATCGAAATTTAGCATGAGATCGAGCATGGATTGGAAATCGCTATTTTATAGATTCTTGTTCCATAACTTCGTATATGGGCAAGCACATGGTTCAGAATAACCATATGTGGGCATGTGACATGTACTTTATCTTGTCTTAATTTAGACCTCCATATTTGACAGACTCATGCCATCGCTTTGCAGTGTTATGTTTCACATGGTCTGCAGTAGTTTCACAATAGGGGGCGAGGGGGTATTCTCACAGCCGAGTATAGTCTGTGCAGAGGGAACGATGTTGCTATGTGGTTGTACCCAATTATATTAAATTGTAAATATTTTAACTTAGGATAAGTTTGGGTGGTGACGCTTGAACACACATGGTTTCCTACTCCTTTTGAAAGACGTCACGGGGCCTTGAGCGTCCACTCTGAGTGAATGAGCGAATCAGGTGGCGCGTACGGTGAAGATTCACACGGCAATAAAACATAATAAAATAATACAATTCTCACGACGTTTCGGCCACAACGCAAGTAGCCGTCCTGTTCTTCACCCGAGGACGTCTGCTTGCGTTGTGGCCGAAACGTCGTGAGAATTGTATTATTTTATTATGTTTTATTTTTATTATTTTATTATCTCCCTTCTACGTGACTTTACCGAAAGAACCGAGAAGATGAATCCCTGTAGTCACGAAAGCTTTAAATCGAAACCAGGCTACAGTCTACATTTTAGACTACCAGTACACTCACCAAACGTAATAACCAGGCTACAGTCGACATTATAGACTGCCAGTACACTCACTCCGATTAAGAACCAGGCTAAAGTCTACATTCGTTTTTTTTGTTTTATTTTTGTATTAACTTTATTTTTATTTTTCTATCTACGTGACTTTACCGAAAGAACCAAAGAATACAAAGAATATGCGACTCGTGTCTTTAATTTTCCATTCATGAAGGAGAAGCTGCGCATGGGCCCTGTTCATGTTCTGATGCGATGATGTTTGGGTCTCGAATTATGATTGTTGATGATGGTTATGGTGACGACGACGACGACGATGATGCTGATGGTGATGAGGAATCTGTGGACAGAATCACAAGCAGCTGCGCATCAAGATCCTGGGCGACTGCTACTACTGCGTGTGCGGAGTGCCCGAATTCATCCCGGACCACGCGGTGTGCTGCATCAAGATGGGCCTCGACATGGTGGAGGCGATCTCGTGAGATACACACAGACAGACAGACAAGGGGAGGGAGGGGATGGGGCAGAGGGACAGACACAGAGAGAGAGAGAGGCAGAGAGAAAGCGAGAGAGGCAGACAAGAGGGGAGAGACAGATGGAAAGGCAGAGAGACACGGGCAGAGAGGAACGCAGAGGGATAGAGCGAGAGGCAGACAAGAAGGGAACAAGGCAGACAAGCAAGAGAGGCAGATGTGAAGGGAAGAAAGCACAGAGGCACAGACGCAGGATGCGATTCGAGGGAAGACATTGAAGTCGCAGGCACAGGAAGGCAGATACGAAAGCAGAAAGGCAGACAAAGAAGAGAGGCATGCAGGTAGGCAGATGATTACACTGGTCAACAAAAAAAAACTTTTTTTTCTGGCCTGGACTTTTACAGCTGTTTTAGACTAATGTCAGGGTGCTGATTCCAAATCTGATCTCAGATTTGCTCTATCACATCTCATTTTTATGCTATCGGCATACCCCATTTTCATTGATTTTACCCGAAATTAACTCTGTCACTTATGATTGCAAGTTGTTGCGAGTCAGTGACTGCTTTAGTGTTAAAATATGGTGCTGTATTTTTAGGATAGTGTGTTTATAATATCTTTTTATGTAGATATCAACATTCATTTAATATTTTTCTTCTGCAGTTTTTATTGAAAATGCAATATTTGATATCTCAAAAACCTGATGTGATAGACAGATTTGGAATCAGCACCCCAAAATTACTTTAAAACCGTTGGAATACCTTATGCCAGAAAAAGTGTGTTGAGCAGTGTTATTTGACAAGCAAGGACTGCCATGGCATAGAGGTGGCGGTTAGGCTCAGAGACGAGAAGGCAGAGAAACAGAGCAGGCAGGCACAAGGAAGCAGTGAAAACCAATTAATAACGTCACGGATTTGCACTTGCACCCAGGTGCATACGCGACGATTCATTAGCGCCGTAATTACTCATTAAGGTCTCAGACTCAACGGTATTCTGAATATGGGCGCATTATAAAAATGGCGTTGCGCATTTGATTACTTTGCAAGGTGCAGTCTCAATTGGTTCATTAACCTTTGTGCTCCCTAATTGGCTGAAGCTGGCCACCCACTGGACTTAGAATTAACTCGCCAAGTGCTTTGCATTAAAACAGAACGACTAGAAGCGACGTTCTGCAATGTCATCATCTCACTTAAAACGGTTAGTTTGTTGAATCACTACTCTTAGGTTTTTTCGGTAAAGTCACGTAGGTAAAAAATTAAAATAAATAATAAAAATAAATAAATATTTATATAAATAAAATAATAAATCACGGCATTCCCCTGTCATTACCTCCCGTGGCCACCACTCCATTCGCACCGCAGGCTGACTCCCCTGTCATTACCTCCCGTAGCCACCAGTCCATTCGCACTGCAGGCTGACTCCCCTGTCATTACCTCCCGTAGCCACCAGTCCATTCGCACCGCAGGCTGACTCCCCTGTCATTACCTCCCGTAGCCACCAGTCCATTCGCACCGCAGGCTGACTCCCCTGTCATTACCTCCCGTGGCCACCAGTCCACTCGCACCGCAGGCTGACTCCCCTGTCATTACCTCCCGTGGCCACCAGTCCATTCGCACTGCAGGCTGACTCCCCTGTCATTACCTCCCGTGGCCACCAGTCCATTCGCACCGCAGGCTGACTCCCCTGTCATTACAGCTACGTGCGCAAGATGACCAACACGGACGTGAACATGCGAGTGGGCATCCACACGGGCTGCGTGCTGGGCGGAGTGCTGGGCCAGAAGAACTGGCAGTACGACGTCTGGTCCACGGATGTGACGCTCGCCAACAAGATGGAATCGGCCGGAATCCCAGGGTTAGGAACCTCCTGAACGTTTTAATTTCAACTCTCTCGTGTGAGCTCACACTTTGGTTCTCGTTTGCCCTAGGCACGGTGGCAACTGTGGCCTTTTGGATAATACGGCCCTGGTGGGTGGGTGAGTGAGTGGGTGGGTAAGTGGGTGGGTGAATGAGTGATTGAATGAGTGAATGGATGAGTGGGTGGGTGAATGAGTGGATTAATGAGTGAGTGGGTGAATGAGTGAGTAGGTGAGTGAGTCGATGAGTTGGTGAGTAAGTGGGTGAGTGGGTGAATGAGTGGCTGGGTGAGTGAATGGATGAGTGGGTGGGTGAATGAGTGGATTAATGAGTGAGTGGGTGAATGAGTGAGTGGGTGAGTGAGTGAGTCGATGAGTTGGTGAGTAAGTGGATGAGTGAGTGAATGGGTGAGTGAGTGGGTGAGTGAGTGAATGGGTGAGTGAGTGAATGGGTGAGTGAGTGAGTGGGTAAATGAGTGGCTGGGTGAGTGAGTGGGTGAGTGAGTGAATGGGTGAGTGAGTGAGTGGGTGAATGAGTGGCTGGGTAAGTGTATGGGTGAGTAGGCTCTAGGCACAGTGCCTAGTGTGGCCTCTAAGCTTTGTATCATGACATCTCGAAGTCGATGTATGTGTGTAAATCTGTACGGGATCGAGTTCTAGATTGAAAACGTATTTAATTTATCACTGCTTCCAGTGTTTAGTTTGTTGTCCTTCCCTCCGCATCCGTGCGTATCTGCGTTCAACTTCCTTCGCGCCGTACGTAGCCAACTGTGCTAAACACCACAAAAAGCAATTCTTAAAAAAATTAGTTTTCAATATAGATTTGAAAGTGCATGTGCCTGCGTTGCTCGTGACCGCACTGCCCCCCCGTAGGCGCGTGCACATCTCCCAGTCCACGTGCCAGTGCCTGCACGGGGAGTTCGCCCTGGAGGTCGGCAACGGCGGCGAGCGGAGCGACTACCTCCGCAACAAGTCCATCATCACCTACCTCGTGGTGCCTCCGGCCGAGGGGGTGAGGGTGGCGAGAGGGGGGGGGGGTGGGGGGTTTGGAGGGGGTAAAGTGGTAATTTTCCCGCGGGGGGTCTCGCACAAAAGAGGGCCCCCCCATAACGGGGGGCTCGTGGATGGTAGAATTAGGGGGCTGGGGGTGCTGGGGGGGTTGGGGGGCTGGGTATTCTGTGCCGGGCCTCCCAAGAGCGTCTGGGCAGTCCTCGAGCGGAGGCGTAGGGGAAGTGACCGGTCAATGGAAGGGTGAGCACTCGTGGCTGGCGAGTTGGTTAGTATGAGTGGCTGACTGCCTAGTTAGTTAGTACTAGTGGCTGACTGCCGAGTTGGTTAACATCAGCAATGAGACAAGGCAGCCAGGTGTGGTGTTAGCCACACCGAGCCCTCGTTGCGCCGTGCCAGCCTTAATGGGTGCTCGAAAAACAATTGTGCAGTCACTTCCCTGTACAGCTATAGTATTGAATCATTGCTGGGTTTCATTGCGTTCGCGTGTGCATCTGTCGCGCTGTGCGTGTGTCTGTGTGGATGTCTTCGCCGTAGCGGGGAGCGGTGGTGCAGCGGTTAGCGCTACAAACCCGGGGACCCGAGTTCGATTCCCGCTCACGGCCAACAGCAGTGCCCATTATCTGAACCGGTCCTGGGCCTCCCCTAGGTCGACTCAGCCTCAAATGAGTACGGTATCTGGTGTGGTGTGTAAACATCGCCACTGGGAAGACAAAGGCGTTTCGGGCGTGGCGCTGGCCACCCACCCCCTCGTGCGCCGCGCCGGCCTTCATAGGTGCTCGCTAACAGCACTTGCCCCAGCAGTATAATCAGGCTATACGGGGGATCTTTGTCTTTACGTGTCTGTCTTTGTACACAGGAGGTGCTTGCTGTGACAGCACATGCCCCAAACGTCTGTTACGAAGCAATGAGCGAGGATCTTTGTCCTTTAACACGCAGGAGACACAGATCACGACCCTCAGTGACAAGTCATCGGAGCTCATCAAAACCCGGGACGGACCGCCTGGACCCCGCGCTGCAACCCCTTCCGCTGCAGGCCAAGGGGTGAATCCACCGGATCGCTGAGACAAAGAGGCCAGGCTCAGGGAATGGGCCACCAGACAGAGCTAGGAGATTTCGTGGTGGCCGCGCCCGTGAGGGGCGCTGTTAAGGTGCACCAGATGACCAACCTCGCCACAAATCTGGCTGTCGCCTGATGAAGCTGGTTGTAATTACTGGCGAAACGTCGTACTCAGATTGTGAAAGTTGTGGCTTGGCTCTCCAACACACCGGTGTTGCTGTACGAGTGACGAATTGGCCACGTTCTGTTTACGTCACAACCCTTACTCGTTGGCTGTGTCGGGTGGTGGCGAGTTTTACTGACACGTATTTGTTTACGTGATCTAACCCAAAAAACCTCTATTGTGGATGATATTGGTCGCGAAAGCATAAGTGTTAGACCAATCTCAACTCCAGCGGGGATGATGGCTTCCTGACTCGGATCGATAGAAGCCAATCGGAATCATAATCTTTGTTTTTATCCTGTGAGAAATCCGATGAGCTATGAAGCTCTTAGTTCACAGATGTCCAGGAGGGGAGGGTCAGAAAGTTACAACAGTACAAAATCACTTAAAGCAGTATGGGGGATCGGTTGATTGATTTGTTCATCACGTATTGATTCACCACCCCCCCCCCCCCAACTCTCTCATCACTGGCCAGTCACTTGCTCGCCGCTCATTTATCGCTACTGTCGCGGACATTTATCACCACCGATTTGACGCTTTCAAACGCCCTCCCAAAAGGAGTCGCCAGACGAGATTTACCATTTTTTTCTCTCGCTCAAACCGTGTTCTCGAGCCGCGTTCAAAGCCGTCCCATCGCAGGACGCAAGATTTATCCTCCTCCTCCCCGTTGTCCTTGCGCCGTTTGCCTCCGAAGCTTCCCCTTGCCCGCAACCGTCTCCCTTGGCACGTTCCTGAAAAAACCCTTCGCTCAGTTCAACGCCAGTTGTGTCCGCTGTTTCGCAACCGCTGTCCGTCGCAGTGCCGCGTTTGTCGCGAACAGAAAACGCTGGGCCCTGCGGTCAGAGCGACTGACCCGATTCGAACCGCGCGCCTCTAGTCGTGCCGCCGGTTGGCTACGTACGGTGCGAAAGAAGTTCAACGTACACACATGCTGCAGTCTTCATAACGAACGTCAATAAATGAGCACGTGGACAGCTGACGTTCTGGCTGATGGCCGCGAGTTCCTACGTGAAGCCCTGTCGGGTGACCTCATTGAATCGGTAGTTCGTCCTCCGGGTGTCGCGGTCCGTCGCTCCTAGCCAGCCCTCCTGCATAGGCAAACAGTGGGGGGCATACACAGATTGGGGGGGGGGGGAGGGCTGTAACACCATCATAGGAGGAGGCGACACTGACACGTGCGTCTTGTTAATGCGAACGCAGCGGCCACTCGGATCGCGTCGACTCATTCGCCGATGCCATCGCCGGTTTCTCTTTCCCGGTTGAACTTGGCGGTGGCGTCGCGAGCGGGGTCACGTCAGCCGTGTTGCTTCCCCAGCGTGTTCCCCAATCAGTCGTCGTCTTTGCGTCCCCCGTACAGCCTCCATTCCCGAGTTCCCTATTTACATGCCCCTGTGATACATTCCCATCCACCCCGCACACCTCCTGTCGTTTCATCCAGAATCCCCGTCATGTTTACCTGCGTGTACCCCCCCACCCCCCGTCCGTTCCACGTCCCCCCCCCCCCCCCCCACGTATTGCCGTCTCGTCACTCTCCCCACTCATCCCCCCACGCGCGCGCGAGAGTCTTTAAATACCAGCCGGTCAAATGTTGCCACCCGACGCACCACATCTTGCAAGCACTGTAACTACGTGTGTGTGTGTGCATGTGTGTGCGTGCGTGTGTGTGCGTGTGTGTGTGTGCGCGTGTGTGTGTGTGCGTGTGCATGTGTGCGTGTGTGTACGTGTGTGTGTGTGCGTGTGCGTGTGTGTGTGTGTGTGTGTGCGTGTGTGTGTGTGTGCGTGTGTGTGTGTGCGTGTGCATGTATGCGTGTGTGTACGTGTGTGTGTGCGTGCGTGTGTGTAGGTACGTGTGTGTGTGCGTGCGTGTGTGCGTGTGTGCGTGCCATCCGGAGTGGTAGTGCAGCGGTTAGCGCGCTGGGCTGTGAACCCGGCGGGCCAAATTTGATTCCCGCTCACTGACTCCAACACCTGTGATGGTTATCTGAACCCGGTCCTGGGCCTCCCCTAGGTCGACTCAGCCTCAAATTAATGCCTAGTGTGATGTGTAAAAAAAAAAACATCGCTACTGGGGAGTGGTGCTGTCCACCCACCACCTCGTGTGCCACAGCGCCGGCCTTCACAGGTGCAGCTCGCTAACCGCACCTGCCCCAACAGTCTGTTAACGCTATACGGGGGATCTTTGTCTTTGTGTTCTCCCCGTGCTGTCCCCGTGCGCCGCAGGGCGCCGACGCGCTGGTGCTGAACCGTCGCGGCCGCGTTCACCCCGAGGGCCCGGGCCCCGACGCTGCGCCCGCCTCCTCCTCGTCAGTGGAGCCCGACCTGAGCGGCCTCCTCGACGCGGCCCTGGCGGCCAGAGAGACGGCCAGGACGTACGTACAGCACAAAGACAAAGGTCCACCCACCCCTCGTGTAGCCTTCACACGCCGTTGGGGCAAGTGCTGTTAGCCAGCAGCAGCAGCACCTGTGAAGGCCGGCACAGCACACGAGGAGGAGATGGCCCCACGCACTCCGGCACCGTGCCCGCTCGTGTTTCACACAACAGCAGTGGTACAGCGATATACGTTGCCCATGCAAGCGTTATCCAGGCTCAACCCTGCATCTGAGTGTACCCGGTCCGTTCTTGTCTCTCTCCTTCCCGCGATCGTAACGCGAGAAACAGGGCGATGAGAGCGAGCGTATTCTACTGGACGAGCGGACCATCTGTGGAAAAAAAACTTCATAGCTCACAGAATTCCTCCAGCGTCAATAAATATTCTGATTCCCGGTGACTTTTACCACGGGGTGTACGGGCGGTGCCAAGGCAAACGCGTGTGGACGTGCGGCGTCTAAACCTCCGGCTTGTCCCGCAGGGCGGAGGGGCGGCAGACGAGCAAGGTGACCCTGCGCTTCGTGGACTCGGAGCTGGAGTCTCGCTTCGCGTGCGAGCGGGAGCCACAGAGCGGAGTGGCCGTGGGATGCTCGGTGCTCATCCTCCTGCTCACCTTCCTCGCCAACATCCTCATCTCGCCGCAGTGAGTAACCCCGCCGCAGTGAGTAACCCCGCCGCAGTGAGTAACCCCGCCGCAGTGAGTAACCCCGCCGCAGTGAGTAACCCCGCCGCAGTGAGTAACCCCGCCGCAGTGAGTAACCCCGCCGCAGTGAGTAACCCCGCCGCAGTGAGTAACCCCGCCGCGGTGAGTAACCCCGCCGCGGTGAGTAACCCCGCCGCGGTGAGTAACCCCGCCGCGGTGAGTAACCCCGCCGCGGTGAGTAACCCCGCCGCGGTGAGTAACCCCGCCGCGGTGAGTAACCCCGCCGCGGTGAGTAACCCCGCCGCGGTGAGTAACCCCGCCGCAGTGAGTAACCCCGCCGCAGTGAGTAACCCCGCCGCAGTGAGTAACCCCGCCGCAGTGAGTAACCCCGCCGCGGTGAGTAACCCCGCCGCGGTGAGTAACCCCGCCGCGGTGAGTAACCCCGCCGCAGTGAGTAACCCCGCCGCAGTGAGTAACCCCACCGCAGTGAGTAACCCCGCCGCAGTGAGTAACCCCGGCGCAGTGAGTAACCCCGCCGCAGTGAGTAACCCCGGCGCAGTGAGTAACCCCGCCGCGGTGAGTAACCCCGCCGCGGTGAGTAACCCCGCCGCAGTGAGTAACCCCGCCGCGGTGAGTAACCCCGCCGCGGTGAGTAACCCCGCCACAGTGAGTAACCCCGCCGCAGTGAGTAACCCCGCCGCAGTGAGTAACCCCGCCGCGGTGAGTAACCCCGCCGCAGTGAGTAACCCCGCCACAGTGAGTAACCCCGCCGCAGTGAGTAACCCCGCCGCAGTGAGTAACCCCACCGCAGTGAGTAACCCCGCCGCAGTGAGTAACCCCGGCGCAGTGAGTAACCCCGCCGCAGTGAGTAACCCCGGCGCAGTGAGTAACCCCGCCGCAGTGAGTAACCCCGCCGCAGTGAGTAACCCCGCCGCAGTGAGTAACCCCGCCGCAGTGAGTAACCCCGCCGCAGTGAGTAACCCCGCCGCAGTGAGTAACCCCGGCGCAGTGAGTAACCCCGCCGCAGTGAGTAACCCCGCCGCAGTGAGTAACCCCGCCGCAGTGAGTAACCCCGGCGCAGTGAGTAACCCCGCCGCAGTGAGTAACCCCGCCGCAGTGAGTAACCCCGCCGCAAGTGAGTAACCCCGCCGCAGTGAGTAACCCCGCCGCAGTGAGTAACCCCGCCGCAGTGAGTAACCCCGCGCGGACCGGGACTGGAAATCGGCCCCAGGATTTTGTGAACACACACCGAGGCCCCATTTGGTGCTGGTACCAAAAAAAAATGTGCGCCGGTGAGGAAGGATCTTTGGGGCTGCAGAATATTGGGACTTAATGGCAACTGAGAGCGTAAATAAGCAATTAAGCGTACACATTAAAGGTAATAAAATATTTGGTTGAAAAAAAAATGTCACTCTGATCACATCTAGCAATTTCCCCACACAGACGTGGCCCACCGGCCCTCGGAATGGGCCGACCCCACCGGGCATTTGCCCTCCGCACTGCTGCCCTCTGTGGCCTGTCCGGGCCTGGCCACGTCATCGCAGGGGTCTGACCAAACCGGACACCAGAACGAACCGCTTTCTTTGTTGAGTCGAGAACGGAAGAGCCGAACCAAAATTCCATGTTTTTGTCCTGGAACTAAATGTACGTATGTGTGTATGTTGAACTGCTTTAGCACCTAGGCTTTCGCGACCAATATTATTCATAGTAAACCTTTTTGGGTTAGATCGCGTTATTTATAAATGTGGCATTAAAACCCGCCACCAGCCGACACAGCCAATTAGTAAGGTTTGTCACGTAAACAGAACGTGCCAATTCGTCACTAGTACAGCACGCCGTCACAAAGAAGGAGAAGACTGGCATTCGTCCATGAGCCCAGGCCAGATATTCCACCCGTTGGCACCACCCGGGGCGACGTCGTCCTTCTAACGGTGCCAATTTCACGACGAAGCGACTCAGGCGATAGCCACTTGAAGCGAGCGGTGGGTGGTGGGTCAACCGCCTGCAGTGTTTACTGCCCCGGTGGTTGTTGCTTGCCATGGCCCGTGCACTGCACAGAGCGCTGTGCAGTGGCCACTCGCCGGCAGTGCAGGAACGTGAGGGAAGAGCGTCGCTACGCAACGAGGTACGAGTGGGGGGCCTCTGCTCCAAGGTTGCTCGCCGCTCTCGCTGCAGCCCGTGATGATGTCAACCGCACCTTCCCCTGTGACCGCCCTCCCCCTCCCTCCCCCCCTCGCCCTCCCTCCCCCCCTCCCCCCTTCCCTCTCCCTCCCTCGCCCTCCCTCCCACCTCACCCAGGAGAGTCGCTCACCGACCCAGCCACAACCCACTCACCTCCTCCTCGGCTCCATCCTGCGGGCTAATGAGCATCCAGCCCCCCAGTGTGCCCCCTCCTGACTACACCGCCCACCCCCCACTCCACCCCCCTCACTGCTGATAAATCACGGGGGGCAATGAGCGAAGGAGAGGGACGGACACGACCACTCACGGTCTGCTCACCTCCGATGGCGAGCAAGCGAGCGAGCAATCCACTCGCTCCGCGTCGCGCGAATAATCACGCGCCCCGGCTAGAGAGAGAGAGATTCACATCTTTAAGATTCGCATCTCCAAGGGAGATTCAGGTCTGGCCGAGGCTCACCGTCCCTGGCGCTTTGCCTTGACGTTGGCGACTGAGACGCGAGAGGGGAATTTTGTCGCGCTTCTGCCAAAGTCGGGCGCGGAGTTTGAACTCGCGGATGAAGTTTTTCTATCGACTCGCTCCGTTGGCTTCACCCCGTCGACTCTTCGCAGATAATTCCCACAATTTACTCGCTCCCCTTGCCTCCTCCGTTCCGAGATTAGCATTTACATTGACGACGCAATGCGTCCGAATGAACGTTTCTAATGTCTGTTCGCGTCTTCCGCCGGTTGTGCCCTTGGAGTGCGTGGTTCGTTTCAATGTTTTGGTAACAAAAAAAAATATTGATTGGGAGTCAAATAAAACATTAAAAAATCCGAATTAACCGACAATGTGGTGTGGGCCGTAATAGCGACATCCGCAGAGAGAATTAAAATCATTAGGCCATTACGCGAGCACGCTCCAGGAAGCATGCGCACATTAAGAACACGGCTTAGTTAATGTCACCGATAATAATTAGCAATCGCGCTCTAAATTAACCGTAAACGCTGCCTTGCCGGAGCGGGGGACCGCGCACGTGACCCGGCCGCCTCGATCGCACCGCTCCGTTCCAGGTGCTGCGTTCTGGCTTTGTGCCTTCGGACACAGAGAGGCGGAGAGGCAGATTTAGAAACTTCCCAAAGAAAGGGGGTTGGGGGAGGGGGTCGGGAGGGGGTCGGGGGGGTGGAGGGAGGGAGGGGGCCCATCCCAAAATTTTAAGACTTTCAACCATGGTCCTACAGTAATTAATAATAATAATAAAATTGGGGGTAAATATAAAAACCTGAACAATGTTCGGGGTCTCAAGGGGCGGGGGATCTGCCAGCACTGTCCCGTGATGGCAGCAGCAGCAATGCGTTCTTCAGCAGCTCGATGCTAATGCCGAGGTCTGCTGCCTGCCACAACGAGAGGGCTTCAGCAGCAGAGAGAGCGAGTTCGTGTCGTGTCGCTGTTCCTCCTCCTCTGTTGAAGGAGAACAGACCCACGGTGGGTTTACTGTGCGGTTCGTGGCTTGGGTTGAATGGCCACAGTTGCACTGTGGCTTCTGTTTAGTGCATCTCCATGGGTCTCTGTGTATCTAGATTAGTCTCTGTATGTGTCTATGGCTTTACTATATGTCCCCGTAGCTTGGGAGGCATAGTCACAATCACACGACTGTGGCTTGTATCTTTCATCTTCCACGGACTCTCAGACACATTTATTTTTTACTGTTTGGCCGTGTCGGGTGGTGGAGGGTTACGACACATTTATAAATAACGCGATCTGACCCAAAACCCTATATTATGAATAATATTGGTCGCGAAAGCCTGCTACGTGTTAAATTGACATTTATTTGGCCTAAAAACCGGGTGACCTCACCCTTGGGGGCCCCTGCCTACCTGCCTATCCCCAATCAAAGACGGTCACCGCATCGCACTGCTGCCAGATGCACTTCCGCGGCCGTCCGGAGCACCCTTAGGAGAGCCACTGGAGCCGTGCGCTTTTGAATCTACTTTGAAAACTAATTTCTTTAGAACTGCTCTTTTGTGTTTAGTTTGTTGTCCTTCCCTCCCCCCCCCCCCCCCACTGCACCGCCGATTAGCGAGGTTGGCTACGTACGGCGCACACACGCAGCCTCTCCCTCACCTCCGATGACCCCCCCCCCCCCGTACGTTTGAAGGCTGATCGCCAACTACGTGCACCTTCGTGCTGGGGGAGACGGTGCTGGTGTCGCTGACGGCGCTGCTACTCGCCGCCGTCTTTCCCAAGGTGAGCAGCTTGCCACCCCCCCACCCCCCAAGTGTCGGTTTGGAGCCGCCGATCTGGTGTCCTCCGCTACGCGAGCCGCAGCGCCCGGTGAACCTGCCTCGTGCCGCGCAGAGACAGCTGCCACTGGGGGGCGGGGGGGGCCCTTTGAGATGGGGGCGCTGCTGCGTGCCGCGCGTCACGTGTCAAGCGCACTGAGGACGCCGCCAGCGGATTGGGCGCCCGATACAACAACAAATGATGACTTGCTTATCATTATCATTGTTAATACGAAATCTGGGAAAGGTGGGTTTAGCGTGGTAGCTCTCGGTGTCCCTCGGTCCGCTCTGCCCTCCCAGCGGAGGCGTCTTTTCAGTTGAGGACCGATGGAAAATGTGTGTACAGACGCGAGGCACCGCTGGGACGATGTGTCGAGCGCCTTGCCTGTGTATAACGCCTCCCTGCATCGCTTTATATTTAGCACGTGTGTGTGTTCGTGTACGTGTGTGTGGCTATGGAGAGTGGTGGTACAGTGGTTGGCTCACTGTGCTGTGAACCCCCATGACCTGAGTTGGATTCCCTCGCCCGACCAAAAATAGTGGTGAATGTCTGAACCAGTCCTGGGCTTCCCCTAGGTCGACTCAGCCTTGTATGCAAACGGCGGATGGGCATTGTGGTGGCCACCCACTCCCCCGTGCGACGTGCCGGCCTTCATAGGTGCCCGCGAACGGCACTTGCCCTGATAATCTGTGAACGTTATACGGGGGATCTTTGTTCTTGTGTGTCTGGGTGGTGCGTGTGTACGTGTGTGCGTGTGTGTATGGATGGGGAGCGGTAGTGGAGCGGTTAGCGTGCTGCGCTACGAAGCTGGTGACGCGGGTTCAATACCCGCTCACGGTCAAAATCAGTGGCGATTATCTGAACCGGCCCTGGGCCTCCCCTAGGTCGAGTCAGCTTCAAATGAGTACCTGGTGCGGTGTGTAAACATCTCCACTGGGGAGACAAAGGCGGTCGGGCGTGTTGCTGGCCACTCTCCCCCCCCCCCCCCCCCCGTGTGCCGTGCCAGCCTTCATAGGCGCTACTCGCTAACAGCACTTGCCCCAACAGTCTGTGAAGTCTACACGGGGATCTTTGTATTTGTTGTGGGTGGTGCATGTGTAGGCGTAAATGTCTGCTTATTTTCTGTGGTGTTCGCGTCGTCGTTATTGCACTGCACTACGAACCTGGTGTCCCGAGTTTGGTTCCTGGCCATGGCTAACATCAGCGATGATTGTATATTAGGTCCTAGGCTGCTCACTGTTTCATAGCTTTCATGGCTTTATTTTGGTGATTTTCGAAAAGTTTTTTGGTTTGGCCATGTTTGTTTGTTGTAGTACAGAGTTAGACTGATGGCCTTAATCTAAGTTGTCTTGTGGTTGTTGTTGTTTGACTTCCATCCCACTGGGATTTTTGCACACAGTGTTGGTGTACGGTGCTTTTTCTGCAATATTTTGCTGTCTTTTCTTGGATTTTCTGTTTGCACTTAGTCACTTTACGATGTTTTCTTGTTCATGTTTTTGTTTTCTGTTTGTTGCGGTTGCATCCGATTAAAGAGCCGAGTGGCTCACACGGCTATACCTAATAAATGAACTAGAACTCCGCACACTGTTCCATTTCTTGAGCTTCCAGAGTGCGATTTCCAAATCTTCACAACTTTGAAATGTTCAGGGGCTCCTCCAAAAAACATCCCCGTTGTATGCTGAACAGGGTAACCTCCGCCACCACGTCATCTCGAGGACTCCGCTGCCCTCTGACCCCTGACGAGCCACACGGCCACCTCGAGCACGCACGACCGGACGCGAACCGCTGAATTTGAGAACCGACGGTTGTCTTGCACCGCGTTGACGCGCGTCCACCCGTCCCCCCATTCTGCCCGTCCCCCCAATCCGCTCGTTCCACCTGTTCTGCCCCCCCTCATTCCGCCTGTCCCCCCCCCGCCCCCGTCCCCCCCGCGCGAGTGCGCAGCTCTTCAAGAGGAAGCTGGCGCGGCTGTCGGCGTGGGTCGACTCGACGCGGTGGGCGCGCAACTCGTGCGCCGTCACCGCCGTGCTGGTGCTCATCGTGGTGGAGATCGCGAACATGGTGAGTGCGTGCGTGCGTCACATCCCACCCCCTCGCCCCCAACACGCCGATTCGTCGCACGCGGTAAACTCTCACGGCCGCTGCCCTGTCGGCTTTTCAACGGTCACGTTATAAAGCTACAGGCGAGCGTCGGTAACGTTCTGCTACTCCTCCGACGGCTCCCAAATGTCCGACGTTTGGCTCCCACGTGCCGGAAGCGGCTCCTTCAGTTTCCCGACGAGGGAGCTCCCGGCGTGCATGGGGCGAGACGTCGGACGTCTTGCCGAAGAACAGCGAGCGGTTCGACCGGAAGAGCCGTCGAAAGAACCGTCGTGCCGATAAATTGGATTTTATTTGGATAAAACTGTGAACTGGAAACCCGGGTGATCTTGTGTCCGTGAGTAACACTTTGCCGCCATCGTTATCTAAGCTCTCGCATGGCCGGTATCGCGCAACGATCCGCGACGCTCGCCAGCTGAGACCGCGATCGATATCGCCCGTGCTCACCCGCTTGTATTTCTTACGGGGGAAAAAAAATCAAACCTCGCTAACGACCCGGAGCCAACGCCCAGCGGTTAAGTTCGCACCGTTTCATTAGCGAGGCCTCCTGGCTCCGTCTCATCGCGCCCGCTCAACCGAATAATTTCCCCTTCATCTCCGGCGGCTTAGCGTGATCTTGTTTTCCCCACAATGTTGTGCCAAACGTAACGGACTTAAATAATATATTTATCTTCTTCCCCGATGTTAAGCTGTTGTTGTGCCATCGATGCCATGTCATGGGATTTCTCGCAGATCAGTGCAACCCTTCCGACCTATTAAGCTTCGGGTGCCGCGGTGGCGAAATGTTAACTACCTCGCCTGCTATACAGGATGTCGTGGGTTCGATCCTCACCTTGACGCCTGCTGTATATTTGGAGTGTGCGTGTTCTCCGCGTGGCTGCATCCTCCGGCTTTTCGCTCCACATTCAGAATCAACATCACGCGTTTCGAGTATTTGGCTGCTATAAATGTCTACATGATAAGCCACTTAGCTGAGCTATCATCTGTGGCCAGGTCGCTTCTGAAAAGGAGCTACATAGCTCAGTGTGGCCTTATATCCGGTAAAATAAAAAATGTTTAGTTTATAGTTTAGTTTATTTCTACACAGAAGCGGACATCACAGAGCTACATCTGAGATGCCTTCAAGGGGTCTGTGGTCCACACAGAAGGGGGGCAGCACGTTCCCACCCACTCGGAGCGATGCTCGCCACGTGACAGTCGGGCCGATGTTTTTTCACTTTCAGAGCTGAAATTTTGCCAATTTAAGTGCCCAACAAATTCAGCCATTTAGCGACCGGGCCGCAAGCATTAACTCGTGACACTCGAAACCCCGGTGTTCATCATGGGCGCCCGAAACCTGGATTTGAACCCACGACCTCAGCAGCGGCGACTCAGTCCGCCAAGCCACCGGGCTACTTAGGCAGTGGCGTAGCGTGCGTGGCGTGGGCTCCGGTGTAACCCCCCCCCCCCGCCCGCCCCGTCCAGTTACCCTCTCTTCGTTTGTAGGCTGACTTCCGCGTGCAGTTGGTTGCACCGCCTGCACACTCGACGGCGAACGCCGGGGCGAGCTCGCTATTTTTACGAGTCCGCCGTGGGGGAGAGCGCGGGGGGGGGGGTGAGGGGGGGGGGGCGCCCTGCGTCAGGCTACGCGTCTCGCCTCCGCAGTGGTGACGGCCGTGTCAAACTCTCAACTCTCCGGCCGTGACGTTTTAATTTGACGGCTCTTGGGGGCAAGGGGGATGATGATGGTGGTAGTGATGGTGGTGGGGTGTTAAAGGTCCTCGCTCGTTCGGGTAATGGCTGGAATTTTGTTTTATCGTGACAGTTGTTGGGCCTCGTGGTGGCGTGGCTGTCGAATTGCGGAGGGCGCAGGCCCGTGCAACTGCACTGCGCACCTCGGCGATAATGTTCGAAGGCTCTTTTTCAGTCGGGTCTTCAATCGGAATGACCGGCCAGTTCGTGTCTTGGGAGCGTTTTGCATTGCGTGGAAGCACAGCGGAGTAACGTGAGAGATCCCACGCATGAATGGGGATTTACACTCAAGGGCCGGTGGAGATGGGTTCTGTGAACCCACTCGCCGCTCTGCCATCATCTGGCCACCTCTCAGCCCAAGAGGTTTGAGAATGTGACAAATTTCCGTGATCCACCAAACAGTCTCATGCAAAGCGGTGGGATCGGAGGCATGCAAGATCCCCGACAGGCTATAGGGCAAATGCTGTTAACGAGCAGCACCTATGAAAGCCGGCAGGGCACACGAGGGGGTGGGTGGCCAGCACCACGCCCGGCCGCCTTTGTCTCCCCAGTGGCGATGTTTACACACCGCACCAGGTACTCATTTGAGGCTGAGTCGACTTAGTGGATGCCCAGGACCGGGTCAGATAATCGTCACCGGTGTTACCGGGTTCTGGGTGCAGCGTAGCGCGAACCGCTACGTACGCACGTACACAACGGCACGTGCACTTTACCAGATTATAATGATCAAATCACCGGGGTCATGTGACTATTGCCCAACGTAAGCCACTTAAGCGCTCACGCTTGTTACTCCGCAATGAATAAATGAACTTGAACTTGAATTGGATTACGGCGCGGTGTTAAGCACCCCCGGCCTACGAATTCCGCGACCACCATCGTCGTAGTCATCGCCACCAACGTTGTCGTCGTCGTTGTCCTTGCCGCCTGCCACCGTCGTTATTTCGACGCCGCCGCCAAAAAAACGGAGGCGGCCATTTTAACCGACTGAGTTGGGGGGGCGGGGTGCACCCTGCGGACGTCAATGACGTCAAAATGCCGGCAGGCGTGGCCTTGAAAACTTTGCTCCGATTGGCCGCTTGGTCGTCCCAGAGACCGAGGCCATTCACCTTCCGACGAGACAGAACCTTCCACAAGGCCCCCTCCCATTCCCCTCGACTGGATATTAAATGAGGCCGCCTGGGTGCTCATTAGCGCTCCCGCTAATGAGCCACAGAGAGCCAAAAATCGACGCTAAACAGGGATTGATTTGCCCCCGTTCTGTACAGTTGTCGCTTCCGAATGATCGCAGGTGTGGTGGCGGTTGTTGTTTGTCTTGGCGCTCGTTGCTTGTGCCACTGAAGTGTTGGGGGTTTTTTTGGTTTTTGGAATCTAAGAGTTGTACAATCTGAAGGTGGCTGCAGCGGTGTGTTTTTTTTAATTGACGCTGCTTAATGGCAGCGCTGCCAAGCAACGTTGAAAATTTCACTCGTGGAGTGATTCAGGGATTTGACACCGATTTATGATGGCAGTCGTTGAGTTATTATCAACGTGGAAGCCGATTTATCGTAATTATTATCTTAACCGCGGTGGTTATAATGATACTAGTTAAATGGATAATGATTATAATGTTTTATTTCATATTGATGGTTGCGGTTTGACTCGGGCTGTGATACTGTTAGAATTCATAACAACGCGTGCTGAGTGTTCATGTACTATCCACCATCAGCTATGCTTGATCCACTGCTGGTTGTCAAATGTGTACTGAGTGTTGATGTACCAGCCACCACCATCCTCAACCACGCTTGATCCATTGCAGGATGTAAAAATCTGTGCTGAGTGTTGATGTACCAGCCACCACCATCATCAACCACGCTTGATCCATTGCAGGATGTCAAAATCTGTGCTGAGTGTTGATGTACCAGCCACCACCATCATCAGCCACGCTTGATCCATTGCAGGATGTCAAAATCTGTGCCGAGTGTTGATGTACCAGCCACCACCATCATCAACCACGCTTGATCCACTGCAGGATGTCAAAATCTGTGCCGAGTGTTGATGTACCAGCCACCACCATCATCAACCACGCTTGATCCATTGCAGGATGTCAAAATCTGTCCCGAGTGTTGATGTACCAGCCACCACCATCATCAACCACGCTTGATCCATTGCAGGATGTCAAAATCTGTGCCGAGTGTTGATGTACCAGCCACCACCATCATCAACCACGCTTGATCCATTGCAGGATGTCAAAATCTGTGCCGAGTGTTGATGTACCAGCCACCACCATCATCAACCACGCTTGATCCATTGCAGGATGTCAAAATCTGTGCTGAATGTTGATGTACCAGCCACCGCCATCATCAGCCACGCCCGATCCACTGCAGGATGTTTAATATCTATCCACCCACCGTCTACCCCCCCGCCCACCCCCGGGACAGCTGTCCTGCTACGCGGGCACGGGCAACGCGTCGTGGGTGACGCAGGGCTACCTGAGCTGCGGCGGGCAGCCGGCCTACCACACCACGGCCGGCGTGCTGGCGCTGGTGGCGGCCGCCATGCTGGTGCAGGCCGACCACCTGCTCAAGCTGGCGCTCATGGTGGCCGCCACGGGGAGCTGGACCGCCCTGCACCTCGCCGCGTGGGGCTCGCTGTTCGACGCGCACGACAGCGAGCGTGACCGGTGAGCTCCGACGGGCTGGCGGGCGGGTTTTGAGACAGGCTCGGGGCTTTATCTTCATTCACCCACCACCACCAGCATACGTTCAGGGTTGCGGGAATCAGCATTGGTTGACCTGGGAGCTGTTGGAGCAAAGGGTCCAACTACGGAGGCTCGAAGTAAAGAGAACGTGTGCCGGTCGTCGTTACACAGAGCTACAAGTTACATCGTTATTATTACTCTCCCTGATCGATGCCAGTGGGCTGTATTTTTGTTGTTTTTTCCGCCCGTGCAGACTCGACTTGGTCCCAACCAAATACTCGTCGTGCGTCACGCTGCTGCTCGTGCTGCTCTGCTTTCACTTCTTTAACCGGCACGTAAGTGACCTCTAACCGACCTCTAACCCCCTAATTTTTTTTATTACATTTTATAATAACACTTTGTAACAAAAAAAATCATACCAGTGCGCGCGTTACTTTTTGTTTTGCCTGGACAATATTTTTTCAGAATAAGAATATTTTTACCGGAGGAATCCGATGAGCTGCAAAGCTCTTTTTCTCAGATGTCCCGTAGGAGCGGGTAAGAACGTTACCAAAACAAACAAGACAAACACACGATAGCAGTGCAAAGTACAGGAAAGGAAAACATATCACCCAAACAAATACAACTAAACCATCCCCATACTACCAGGCAAATCCCACTACGGTATTAACTTGTTTTTTCAGAAACGACCTGGCCACAAATGATACCTCAACAAAGTGGCTTATCACGTGGAAATGTATAGTAGCCAAGCACTCGAAATGCATGTTTAAAAATGTGGAAGGAAGAACCGGAGGACCCGGAGAAAAATCCACGCGACCGCGTGGAGAGAGAGAGACACCGCAAACTCCAAATCTACGGGTGTCAGGGTCGGGATCGAACCCGCGACCTCCTGCGTCCCACGCGAAGTAGTTGGAGTTTCTCTTCAGCCGGGGAGAGAACGGCAGCTGTTGCTTCGTGCAGTGGGTGTCGGCGCCACGCCGATTGGTGACGACGTCTCCCCGGAGTTCGATCGGCCCGTCCGGGAGGCCCGTCTGGGGGGCCCGTACAGGGGGCCCATCCAGGGGCCCGTCCAGAGGCCCGCAAGTTCCCGTGAATCCGTCCAAATTCATTTTCACAAACATTTCACTCCGCAGCAGGGGGGCAGCCAGAGGCGCCGGTCGCACTGATGTCTTCACGGTTTCGGCGATTCGAACGTCTCCTCCTCCCCGTCTCTGCGCTGCCCGCGCGGCTAATTGCCGTTTCGCTGGCGATTGCGTTTCTTCTTTTCCAAAACACCCCCCTCCCCGCGGCGTGGCGGCAGCGCCGTGCTTATGGTTGTCTCCGCCACCCGCAGGGCCGGTGCAGTGGGTTCGAGGGCCGCTTGCGTAGACCGAAACGTGGCCGCTGCCGACGTTCAGTAAACCGGGCAAGTCAATAACGTTGGTCACCGGTCAAGAGTCATGAATGAACGGCTGCACTTCAAGAGCGATAGCCGCCGTGGTGCAGTGCACAGCCGCACTGGAGTTGCAATCCGGAGGCCGCCGGTTTGATCTCCCGGCGTGGCAGAGCTGAAACAACGGTGCGAGTGTCTCAAACACCGCCACCGCCACTGTCCACTCCAGCAGTGGAGATGGGTGTCATCACAGTCAGTCTATGATTGGCAGGTCGCGTATGGTGGTGGAGTAAATTGTGGGTACCTCTTCCAAGACGTGAGGCCAGCGTGAAAGAGTAGGCCAACATTCCCCCTTCGACGGGGCCGCTCCAGAGCTCCCTCTAGTGGAGGCCCAACTACAGCCTGCAGCGGCCTGAGCCAGCGATTGCAGGGCTGCACCTTTTACTTGTTTTTTGACACCGTTCCCACGTGACTGGCCGCCGAGGTTTCCCTCGCTACACGTGGCGAGTCTCGACGAGTCCTCGCCGCCCCTCCCGTCGCGTGCAACAACGCCGGCGTTGGTGCCCCCCGCGCCTCCTTTGAGACGCCGCCGAATCCGTGCCCCCCCCCCACCTCGTCACAATTGAAGGGCATTCGATGTCGACAATGTTAAGTCAGTCGCTGGATTAGCTTGTTTACATATTTACCGATTGACCAGTCAACCGATTGACTGGTGAGATGATTGCATTTCATTCACTTACTGGCTCTCTGACCTAGTTGACCTTTTGTCTGATTGGCAAATTGATTGATTAATTGAGCATATGCTTCACTAGCTCGCGAGTTAACCCAATTGATCATCTGCAAAACACTTCCCCCAGGCACAAACTCCACACGAATGCAATTCGCATTTAGTATCGAGGCTAATTGCATTTGGCACGGGGTGGAGTGGTGGTGCAGCGATTAGTGCACTGTGCTATCAATCCGGTGACCTGATTTGGTTTCCTGACCATGAACCGGTCCTTGACTAATTGCCCCATTGCCCAATTGACTGATTCATTGACCATTTCATTTACCCGTTGACTGATTGACCGATTGGTCAATTAACCATTTGATTGGTCAATTCACCATTTCATTAATAACTGATGTAACTATTGACCAATTGCTGGTTCGGCGACTATTTGATTGACTTTTTCGCTCAATGACCGAACGGTTGTTCCGATTGACCAACCGACTGACCGACGATCTGACCGAACTGACCATTTGGCTTTCCGCCTAGGTCGAACAGACGGCCCGCACTCTCTTCCTGTGGAAGCTGGACCTGGCGGCGCAGAAGGAGGAGGTGGGGACGATGAGGAGGTACAACGACGCCCTGGTGGCCAACATCCTGCCCGACCACGTGGCCGCCCACTTCCTCAGCCCCGACAAGCGCGACGACGTGAGAATGGACTGCGGGACCCGGGCCGGGGGGGCCAGGGGGGGGGGCACAGATAATGATCGCGATATTAACAACAATAACAGCAACAAACGTTTTGAATCATATAAAACTAAACTGTGAACTATTTTTTTCGTTTACGAAGTAAGGCCCACTGAGCTGCTTACCTCTTTTTCAGAAGCAACCTGGCCACAAGTGATAGCCCAACGAAGTGGCTTATCTCTCACGTGGAAATGTATTGCAGCCAAATACTCTGAACGTGTGATGTTGATTCTAAATGTGGAGGGAAAAACTGGAGGACCCGGAAAAAAAATCCACGCGACCACGGGGAGAGAGAGAGAGACATGCAGACTCGAAATATACAGCAGGCGTCACGGTCGGTAAAGAACCCACGACCTCCTGTATACCAGGCGAGGTAGTTAACATCTCACCACGTGCATCGCCGGTGTGATTTGGTCTCCGCAAAAAAATGAAACAAAAAACGAGAGGAGGGTAAAAGCGGGTGGGGGGGGGGGGGGTTGGCGACCAAGGGGAAGGGAAACGTGGAGGAGAGAGCGGATACCGCGTGTGCCTCAGCACCGACAACCCTTGCCCAGCGCCAGCCGGGGTCTCGTCGTCGGTGCTGAGCCCGTACGAAATTTCTGCCAGGTGCCAACCGTGCCCCCTGACCTTTGACCCGCGGCTGTCGTACATACGAATGATGATGAACTTTTTTCGCACCGCGCGTAGCCGACCGTGCTCATCGGTTGGCCACGTGCCTCATCCGAGGCTCCCGGCTGTCGCTCCCGTCCCCAAGGGAGGGGGGGGGCACCGTTACCGTGCCGACGTTGCCCCCCCCCACCTCTCTATAATTAGTCACCGTCTTCGTTAGGCCTCGCTGGGCCAGGTTGCGGCGGCACATCGTGGCTGCAGGAGGTGTGTACGTACATCAACAGTTTCCCTCTCGCACCGACCGTGCTAATCGGAGGTGCAGTGTTGAGTCTATGGGCAGTGTTGAGTCTATGGGCAGTGTTGAATCTATGGGCAGTGTTGAGTCTATGGGCAGTGTTGAGTCTATGGTGCAGTGTTGAATCTATGGGTGGCAGTGTTGAGTCTTTGGGCAGTGTTGAGTCTTTGGGCAGTGTTGAGTCTATGGGCAGTGTTGAGTCTATGGTGCAGTGTTGAGTCTTTGGGTGGCAGTGTTGAGTCTTTGGGCAGTGTTGAGTCTATGGGTGGCAGTGTTGAGTCTATGGGTGGCAGTGTTGAGTCCATGGGCAGTGTTGAGTCTATGGGCAGTGTTGAGTCGATGGTGCAGTGTTGAGTCTATGGGTGGCAATGTTGAGTCTTTGGGCAGTGTTGAGTCTATGGGTGGCAGTGTTGAGTCTATGGGTAGCAGTGTTGAGTCTATGGGCAGTGTTGAGTCTATGGGTGGCAGTGTTGAGTCTTTGGGCAGTGTTGAGTCTATGGGCAGTGTTGAGTATATGGGCAGTATTTAGTCTATGGGCAGTGTTGAGTTTATGTGCAGTATTGAGTCTATGGGCAGTGTTGAGTCTATGGGCATTGTTGAGTCTATGGGTGGCAGTGTTGAGTCTATGGGCAGTGTTGAGTCTATGGATAGCAGTGTTGAGTCGATGGGCAGTGTTGAGTCTATGGGTGGCAGTGTTGAGTCTATGGGCAGTGTTGAGTCTATGGGTGGCAGTGTTGAGTCTATGGGTGGCAGTGTTGGGTCTATGGTGCAGTGTTGAGTCTATGGGTGGCAGTGTTGAGTCTATGGGTGGCAGTGTTGAGTGTATGGGCAGTGTTGAGTCTTTGGGCAGTGTTGAGTCTATGGGTGGCAGTGTTGAGTCTATGGGTGGCAGTGTTGAGTCTATGGGCAGTGTTGAGTCTATGGGTGGAGTGTTGAGTCTATGGGTGGAGTGTTGAGTCTATGGGTGGCAGTGTTGAGTCTATGAGTGGCAACGTCGTCATCATCGGCCGTGGTCGATCCACTGCTAGATGAAGGTCTCCCCGGCCGCCGACGCCTCTCACTCCAGCGTCCGGCTTCTTCTGTTGACCATTGCTCCGTACAACAAAGCTCATTCATCCCCCTGTTTCGTAATCTGCTGCGTGGAGCGCGATGGGACCCACCGTGTCACGGGCTGCGTGTGCGCACGTGGGTGATGCACACGCGCTGCCCAGCGGACCTCGGTCAGTGCCGTCACGGTCCGGCTCGCGGTTAAGGGGCCGTCCATAAATGACGTCACGCGATTTTGGACGATTTTTGACCCACCCCTATCGTCACACGGCGTCACAAAATGTCAGACCCCCCCCCCTCAAATATGACGTCACAAAGCTCTGCTCCCCCCAAAAAAAATAAAACATGCTTCAAATCTCGATTTAAAGCTTTCGTGACTGCAGGGATTCATCTTCTTGGTCCTTTCAAATCACTTTAAACTATTGTCTATTGTCATTGTCGTGCGTATTTAATGTGGCGCTGCACTCTGATGTTGCAGGAGAAAACGTTTATTAAAAAGCCTATTTAATTAAGTAGAACGTGTTGTCTATTTATTTAAAATTGCGCATTTTTACGTGACGTCACATTTCTCAACCCTCCCCCACCTCGTCACACATCGTCACAAATGTCTGACCCCCCCCCACCTCCTAGGTGCGTGACGTCATTTATGGACGGCCCCTAAGGACGTTTGAAAAATTAAAAGTGACATTTGCTTCGTTTGCGCTGTCCCACAGGAGCTGTACAGCCAGTCGTACGATGAGGTGGGCGTCATGTTCGCCTCCATCGCCAACTTCTCCGACTTCTACACGGAGGAGGGCATCAACAACGGGGGCATCGAGTGCCTGCGCTTCCTCAACGAGATCATCTCCGACTTCGACTCGGTGCGACGGGGCCTGCCAGCACGCGCGCACACACACACGTACTCACACACGTACACACACACGTACACAAACACGTACACACACGCGCGCACGCACACACACGTATACATAACGCACACACGTACACACACAGTACACAAACACGTACACACGCGTACTCACACACGTACACACACACACACACGGCCACACGTACACACATACACGCACGCACATGGCCACACACACGCACACACACTCATACACACGTACATGCGCACACACACATTCGCGCACACACATACGCACACACACATACGTGTATCTACAGTATCCGCCTGGCATCATGTCTGCCCGTGTGCCCGTGGGTCTCTCTTGGCGTGCGTGCCTGTATCGTTTGTCTACCTTGCAGCCTGCGTCTCCGTGGCAGATTTCAGCCCCTGCTTGTCTGTCCGCCTGCATTCTTGTCTTTTGTCTGCCTGTTTTTATCTCTGTCTGTCTGGGTCTACGTCTGCCTGTATGCCCATATGCCTTGCCCCATTCATGCTCTTCACAAGTCTGTCTTTCTATCTGCCCGTCTGTCTCCCTTCCTGCCCACCCACATGTCTCTCTGGCTGTCTAAATGTAAGTCTCTTTGGCGGTCTCTTTTCACGCGTAGTTTTTTTTTCAATGTTCTCTGTTATTTATCTCGGGTGTCAGCCACTTCTGTCACTGCCAGGGCCTCTGAGCGCGGAGCGGGGTCGCGAATTCAGTTGACGAATATCTGAACCGGTCCCGGGCCTCCTCTAGGTCGGTTCAGCCTCAAACGAGTACCCCGGTGCAGTGCATAAACATCAGCATTGGGGAGATAAAGGCGGGCGGGCGTGGGTGCTGGCCACCCCTTGGTGTGCTGCGCCGGCCTTAATAGGTGCTCGCTAACAGAACTCGGCCCGACAGCCTATTAAAAGTTGCCAGAACATTTCTCCCTGGAGACGAGCTGCCTCCTTCACTCTGCCGTCCGCATGTGGGGCCACCTCCCTGATGAACACATCGTGGGTGAGATCACCGATTCCCGTCTTCAGGCCTTCAAGTGCCGAGCTCGCACCCATGGGGCATCTCCTAACTTCACCGTTTTGAGTGTTTGAGTTGCAGCGATTATGCCAATTTGATGTACTAATGCTGGATATGGCCATTGGTCACAATTGCACCCAATAAATAAAGAGTATAAGGGGCATCTTAGTTTTTTCTCCCCTTCAAGGGTATTTTAAAGTCCAGTTCGGCCTTCTGTAAGGAGATGGGTTCCTCACCCTTGGTCTTCTTCTCCTCCTTCCTACCCTCCCCCCCCACCCACCGACCGGGTGTGATGGACCGTGCCGGTCCAGCTGCTGGATGAGACTCGCTTCCGCTGCATCACAAAGATCAAGACGATCGGCAGCACTTACATGGCGGCGTCTGGACTCAACGAGAACGAAAACACCGTGGAGTACAACAGCAATGAGAAGGCGAGGGCTGACGCACACACGCGCACACACACGCGCACGCACGGGCACACGCACACACACACGCACACACACACGCACGTGCACACGCACACACGCACACACACACGCGCACGCACGGGCACATGCACACACACACGTGCACGCACGGGCACACGCACACACACGCACGTGCACACACATGCACACACACACGCGCACGCACGGGCACACGCACACACACGCACGGGCACACGTGCACACACACACGCACGTGCACACGCATGCACGTACACACGTAAAAAAAAACGATTCTCGACATTGCTGGATTTTCGTGCCAGCGTGCACGGACAGCCACAAATAAAGTCAAAGTGATTTCCTTGCTCAAATCATTCACCCACTCACTCACTCACCCACTTACCAATTCACTCACTCACCCACTCACCCATTCATTCACTCACTCATCCACTCACCCATTCATTCACTCACTCACCCATTCACTCATTCACTCACTCACCCACTTACCCATTCACTCACTCACCTATTCACTCATTCACTCACTTACTCATTCACTCATTCACTCACCCACTCATTCATTCACTCACTCACCCATTCACCCATTCATTCACTCACTCACCCACTCACTCACTCACTCACCCACTCACCCATTCACTCATTCACTCACTCACCCACTCACCCATTCACTCATTCACTCACTCACCCATTCACCCATTCATTCACTCACTCACCCACTCACTCACTCACCCACTCACCCACTCACCCATTCACTCATTCACTCACTCACCCACTCACCCATTCACTCATTCACTCACTCACCCATTCACTCATTCACTCACCCACTCACCCATTCACTCACTCACCCGCTCACCCATTCACTCACTCTTGCAAATGAGACTGCTTTGGCGCCTTGAGTTCACGCCTGGAACTTGCTGTGCGTGGGGAGCGTTGGAGCAGCGGTTAGCGCTCTGGCGCTTACAAACCCCGGTGACCCGAGCTCCATTGCCACTTACTGCCAACGCCAGTGACGATTATCTGAACCAGTCCTGGGCCTCCCCTAGGTCGACTCAGCCTCAAATGAGCACTTGGTGTAAACAGCGCTCGGGAGACAAATGAGGCTGGGCGTGGTGATTGGCCACCCACCCCTTCGTTGTACCGTGCCGGTAACAGCCCTTGGCCCAGTAGTCTGATCAGGCTGTACGGGGGATCTTTGTCTTTGTGCGCACGTGCAGGATCCAGGCACCCGCGTGCGGTGGCAGCACGTGGCGGACCTGGCGGACTTCTGCCTGGCGCTCAAGATGACGCTCATGAACATCAACTGCCAGTCCTTCAACAACTTCATTCTGCGCATAGGTAGCGCGGCCCTTCGGCCCCGTGAACGACGTGGGAAACCCCGCTGCGGCGGAATCATTCGCTTTGATGACACGCCCGTTGGGCCGGCGGTCAGTTCTTTCGAGCTGGTGGTCTGGATAAGGCCGAGAGTTCTTGTGAACGTGCAGCGCTGCAGGCCCTCCCCCCGCGCGCGTTTGTTAACGGCCAGCATGGGCAGCATGGGGTCACAACGCCTTGCATCTTCCGTCGAGTCACAGTGCTTTGCTTTTGAATGTCTGGGGCAGTTCGCCAAGACTATGGCAAGCAATTCATATTCTTAGGTTTTTTCGGTAAAGTCACGTAGGAAAAAAATTAAAATTAATAAAATAAAAAAATAAAAATAAATCACGACGTTTCGGAGGCAACACAAGCCTCCGTCTTCAGGTGGAACAGTCACAGCATGATAGCTGTATCAAGTGATTATTAATTTTTTACCTACGTGACTTTACCGAAAAAACTTAAGAATATGAATCCTTGCAGTCACGAAAGCTTCAAATCTAGAACTATGGCAAGCAATCCTGACTGCTGATGAGACACTGAAGGTTGAAACCGGTTGAAGAGTTTGCATGTGTTGAACCAATGCTGCTGGGATTGGGCACTTCTGCCTGATGGTCGTGCGTCTAATGAGTTGTCAACATTTTTTTTTATGCAGCTTGTAAAGTACTCACAGAATGGCAAGAGTTGGAGGTGGTAGAATCAGCACGTGTCTCATAAACTCCCAATTGCCTGCCCCCCCGCCCCCACCACCTCTTTCGCGTCGATGACTGCGCAGGTTTGAACAAAGGTCCGGTGCTTGCCGGAGTGATCGGCGCCCGCAAGCCTCACTACGACATCTGGGGGAACACGGTCAACGTGGCGAGCCGCATGGAGTCCACGGGACAGCTGGGCAACGTGCAGGTTTGCGCTCATCGGCACCCTCGCCTTAGCTCGGCCAGATTTCATCTCGGAAAGTGGAACGTGACGGTTTTTTGACGGAATGTCCTGACGAGACGACCTCACGGCACAGTATGTGAGAAAGTGCGAGCACTGCCATTCTGTTGCACGCAGGGACACATTGCTCTGCAAGCTTTCCAAGTAAAACTAAAAACGATTAAACTACCTTGATTTGAAGCTTTCGTGACTGCAGGAATCCATACTCGTTGGTTCTTTCGGTAAAGTCACGTAGTTAGAAATATCGGAAGGGAGCGCGTTCCAGACGGCCGCAGAAACGCACCCGCGAGCGCGCAATGTGGTGACCGCCGTCTTTGACAAGAGCAGTGTCCCCCCTTTTCCTGATGACGGCCGCTTGTGTTGCGATCGAAACGTCGTGATTTGTTTTATTTCTAACTACGTGACTTTACCGAAAGAACCAAAGAGTATCAAACAATGTTTTATTTGTACCAGGTAAATGCCCCGCTAAGCTCTACGTAGCTTTTTTTTTAATCAGAAGCGATCCTGGCTGTCACAAACGATCGCTCAACCAATTGGCTTGTCATCATTATCACACGTTAATTTATAGCAGCCCGAATACTCTAATTGCGTGACGTTGATTCTAAATGTGGAGGGGAAAAACCGGAGGGCCCGGAGAAAAATCCACGCGGCCACGGGGAGAGAGACACGCAAACTCCAAATCTACAGGCGTGAGGGTCTGGATCGAACCCACGACCTCCTGCATACCAGGCGAGATAGTTAACATCTCATAGCCACCGTCGCGGCGATCTATCCACTGCTGGATGAAGGCCTCCATCGCCATCTCTTGCGGCTGAGCGATGTGCAAAGCTCCGGCTCCAGCGCGCGAGCCGATTTGACCTCTTTTCCGTGGACACGGTCGGGCGTTCTCTCGGGAGACGCCCCGTCGCTCGAGGGGACGGCAGGGGTGTCGGTCGAGACTACCGACGGGGGAGCGGTGAAATCGGCACGGGCCCGACGAGCCATACGGAGAGCGGCACATCGCAGGATCGTCGGAGAGGTGGCGACGTTCTCGACCAAGAGCGTTTGCGATCGCCGAGCAAACGAGCGGGCCGGCATGGTGAACGTGAAGTATTCGTATCGTCTGTCGACAGGTGGTGGAGGAGACGTACCTGGTCCTCAAGGACTACGGCTTCCGGTTCGTGCGCCGCGGCGCCGTGTTCGTCAAGGGCAAGGGCGAACTCATCACCTACTTCCTCAAGGGCCGGGAGAAGCCATCCAACGGTTTGCCCCACCAGGTCAGCGAGGAGGTGTTCGAGTTCACGGCCGACTGACGTCCCCTCGCCAGGTCGCCCGCGCGCTTGGTCACGTGTTGGGCCGGTCGGGCAAACTGTCGCGTGGACCCGATTATAACCAGCACTCATCGATTCGCTCCCGTCACCAACTTGAGCCATGGTCGGTGGTCCTCCCTATCACTCATCTGTCGCTACGAACACGGTTACGGTTGCCGTGAACTTCACTGCGCTGAACCACCGCTCTCCAGGTCTCAACAACGCGCTCGCTCATCCCCCTCACTCACCCACTCACCACCTCACCCACTCACCACCTCACCCACTCACCACCTCACCCGCTCACCACACGGCAGGTCACAGCGCTTTTTTTTCTGCTTCTTCCCCCGCACTGCCCGGCTGTGGATTTCCCTCCACGTCGTCAGTTTTACCAAGGTTCCCGTAAACAACCTTGCTCGCTTCGACAAACGTATTAACTCTTGATCTGTTACAATGTTAATCGTGGCGTTTGTTGCTGGCCGGTTGGCACTTTGGACCTTTGGGCCTGTGCTCAATGACCGTGAAAGGAAGAAAATAAATGACGTAGATTTGTCCGGCGCGTTGCGCTCGCTCGCGATGTGCTAGAGCGTGGAGCCTCGCGACATTCCCGTTTTTGAATGACCGCCGCGGTGCGGGAACCACGTACGGCTTGCCTCGCCTGCTTCCCAGAGAGCGAGTGGGAAAACTGGAGCCTTAAACGACTGTCAGGCACTTGTAAATTAATCTTCACGTTGCGTGCAGTAAGTGCTTGCACACAGCAGCAATAACAACGATTTAATCCATGTGACGCCTGAATGCATCCATATCTCAAGAATATTTACAGGGGGTACGGGACACGATGAGGTATCTAATAATAATAATAAATTGGACAAGGATGAAACCTAATCGCTTTTTGTTTTTTACCGTCATTGCCGCCTGGCTGAGGCTTATATGGGAATATTAAATTAAAAGCAGAAGATGCGGGGCGGGGATGATTGATGATCGGCTGCTGATACATCACTAAGTCTTCACGCTGTACCGGCTCAGATGCCCGCCGCTGTTATTGGTTACGAGCGTGAATTGAACTCGGGGTCGCCGGATTCGTAACGGCAGTGCGCTGACCGCTCCCCACGCTCTACGTGCGCGTGGATACTTCGGAGTGAAATCTTTCTAGCGCTTCACGATCGCCACGGAGTGCGATCGTAAGTTTAAAAAAAAATAACCGGTGAAACAAGATCATGCCGCTTTCATTTGTTAAGTCTTACGGCGCGGAACACAGACAGCCGGCCACGGCAACGTCAACACGGTCGCCGGCGGCTAAGCTCACAGCGGTTGCGCCCGCACCCACACACAGAGACACACCACGCACGAAAGGTAGGAAGGTATTAAGTGCACTCGCTGCCGGTGAAGTCTGTCTATTCCAGTGGACCGTGCAACAAGGCGGTAGTAGTAGTAGTAGTGCCTTACTCCACGCAGCGTTCCGACGTCTCCCGTGTACATAGCCCCCACCAGAGCCCCCCCCTCAACCCCCCGCCCCCCCCCCCCCCCCACACCGCTGACCACAACAGAAACAAAAGTACAGGTGACCCCCGACTTACGACGGGCTCGGCATGCGATCGTCGTCCATGGAACCAATTAGGTCGTCGGTGCGCGGGGGGGGTGGGTCGCCCGTGCTGCTGAGAAGCCCCATTGAGCTGGCGTCCGGACCCCTTTGTAACGAGTGCGGTGGTTTCGCTTTGACGCCCATCGGCCGCAGGACGGGCAAAACCCAATTTTTTTATAATTTTACACGGAGGCGGTTGATGAGCCGGATGATTGCGTCCAGGGGTTAGCGGCGGAGTGATGAATCACCGCTCCGGTGATGATGCCTCCTCCTCCTCCGCATCATCCTCCTCCTTCGGGTTTATTTGTGAATCGCGGAATTGAGTTCCAGCCACGGTTTCTATTCCGGGTGGTGGCCACGGATCCACATGCACGCACTGCCAGAGAGCCTTTCTCATTCTAGATTTGAAGCTTTCGTGACTGCAAGGATTCATATTCTTAGGTTTTTTCGGTAAAGTCACGTAGGTAAAAATTAAAATTAATAAATGTAAAATAAAAAATCACGATGTTTCGGAGGCAACACAAGCTTCCGTCTTCAGGTGGAACCATCACAGCACGATTGCTGTATCAAGTCCCTTTCTGTGACTCTTACTTGATACAACAATCGCGCTGTGACAGTTCCACCTGAAGACGAAAGCTTGTGTTGCCTCCGTGATTTTTTATTTTACTTTATCAATTTTAATTTTTACCTACGTGACTTTACCGAAAAAAACCTAAGAATATGAGCCTTTCATTCTCCGTGGTGTCCGTGAGCGATGGCTTTCGGACGCGGTAGGCGTGGAGGGCAGCAGTTGCGTTTGGAATGTTACGTGCCCAATTTGCATGCCGTTTAGAGCGCGCGTCAGTTTCAAAGGTTTTATTTTTTCCCACTCAAAACTTCGACCGTTACATTGCCGGCAAGAATGACGTCGCAACGGCAGCGGCATATCTGCACTCTTTTACAAAAAGCACTCTAGCTCAACGGGCTCTCAGCTGATTATGTGTATATTATTCTAACGACATTATACGAGAGGAATTAATTTATCTAATAGATCAAATCTAGCAAATGTAATAATGTATTCTGAACTTGAACATGTACGTACGTACGTCCGATATGTGTTTCTGTACAGGGTTTTAGCAGTGTTTCTCCGTCTGTGACTTTCCCCGAGCTCTATACCATTCATCTACGACTTAGAACATAGTTAGACTTAGGGCACGCGTGGCAAGTCGTCGCTCCTTGGCCGAATGCGCACGCAAACTGCTGCAGCCGTATTAATGACGCAGTATAAATAGTGCAGGGCTGCAGAGTGAGCCTTGGTCCGGTCAAATTTATAAAAAAAAACATTTGTTATGGGAGGTAGCGTCAGCACAACCTGTATTGTGGCCATCATCGCCATCATCACCATCACCACCAGCATCAGCCATGGTATATTCACTGTGGGGATGTACGTGTGTACGTTGACCTTCTTCCGCACCGTACGTAGCCAACCGCGCTAATCGGAGGTTGCGGGGGAAGGACAACAAACTAAACACAAAAAGCAGTTCTCAAGAAATGAGTCTGTCATTCTGGACGATTAAAAAGTGGTTTCCGAATATTGGAAGGAAGTGCAGCACGATGCGATGACCGTCGTCTTTGTTCGATGGTCAGCCAAGAGCCACTGCGAAGATGACGACCGGAGTTTGCGTGATGATGGTTTATGCTGCATAATGGGATGAAGGCCTCCTCCCCGAGTCATCGCCAACCCTCGCGATCTCTCGACGCAGACAAATTCATCCGACGGGCACACGCACGGCCCTTCGTGTCAATATATATTGTTGAGTGACGGCCGATTGCTGAATCATTTGTATAATCAATCTCCGACCTCTGCTCTATCCAAGTGCAGTTATCCCAACAACACTGCAAGTAATACCCCACGCACTTGTCAATTACCGCCAATAACCATTGGGCCTCACCTGGTCTGCTGTTAGTGCTTTACTCTAGTGCCTAAGCTGAACACCTTTGCCTTAACGCCATTAGTAGGGGTGTGACGATGCATCGGTCCACCGATTAAAATCCATTCTCTACCTTCACATATCGTCGTTCGTAAAAGTTGCGCTCTCAAAACGCCGTTGGATTGCGCGTTGCGCACAGCTCGCGCGCCGAGGCGCGTGGGAACGCCGCCGCGGAGACGAGCGGGAAGGCAGCCAGAAGCAGCGCTCCCAACAAATGACCAAACTCCGTGGTCCAACACTGGGATGTTTGGCCAACTCCATCAATAGTTCTTTATGCGTGCACCGAATCGCGCGCTGTGAGAATCAACGCTCTCTTCCTCTCTCTGGCCGATCACGGTTTTGTCGCAACGTTGCGATAAACCATTGAGACGATGGGCGATGGGCGAGCGCAATAAACCCGGGGCCTCAGCGGAGGCTCGTGAGGCAAGTCACACGAGAACGGGAGCAAGACGTTGTTACATCTCGCTAGTGAACAACTGGCCGGACTAAATACTCTTTGGTTCTTTCGGTAAATTCTAGATTTGAAGCTTTCGTGACTGCAAGGATTCATGCTCTTTGGTTTTTTCGGTAAAGTCATGTAGGTTAAAAGAAAACAAATAAATTAAATCACGACGTTTCGGAGGCAACACAAGCTTCCGTCTTCAGGTGAAACCGTCACAGCAAAATTGCTGTATCAAGTAATTTTGCTGAAGACGGAAGCTTGTGTTGCCTCCGAAACGTCGTGATTTTATTTATTTGTTTTCTTTTAACCTACGTGACTTTACAGAAAAAACCAAAGAGTATCTTTCGGTAAAGCCATGTAGGTATAAAATAAAATCTATTAAATCACGACGTTTCGATCGCGACACAAACAATAATCATCAGGTGGTAAAACCACAGCAAGAAACATTTTGCAGTCACGAAAACTTCAAATCTAGATTGGCCGGACTAAGCCTTTTGATTCGCATATGTTGTACGTTATGGGTTCGCGCGATCCCTGTTATCGCTGGAGGCTGCTTCGCTTTACCGCAACGATTGTAAAAAAATAAAAAAAGGTGTTGGAATCGAATCAAAACCTTGAATCGTGGAAATTCGTCGAAATTTTGCCGTGGAGATTGTGGGGTGGCCCAGGCCCGTGAATCGTTGTTGCACCCTGAGCCGGTGGCGTTTTTTTTAACGGAGCCGACTGTTATCTGCAATAGATACAACAACAAAAAATGTATGTCTTGAGATCCGTGTACTTGTACATATGAGGGAGGGTTGAAAGGTTTTGCGAATGAGATTGTAAAAAAAAAGTAAGTCGCAGAAACCCGGAAAAACATGGTAAAGGTGGCCCCCACGTTGGCATGCGATTGGAAATTCTGGACCAACTTTGGGCGCAACGTTTCGTGTTTTACTGGGATTCTAACGTTCGGCTTATTCTGAAGCCTTCGCGTAACAAGTGTACAATAGGCCAAGAAAATTGGCGTCAACAGTTTGCTGATGTATAGTATAATGAGAAATAATATAGCAAGTGCAATGCATTACTTTCAACATCTTGTTCTCAAAACGTTTTGATCGTTTGCCGTGCTGCGCGTGTTAGTATGCATCGGAATATATACGTACACACAACCGCGGGGCTGGGCTCATTTGGTGAAAGGGACTCGCAAAATGTGGAAATGAATGAGCCATTGGAAGTCGTGCTTTTAACCTCGAGTTACGAATTAAAAACCTCTTCGGTCATGATTTTTTTTTTCAAATCACGTGATGGGTATTTGTTTGTTGCGCACTCGTTTTGGGAGGCATCAACGCGGTTCAATCGCAGGTGGCTGAAAGCTAGATCCGAACCGAGAATCTCGGCGATTGCCCATTTGGCACGTTGACCGTCGAGAATCAAACCATCCACCTCTCGAACACGAGTTCACATCTGGAACCTTCAGTTACGTGACGGCGTTTTTTCCCCAGCTACAAATCCGGTCCGAAGCCAATTGGAGTTGTTTTTTTTGGGAAACAACTGATTATAATTGCATGCAAGTGTATCATTGGTTTATTGTATGTGTGTATGCAGTTGCTGCTTTAATGACCACACAATTATAAAAAATTATTTAGAAAGGAATTTGCTCAGCAGAAACAATATGTACTTGTTACAGCCAACTGGCTACTATCCCTCTACACATGCAGCAAACAACTTAACGATTAACCGATTAAAATATCTGCCGACACTCACGAGAGACGCAATGCAATCGCAATTGTGAGAATTTATCGCAGTCGAAAGCAGCATGTAAAGTGTGTAGAGTCTGTGTGTTCTCCCCCTGTTTTGCATGGATTTCTCCTGGGTTTCTTCAGTTTTCCTCCCATAGGTAAACACACACACACATAGTGGCGTCATTGGTGCTGGCGAAAAATCCCAAAATGTAGCAGGACCCTCGTGAAAAGGAGTATTCCTGGGTAAACAAGTCAATGATTTGGCACAGTTCTGGCACAAGCACCACACGGTGAATTGCAGCTGCTGATACAGGATTCCCTCGCTCGATCCAGTGGTAGTAGATGCTTTCCAAAAAAAAAGGGGGGTGCACAAAGCGATAACGCGTCTGTTGTATTGTGATTAACAATCCTGCCGGCCTAGTTACTCGTTGAGGAATACAAACATAAGCACTTATTTAAAATCTGTTGACCTGTTGTATGATCGCCAAAGCAGCAACAATTTAACTTTAAACTGTGCAATTATCGCCACTCACAAAAGAGGTTAAGCACGACTTTATATAAATACTCCATCGTGATATAAACGTGTATGCGACATGCTTGTTTTTCGCACCACTTTTTAAAAGTCCTCGAAGGCTGAATATCTGTGACTATGACATCCCCGAGTCGACGGTGTGTGTGTGTGTGTGCGTCTCTGGCCCGTGTGGTTCCCCGAGCAATTGCACAGCCTGCACACTGGGCGACTCGGGTGGCCGATTGGCTCCGGGTGGCTGGTGGCAATGTCAGAACATCCTATCGTGTGGCAAGTTTAATGTAAAATCTTGATTTGAAGCTTTCGTGACTGCAGGAATCCATACTCTTTGGTTCTTTCAGTCTGCCTCAGCAGCAGACCATGCTTTCCCACCTGATGATGGGCGCTTGTGTTGCGCCCGAAACGTCGTGATTTATTTTATTTTATACCTACGTGACTTTTATGTAAAATGTTAAGAGCTCCAAAATGTTTGTTCCTAGCATTTATACTCGGGGCTTCATTTCAGCAGGAGCTGTCCAAGGCTGAGCTCCAGAAAATATATCCCTGTCACCGCCCAATCCTTCCCCTATGCCCATGCTGTTAGGGGATGGAGGGTTGGGTTTCCAGGAAACATTGAAAAACGAAGGCCTGTTTATACTGCATTTTGCATATTTTTTCTATTTATTTTTCCTGGAAATGTATTTTCTGTTTGTTGATCGGTGTGTTTTTTAACACGGCACTCTGTGTTCTTCACACCCCCAGCTCTCCTTTGTGAAGGAGATTGTTCTCTCAATGGGACCACACTCGATTGGAAATAAAGTTTGTGTATGCGCACATGTACAGTACTCGCCCTTAAATGTCCTCCACCACAGCGGTGGAAATTTTGTATTCACATTTTGCAAGGTTGAGCATGCCCCTGACACTTGCAAGGTTGAGTGTTTGCCATTGGAACCCGGTGCCGATTAGAATAGTTGGCTATGTACGGTGAAAAATAAGTTCAACATACACACATACATGGCATTAAGTTCAACATACACACATACATGGCATTAAGTTCAACATACACACATACAAGGCATCAGATGGGCCCGCTCCTGTTCATTTTCCTCTCTCTTTGTAGCCTGGTGGCTTGACTCTCTGGCCCATAGACCCCAGTGCAGTAGCAACACCTGCATGGTCCATAGCTATGCCACTGGGTCCTATGTTAGGCCAATGGGTCTCTACGTAAGTCCCATGGGTCTCTATGCGAGTCTATGGGTCTACATGCGAGTCGATGAGTCTCTTTCTAAATCAGTGGGTCATTATGTAAGCATATGGGTCTCAGTAGCAGTAGGCGGTGGGGGGTTGGCATGGGCCCCCTTCAACATCATCCCTCTTCGCAGCTCAGCACCTGGGCCCCAGTCCAGCAAGTGGGCCAGTTGCATGCCGCCTGCACGCTCACCAGCCACTGCACGGCCACCACGCGCCGTGAAGCCACAGCGTGGAGACGGCACGGACGTCTCTCTGTTTTGGTTACGCGCGCGGACGACGATGTCGACGTTGCGAAAGAGAGAGGAGACGAGGCAGCTGTCCCCGCGGGGTTTTAATCAGCCGCTTGTTGTTCTTTGGTTTGTTCACGTTTGCACCCAGCCGATAAAGAGGGGGGGGGGGAGAGGCACTTTTCATTGTTTGAATTGCCGATTTAATGTTTAGGTTTTTTTTCTGCGCCGCTCGCCCGCCCCGTCCACTCGAACACCACTTGTAAGGCCATTGTTGGCAATGTACACAGCAACTGGGCACAGCGCGCCGTCGATTTCTGCAACGGGGTTTTAATGCGTTGTTTTTTATCGGTAGCAATTCCGTTACGCGCGCGTTGCTAAAATATTTTAAATGCTGACCGGGGGGGGCGGTGTCCGTGATAGTGTTGTGTGTTGCGTGCGTGTTGATGGTGAATTAACGATCCTTTTCACGGTGGTCACCCTTTGATTTCAGGCATGCGAGGATAAACAACAGAGCTGTTTTATTTCTTTAGCTCAAACAGCAGCAGCAACAACAACAACGGCGGGTTTCGAACCAAGCGCGCGCGTCGCGAGCGGCTAACGGCGATGAAGGGGAATTAGGACATTTGGCCTCCAGCGTTAACCCTCCGAGTAGTGAGATCTTTTTTAATATTGAAGCAATTGCAGCACGGCCGCATTTGCAGCGCCATCACCGCCTTCCCTCTGCGTTCGCGCGGGCAGTCGCACCGCAGCACCCCCTTTGATCTTCATCATTTACACCCCTTTGCGTCGATCCGCTTCTGGATTGAAAGCCCTCCCGCACGCCGTTTCGGCCACGTGGGGATTGTTTGAGCCATACCTCGCCATGCTGGTCAGCGTGGGTGTGAAGGGGGTGGTGAGAGCATAGACTCGTTCAGAAAATCACCCACCACCGATGTTAGCCGTGCACACAAAAATGTAACTCGCGGAGTTCGTAGTGCAGTGCTCTTACCGCTGCTCCGCTGCTCTCCCCACATGGCACACATATGTACTATAAACTATGCAAATATTTTTTTATTTTACCAAATAAAGGCCCACTGAGCTATATAGCTCTTTTTCAGCAGCGACCTGGCAATTACAAATTATCGCTCAACCAATGTGGCCTATCACGTGGAAATGTAAAGTAGTAAAATACTCTCAAAACGCGTGATGTTGATTCTAAATCTAGAGGGGAAAACCGGAGGACCCGGAGAAAAATCCACGCAACCACGGAGAGAACATGCAGACTCCAAATACACAGCAGGCATTGTCAGGGTCGGATCGAACCCACGACCTCGTGCATACTCGCCAGCGCGACTGCGTGTGTGTACGGCACATGTACACACGCACAGCCGCGTGTGTTCACGTAACAAAAACACCGCGTTGGCAGCAGTGTGCAATTAAAACAAGCACACTCAGGTGGGTTGTGTGGCTTGGTGGTGAGGGGCCGTGGCCAGGACTTAGATATCGCTCACCGCCGATGTTATTCATGGGCCTGGAATTGAACTCGGGTCACCAGGTGTATAGTGCAACCCGCAGCACTACCGCTCAACCCCGAGGCACCGGGGCGTGCCGCATCTAACCGTTTACTGTGAGTAGAAGTAGGAAAGTTCCATGCCGGTTGTAAAAACGTCCCTCGTGCCCATCTCTGTTGGCAGTGATGAAGTTGCACAATACCAGGACCATTCCATTCACGGGACGACCTCTGTCGACGTTTACGCAGCGATTGTTCATCAGGCGGTGCTCATGGCAATGGATGGTTCAGCCAAACCCTGGCCTGGATTTTAACTCAAAATTTCGCGATGCGGACCCCTACCATTCTACCAAGGGAGTGACATCTCGGCCACGCCTGTTCAATCATTGCCCATTACGTCTGTGTGTATGTACGTTGAACTTCTTTCGCACCGTACGTAGCCAACCGCGCTAATCGCAGGAGCGGGGGGAAGGACGACAAACTAAACGCAAGCAGCGGTTACGACGGTGGCGTAGCTATCGAGTGTGCAGGCGGTGCAACTAAGCAGGCGGCCTACCGGTTAGAGGGATCCAGGTGCCGGGCTATAATTAGATGGGAACCTGGAGACTAGTTTGGATGGGGGGTGGAGACGGGGAGTGGGCCACTTCATTCCTTGCACGAGGGCCCATCATGCCAGCCAAGCTCGCTCGGCTCCATAGCCCTCTTGGAGCACGGGCGACGCACCCAAAGGGGGCGACTCACTCAACGGGGGCGACTCACCCAACGGGGGCGATTCACTCAACGGGGGCGACTCACCCAACGGGGACGACTCACCCAACGGGGCTGACTCACTCAACGGGAGCGACGCAACTCAACGGGGGCGACTCACCTAACGGGGGCGACGCACCCAACGGGGGCGACTCACTCAACGGGGACGACTCACCAAACGGGGGCGACTCACTCAACGGGGACGACGGGGCGACGAGCACGCTCGTCGACGCCAACCCACGGCGACTGCGCCTTCATGCCGTGGCGTCGTGGGGCGGCTTCAGCGCGTCGACGGCCGAGTGCAGGCCGAGGTGCGCGTGGTGGAAGTGTCGGTCCAGCGCCCGCCGCTGCTTGGTCACCTCCCGGCGCAGGATCTCGAGTTCGCGTCGGAAGCGCAACACGGCCCTGCGGGAAGCACGGCGCGGGCGTCACGACAGCATCGTCCTCCTGCCGATGTTAGGAAACCGCACTGGAGCTGTGCACTTTGAAATCACCTGGATCGAAAACTCATTTCTTGAGAACTGCTTTTTTGTGCTTATTTGTGGTCCTTCCCCCGCGCCTCCGATTAGCGTGGTTGGCTACGGACGGTGCGAAAAAAGTTCAACGCACGTGCACACATCTGTACTGGCAGATCGAGCGTGTTAACGCATGTACGCGGAACTTCTTTCGCACAGTGCATAGATGACCATGCTAATCGGAGGTTCGAAATGCCCTGAATGCCCATAAACATCATGAGCAGTCCTGAACTATCCACGGCCACGATCTCTCGCCGCGACGGTCCGTGCGGCGCCTGCACGCACGCCGATTTCGCCGCTCCGTCTCCGCGGCGATCGTTTTCCCTCTCGGAGTTTTCTCCTTTCGGCTGCCACCCTGTCGCTTAGGCTTGGGCATCGGCTACCCCATCCCGTCTCGCGACGAGTCCTTATCAGGACCAACTTGATTTTCTCAAAGTTCACGTGACGCCTTCGACGTGCGCATGTTCCCTTACAGAGAATGGCTTGACGAAAGATGCTGCATCTAAACTAGACCCAATGGGTGACCGACGTAGAAAGTAAGAAGGTTGCACAGAGGAGAAGACGACCTGATGACGATGATGTTGCAGGCAGTGATGAGAAGGAAACTGGCACGATTTGGACACGCGTAGCATGGACAACAACAGGAATATTAAAAGCGTGTTGTTGTTGTTCGGAAAAATGTAAAGAACTGGAAAGAGAGGAAGACCTCACAGAGAACGGCTTGACGATGACGACGACATCACGGGAGATTGGTGCCAGAAATATGTGGCCACTACTTGAGCTCTTCGGCACCAAGACACAGAAAGTGGAAACAACAAATGACGAAATGTGCAGTGGACACCTGCGGGCTGTCTGCCCATGGATGATGATGATGTTGATGATGTTCTCTAAGCCATGTGTTTCTCTGTCTCTCAGTGTTTCCAAGCGTACGCATCTCTGCCCTTGTACAGGAACGTTTTAGCTTTCGTTCTATTGATCAAAGTGCATTGCAGGTAATTATCTAAAGAACAGAGTGTTCTAATCATTGATATTGGTAATGCCCTTTATTTACCCTGTAAACCCTGACCGGGTCTCAAGGCTCTCTGTCAGGATGGTCCACGCATTGCGATGTTTGGCCGATTCCATTCATGAGTGCTCGGTGTGTGGGACGGAAACCACAATTGTGTGTGTCTGTTTGTACGTTCATGCCCGAATGTGTAAGTTTTAGTGTTGCCGAACATCCCATTGCATGACCCTCCGTGCAAGCGTCTCGAGACTCGGTGAGGCTTTCCTAGACAAACAAATGACATCGTTATATTTGTACGTGCATATGCGAATGTGGTGGTGGTACATATGAACGCGCTTGTGTTTAGGGCCAGGTTTAAGGCATGTTTACCAGCAATGGGGCAAATCACCAAGGCCATATGCTTCGGTCATTTTGTCACATTGATGTGAATCTAGCTCATGAAGTATAAACAAAACACAATCTGCAATGTGTAACGTTGCTTTAGAATTGTGTACACACATGTGCGTACCTGCACGTTCGCACATTTAATGATGCTTTTCAGAATTTTATCGTGGAGTTTTCTGGCAGTCAACGTCCAGGAAATATATGAGTCACTGCAGGTGACAACAGCCCTTGGGCTAAATTTGTTTGTAAGAGCTATATTTTTATCAAGCGTGGGGTAAAGGATGGAAATTTTCAGTCGCACGTCAAACCCAGAGCGCCCTGTTCTTGCGGAAACTGTCCCCAGAGGAAACCAGTCCCTGCCAAACTGGGACGCAAATTACGACCGATCACACACCTCCTAATTACCGGGGTTCGGGGTTTCTGATCGAATGGCACTCTAAGGTGCCCTCATTACCTTTTCTGCGGCCGCCCGATGCTCTTGACGTCCGGCTGACTCGGCTCGCGATCATCCCGGACTCTCACGGAATCGAGAAAGTCGTCCAGCTCCTCCTGGCATCAAACATTCGTTTGGTTATAACAGATGTTTTTTTATTTTTTTAGCTTGCAGGCCTAATGTGGAGAGTAAAAGGCCCTTGGGGTGGCCCGCTGAGCCACGGCCCGACAGGGGCTATGGTTTTTCTGAGCGATGAACAGATGCAAGTTCAAACTATGAACTAAACAATTTTTATTTTAACAGGTAAGGCCCACTGAGCTGTATAGCTCTTTTTCAGAAGCGACCTGGCCACAAATGATAGCTCAACGAAGTGGCTTATCACGTGGAAATTATAGCAGCCAAATACAGTAAAACCCTGGATTGCGAGCATAATTCGTTCCGGAAACGTGTTTGTAATCCAAAGCACTCGTATATCAGTTGTGATCACGTGACGCTCGGCAGACAAAGCGTATACACGTACTACTCGTATTGCAAGACCTCGCTCGTTAATCAAATTAATATTTATTAAAAAATTTTGCTCGTCTTGCAAAACACTCGCAGACCAAGTAACTCGCAATCCAAGTTTTTACTGTACCCTTAAACGCACGTTTCTAAAGGTGGAGGGAAAAACCGGAGGACCCGGAGAAAAATTACATGATCACGGGGAGAGACATGCAAACTCAAAATATAGCGGTGCCAGGGTCGGGATCGAACCCACAACCTCCTGTATACCAGGCGAGGCAGTTGACATCTCACTGCCGTGGCACCTCAGTTCAGCGACCGCGAGTCTTCCACATGGACGTGGCCTGGGGTCAATGGGCAGGAGGTCGTTCACTCCGGCCCTCTTGCAACTGACCCAGGTCCCCTTTGCAATTTGAGACCACCTTGGTCTCTTTATGAAATTGAACTTGAGCTCTTGACTATTTGCAAGGGGAAGCGGTGAGTTGGTCGGCATAGCGAGGCTGCTGTGCGGGGATCCGTGTGGAGCCCGCTAGCTCAGTTCGTGAATCAAGCCGGCTCACTTTCCAGTGGACACACGGCACGAGCGAGTGGACAGTCGCACGCGTTTTCATTATTCCTTGCACTTTAGGCATAGGCAGGCGAGAGCTCAATTTGCCACTGCAGCGTGGAAGTAGTGCCACCGTGAGGTTTTAAACTGCATTTGCAGATACGGTACCACATGTCTGGCACATGTTAACCAGCATTGATACTGCCGCTACGCACGTATTGGCGATGATGATAATGATTATGACTATAGCGTTCATACGTATTGAAAGCAGCGCTTACGCCAACGTCTCTGATTTGAATTGATGATGCTGATAATCATATGATGATGATGTTCGCAGGTGCTGTCGCCGGTGATGGCAGTGTACACAAGATAAATATGATGATGATAATTACGTTACCAGCGTTGAGAAATGTCAAACGCAAATCAAATTAAGATAATTACGTACACGTGCAACCATTCACTGCTGGGTGATGGGGGTTGTTTGAACATACTTCACCACGCTTTGTCACTGAGGCTTTATGAAGCTGGGAGCACAGATGTTGGAAGCATAGAAGCACAGTGCTACAATATATCTTGCTGCACTGCCATCCGCTGCCCAACGTGTACCCGACTGCACCTGTTGTTTATGCATGGTGGTCGCCCATCCAAGCACTATCCAGGCTCATACCTGCTTAGCTTAAAGAGATGACAATTTCTGACGAGCTCAGCTGCGTCACGATTGATTTGGTCTTTGGATTAAAAAACAAGCCACGGCCCGCACCGTGCCGTGCGGGTCGTGGCATTTTGGTCATCGGCAAGGATAATTACGACCACTGATAACTTCGATGAGGGCGATGACGATCGCGACAAGGGCGATGATGAGGGCGAAGATGATCGCGATGAAAACGACGATGAGGGCGATGACGATCGTGATGAAAACGACGATGAGGGTGAAGATGATCGCGATGAAGGCGACGATGAGGGCGATGACGATCGTGATGAGGGCGACGATGAGGGCGATGACGATCGTGATGAAAACGACGATGAGGGCGATGGCAATCGCGATGAAAACGACGATGAGGGCAAAGATGATCGCAATGAAGGCGATGATGAGGGCGATGACGATCGCGATGAAAGCGACGATGAGGGCGAGGACGATCGCAATGAAGGCGATGATGAGGGCGAGGACGATCGCGATGAAAACGACGATGAGGGCAAAGATGATCGCAATGAAGGCGATGATGAGGGCGAGGACGATCGCGATGAAAACGACGATGAGGGCGAGGACGATCGCAATGAAAACGACAATGAGGGCGATCGCGATGAAGGCGACGATGAGGGCGACCGCAATGAGGGCAACATGAGGACGGTGGCGGAGATGGTGGCGGCGGCGGTCACCTTGATCCCGAACGCCGCCCCGCGACCCTTTTCCGCGGCGGTGGCCGTGGGGTCCCACGGAGTGACCAGTGCCGCCCCCTCCCCGTGCACGCGGCGACGCGCCTTCTCACGCAGCCCCCGCAGGGCCCCCTCGTCCTCCGTCTCCAGCAGGATGCTCGCACGCTGCATGTACACGTTCCCCTCCATGTCGTGGTACACCCTGCGCCAAAGCGAGGGGGGTGAATGTGTGTGAGTGTGCGTGAAGGCGGTGTAGGTGGCGCGTCTGCCAGTCACTCCGGTCTCTCAACCTGAGCAACAGGGGTCGGCCACCCGCGGCTCTGGAGCCGCGGTGCTTGCTGGCTCTTCTCTAAGGACCGCTTGGTGACGTTATTTATCGAGGGCCACCGTCTCGTATTCACGGGAATTGCGGTTCTTGAAATATAGCAATAGGTTTTACCCTTTCCGGCAATAAAACAGCTGTGTTAAGATGTTCAAACATCAAACAGAAACCTTTTCCAAGGAATCATGTCTACATTAATCACATGTACCCGTGGTGAACATGCAAACAAAAACATGCTCTGGTAATATATGCATTGTCTTTGAAACTGAGAACGCCAAAAGGCGAACAACACTGGCTGAGACTAGGCCCTAAAGAAAGCTGTCTCTGGTGGAGACCAATCAGTTTCAAAGACAATGCAAATATTACCAGAGCATGTTATTGTTTGCATGTTCACCACAGGTACGTGCGGTTAATGCAGTACTTAATTCCTTGCAAAGGTTTTCTCTTTGGTGTTTGAACATCTTAACACAACTGTTTTATTGCCAGAAAGGGTAAAACCTATTCTTATACTTTGATACTGGCAAGAAAGATACCATGTTGGCTCTTGAAATAGTACTTTATTGAATTCTAAAAATATATTTTGACCTAGAACAATTTCTTTTACTATTTTTATTTTACCAGGTAAGGCCCGCTGAGCTGCATAGCTTTTTTTCAGAAGCAACCTGGCCACAAATGATAGTCCATTTATGTGGACTTTCATAGTAGCCCCATACTCTAAACGCGTGATGTTGATTCTAAATGTGGAGGGAAAAACCGGAGGACCTGGTAAAAAAAATCCACACGACCACGGGAAGAGAGATATGCAAACTCCAAATACACAGGCATCAGTGTCGGGATCGAATCCAGTACCTCCTGTATACCAGGCGAGGTAGTTAACATCTCGTCACCTTGGCGCCCACTAGGCGCCACGGTGCAGCGAGGGCGACATGGGATCCATCAAATCTGTTTAAATACAGATCCACTTTTGTCTTGTGGGTTAGGCCACGTGGTGGTGGTGGTGGTTTGTGGTGAAAGTCTCGTCAATAACCCTCCACCTCCCGACAAGATCGTCACGCTTACGAAGGATGTTGTTCAAAGATGTTTCAAGTATGCTGAATAATTTTTTCTAAAGATGTAACACATCCAGACGAGGGTTATTTGGTCAACTGAGATATTTGGCCAGTTCAATTATTGATGGCGTGTGCGTAGAAACTGGAGTACAGTATCTGAATATAACCCACTCATATGTGGGATAACACTGAAAGCTCTGCGTAGATAGATTTAATCCATTGCTATCTCCTTAAGTAAGATATCCTGTTTCGCCAGGCCTGCGGTGGTGTCTCATTCTGTCCCTGGCGGGGTTGTCGAGAAGTGACGTGCGTCACAGCTCGCCTTGCTGGACTCGGGAGCGATGTGGGAGCTCCTCAGGGGAAGAGTCAGGAACAGCACGGTCCATGGGGAGAACACGGAAGCTCCAAATATACAACAGGCGTCAGGGTCGGGATCAAACCCACGACCTCCTGTATACTCGGCGAGATAATTAACATCAAGCCACCGTGGCCTGGAGAGAACACGCAAGCTCCAAATATACAGCAGGCGTCAGGGTCGGGATCAAACCCACGACCTCCTGTATACTCGGTGAGATAATTAACATCAAGCCACCGTGGCATGGGGAGAACATGCAAGCTCCAAATATACAGCAGGTGTCAGGGTCGGGATCAAACCCACGACCTCCTGTATACTCGGCGACATAATTAACATCAAGCCACCGTGGCATGGGGAGAACATGCAAGCTCCAAATATACAACAGGCGTCAGGGTCGGGATCAAACCCACGACCTCCTATATACTCGGCGAGATAATTAACATCAAGCCACCGTGGCGTCCAGAACTGGATAGGTCCCTTCAGCCTCTTGCCAGAGAGCCTCCATCATTCAAAGTGCACCTAGCCTGGCACGAGTTTTGTGCTGATGTTTATGCCACTTGCTGGCAAATAGCAGCTGGTGTCCACGAGGAATCTGTCATCAGGGAGATTATGTTACCATCACCTGTTAACCCCTTGTCAGTGCCCTACCTTATTACAGACCAATTCAGACCTTATTGGTCAACGTTCATCCTACAAAGTTCCATCACAAGGGATAAACACAAACAAATAGACACAATTTTTGTTGCCCGTATTGAAACGGCTGTATGACGTATGGACCTGAAAACTCAATTTCCCTGTACAAGAATACGGGTACACCGTATGGGTCGACAGGCATGTGTTAGATTGGTGAGTGGCTAGATCGAGCATGCACACTGTACATATACATGTACAAAATCTATATCTACTGATGTCGATTCATGATAATAATGACCACAATGATGCTGCAGAAAGCCAAGAATGATGATTCTGTTGCTGCTGCTGATGAGTTTTGTTTCTGCCGCTGTTGGATTTTCTGATGATCATTCTGTTGCTGATGAGTTATTTCTACTATTGTTGGATCTGCTGATGATTCTATTGCTGCTGCTGCTCCTATCCGACCATGGCAACGACAGAAATGCCACCCACGTACGGACAGCCGTCGCACTCATCAATGCACGCTCGTGTTCAGACGCGTCGCTCGAACTGAAGCTGAGATCGGCACCGGTGGCTCTTATGGTGTTGATGAGGAATCCACCGGCCGTGTGTGTGTACCTGCGTGCCTGCCTACATGCCTGCGTGCCCATGTGCGTGCGTGCCCACGTGCGTGCGTGCCCACGTGCGTGCGTGCCCACGTGCGTGCGTGCGTGCCCTTACGTGGCGAAGGCGTAGTTGAGCATAGCGATGAAGATGTTGTTGCAGAGGATGGCGGTGAAGAGCAGGAAGGAGGCCACCAGGATGTAGGTCATTGGCGTGTCGACGGCGCACATCTCCATGTAGGGGTAATGGTCGATGACACTCATGCGGAACATGGTGAACAGCATGGTGTCCACCGTCTGCATCCAGGGTATGCTCTCGTTGTCTAGGGCAAGAGGGCAAAGGCGCAGCCCTGCAATCGCTCGCTCGCGCCACTGCCGGCGGAAGAGTCGCCGCTAAAAGGCGCTCTGGAGAGTGATTTGTTCACCTCTTGCACGCCGGCCAGACACCTGGCGACATTGTCCGTGGTCATCCTGAAGTAGGAATAATAATATATTTATGAAAAATAAAAATAGGTTTTACCCTTTCTGGCAATAAAACAGGAGTTAAGATGTTCAAACACCAGATAGAAACTTTTGCAAGGAATCAATTCTGCATTAACCACACGTACTTGTGGCAAAACACGCGAACGAACACGTGGCTTTGATAACTTATGCATTGTCTTTGAAACCGATTGGCCTACACCAGAGCCAACAGCCTTCGTTAGGGCCTCGTCTCACTACCAGTGTCAGACCAGAGAACGCCAAAAGGCGAACAGCACAGAGACAATGCCACACATATCAGAGCATTCATAGCTCAGGTTGAGCAGTATCTATGGGACCTTTTTTGCCAGTATCAACGTATGAAAAATAAGAAAAAGTTATGGGAGGTATTAGTAATGTGCCTGGGGATATGTCAGTAATGTTGAATTCAACTCATCGTCAGCAATTAACTCAGCCCATCATCCCTCTGGGGGGCGGCGGGGGGGGGGTTGATAAAATAAGTGCCACGTTGTGGGAAGTCAATGGCGATTGTCCGATGGAATCAGAATCTTTATTTATTACTGGAGGAATCCGATGAGCTATGAAGCTCTTTTTCACAGATTTCAAGTCGGGGCACGGGGTCAGAACGTTACAACAACAAACAATAAAACAAACACGTACAAATACAACACTCAACCATCCCCAACCTACCAGACAAAGCCCATAGGAATATGGAGGAATGTGCATCAATGGTTCAGGGCTTTAAGAATGAGATGAGCTGCCTCGCCGTATTTCTCGCGGGCATGGATAACCACTTGGCCTTTGGACCTCCCTTTGCTGTAAGCGCAGAGCTCGCGTCGTGCGCGCGAGCACGTGACGCAGCCCTGCCCGCTCGCTGTCGTCTCGCGTGGGATCTCGCTCACTGCCAAAGATGATCCAGAAGGAGAAGAAGAAGGGGATGAAGAACTGCGCCGAGAGGAAGATGAACTTGAAGGTGTAGCGCACGATCTTGCCCAGCATCACCACGAAGGGGCCCAAGAAGCTGCAGTGGAAAAAGTCACAATTAGTGGGCGAGCGGACGGGTAGGCGAGAGGGTGGGTGGTTAGGTGATTGGGTTGGTGGGTGGTTAGGTGATTGGGTTGGTGGGTGGGCGGGTTGGTGGGTGTGTGGGCAGGTGGGTAGGTGGGCTGGTGGGTGTGTTGGTGAGTTGGCGGGTGGTTAGTTGGTTAGGTGAGCGGGTGGGTGTGTGGGTGAGCGGGTGGGTGTGTGAGTGAGCGGGTGGGTGTGTGGGTGCGCAGGTGGGTGAGTGGGCAGGCAGATGGGTTGGTGAGTTGGTGGGTGGTTGGTTGATTCGGTGAGCGGGTGGGTGTGTGGGTGGGCAGGTGGGTGAGTGGGCAGGCAGGTGGGTTGGCGAGTTGGTGGGTGGTTGGTTGTTGGTTAGGTGGGTGGATGAGTGGGCCCGGTGGATGGGGGGGTGGGTAGGTAGGTGGATGCATGGGCAGGTATATCGGTATGTGGTTAGGCAGTTAGGCAGGCAGATAAGCGGGCATGGGTTTGGCGGCGGAGAGGCTGGAGACCTGAATGCACGCATGTGCTTGAGGTTGCTCAGCCAAAGTGGGACGAGGGCGACCGCAGCCACACGCACGTGCAGCAGCGCCACCGCGTCGCCCGGGCGGATCGCGTGCACCGCATGCACCCCCAGCAGCGCCAGCAGCAGCAGGTTCACCAGCCAGTCGTGTATGTTCCTGCCAGCGTGCACGCGAAGACAAAGACAAAGATCCTCCCCCCGGTAGCCTACATGTGGTGTTCGCGAGCACCTGTGAAGGCCGGCACGGCGCACCCGAGAGCGGTGTGGCCAGCGGAACGCCCGGGCCGCCTTCGTCTCCCCAGTGGCGATGTCTACGAACCGCACCGGGTACTCATTTGAGGCCGAGTCGAACTAGGGGGGAAGCCCAGGATTGGGTCAGATATTTGACGCTGTTAGGAGTGAGCGGGAATTGAACGCGCACGCATGCACACGCTTACATGCACATACTCAGGCACACAGAACCCTTTACAGCACAGCATGGAGCTGGAATTTAGCTCAATTATTCATGTATGCTGAACTTCTTTCACACCGTACGTAGCCAACCGTGCTAGTCGGAGGTGCGAAGCTACGTTTGTGTGATTCGCTTGCGCAGCCGCTGGTGACTGGCCTGCGACCAGCAACTCGCCGCACTTGAGAACTCGGTTTAATCGCGGGTGACTGCTGTGACCTGGATTTAAACCCAGGGGCCTCAGTGGTACCACCTTAGTGCCGTGACCCGAGCCAGCGGGGCCACCTCAGAAGAGATTGTCACTGTAAATGTTATGGGCCACTTTAATTTAGGAGTATGTTCCTTTGCATTACAACAGGCGTTGGGCGGCACTCATTGTTCGTGGTGGCTACGCTGCCGCTGCTGCTGCTGCTGCACGTGGCCGCCTGTAATCCAGCACTGTGGAGGCAGCAGCGAGGGGCTGGTGGATCACCGCACACACAGCGCACAGACGGTGCGAAACTCCCTTCCCGTGGACGTCGAGGAGGTGCCGCACCCTGGCTCGCCAGAAGGCAGTATAGCGAGTGGACTAATAGCCATCTGTTTCCATCTGTACGGGGATAGAGCGTTGCTCTCCCCCCCCCCCCCCCTCGCTCGTTTGGGTTTTCCCCGGGCGCTGCGGTTTCCTCCTAAGTGTACAATGAACACTCATCGTTCATTTGCTGAAAAATAAATATACAAAATTCGACCCAGTGCAGGACCCATCCGACAAAAAGAATTCCTACAACTCAGTGTGGCTTTCCTGGATAGGTAAATAAGTAAACTTGTTGTGAATTATTATTAGTGGTTCATAAGCCAGTGGTGGATATTTTTGGTACCTGCAACAGGATAACAGGAAAGTGTCAGAGAAAGACAATGAGTTGACAGGGGGTCTTACGAAAGTGTAAATTCTAAACCAAAGATTTAGCTATTACCCACTGCATTTGGCAACATTTAAGACATGTCAAGGCATTGCAGATTGATTGCACTATTGATCCAATAGATGGTCACTAATGCCAGGACGTTTATTGTATCTGACAGCGTTTAGATGTGGTTATAAATAGGGACATTGATTTTTTGGTTATTTGTCACTCAAACTCAATGTTCGCTGACGGCAACAACAAAAAATCCCACGAACGAATTGTAAATCAGGGACGCTTGGGCACTAGACAATTGAAAGCACAAACGGTGTAAGATACATACCAATAATCATTCAAATAATATGATTTCATATTACTTAGTTCTTCCATTTCCCTCCTGATGTAAACTACTTCCTGAAAATGAAAAAAGAGACACACGCACAATGTCAAACGCTGCACAATAATCTGATTTGGCCCATCATCCCCACGGGATTGATAAATTAGGTACCCGCTTTGTGAGACGTTAGCAGTGATTGACTTATGAAACGACTTGACCCTGCCATAGGCAATGTGGAATTTCCACTTCTGGCTGCAGGTCACTGCACACAAGCACGCTCATTGAGTATGAGGACCCTGTAACTCGGCTTTTAAATGTTTTCCCACCAAATTATTCCGATAGTTTATCACTGGCATGGTGGAATGAGATGAAGGATTTGGAAACCACAGGTGAATTTCTGGTGAATTGGTGGCAGGAAGTCAACAAGGGCCATTTATTGTTTATTTTGCTTCTCCCTTTGACCAGGTGAACACACGTCACACCCAGGGCCAGATTCAGGTCATGAGGGGCCTAATGCTAATGAGATGTGAAGGTCCGGAGTACATATTACATATTATTGCAAAACTTTTTTTTAAGTCGTCCAAAGTGTATTTATTTACCGATGCAAAATTAACACATTTATACAACTCAAGGTAAACCCAACAAACATAAATCACTCGCTAGACTCATTGCTTCAAACTAATTTTTTTTACAGCTTTAGCCATCACGAACACTGTCATCGTCATTCAAGGACAAACTTTTTTCCGATGGCTGCACCACCGTATATGTTATGTATATCGTTTATTGTTAAATTTGAATCACAATTCCTATGATCACTGTAACATTGATTTTATAGCTTAAATTTGGTGATTTCGAAAACGTTTTGCTTTTGCCATATTTGTTTGTTGTAGTACAGAGTTAGACAGATAACTTTAATCTAAAATGTCTTATGGTTGTTATTGTTTGACTTGCATCCCACCGGGATTTTTGCACACAGCGTTGAAATGCGGTGGCTTTTTCTGGAAGACTTTGCTGTTTTTCCAGGATTTTTCTGTTTGCGTGTAGTCACTTTAGAATGTTTTCTTGTTCACGTTTTTGTTTGTTGCGGTTGCACCCGATTCAAGAGCCGAATGGCTCACAGGGCTATACCTAATAAATAAACTGAAACTGAAACACCGTCGCTCCGCTGTACCTTCAACGTGGAAACAAAGGCCTATGAAAAACTGAGGGCCTTATTAATCCGGTACCTGGTCACACCCACAGCAGCAACATGACAGACCTGGGGCCACTTGGGGTTGCAGAAGCTCAGATCTTCCTCCAGGGCGCGCTGGTATTTGCAGCGCCAGCGAGCCAACTGAGCCCGGGACTTGAAGAAGTCCAAGATTTCGCGCGCCACCTTGTAGAGCAGCCACACCCCGCACACCATCAGCAGCACCCACTTCCACGCATCCTGCGAGTCCAACAGGACGCAGACATCATCCGGTGCAGTCATCGTGAATGCTGAGGTCAGGCTGAGATCATCATCTCAGTAGACGTGAGAATGTGGTTTATTCATGGGTAGCTGCAAGCTGGATTCAAACTCAGGATCTCAGTTGTACTGGCTCAGTGCTGTGACACGGTCAATAGGAAGAGTTTAGATACCAGGAAGGAGTTATAATCCATTCACATTTTTAATTGCAATAGCGAATCATTCCACGACCTATATGAGCCATACCAAGTTTCACCTGGGGTCATACAAAAAGTTACGTGACCAGGAGATGAAATAATCTCATTGAGACACAGACTAAACTACTAAACTTTTTTTTATTTTGGCAGGTAAAGCCCACTGAGCTATAAAGCTATTTTTCAGAAGCGATCTGGCCACAAATGATAGCTCAACAAAGTGGCTTGGCACGTGGAAATGTATAGCAGCCCAAATACTCTAAAACGCATGTTTCTAATGTGGCAGGGGAAAACCGGAGGACCGGGACAAAAATCCATGCGACCACGGAGAGAACATGCAAGCTCTAAATATACAGGCATCAGGGTCGGGATCGAACCCATGACCTGCTGCATACCAGGCGAGGTAGTTAACATCTCGCCGCCCACTAGGCGCCACGGTGCAGCGAGGGCGACATGGGTTCCATCAAATCTGTTCAAATACAGATCAATTTTTGTCTTGTGGGTTAGGCCACGTGGTGGTGGTGGTTTGTGGTGAAATTCTCGTCAATAACTCTCCACCTCCCGACAAGATCGTCACGCTTACGAAGGATGTTGTTCAAAGATGTTTCAAGTATGCTGAATATTTTTTTCTAAAGATGTAACACATCCAGACGAGGGTTATTTTGGTCAACTGAGATATTTGGCCAGTTCAATTATTGATGGCGTGTGCATAGAAACTGGAGTACAGTATCTGAATATAACCCACTCATATGTGGGATAACACTGAAAGCTCTGCGTAGATAGATTTAATCCATTGCTATCTCCTTAAGTAAGATATCCTGTTTCGCCAGGCTTGCGGTGGTGTCTCATTCTGTCCCTGGCGGGGTTGTCGAGAAGTGGCGTGCGTCACAGCTCGCCTTTCTGGACTTGGGAGCCATGTGGGAGCTCCTCAGGGGAAGAGACAGGCAGAGCACGGTCCAAAGTGAGATGTAAACAAGCTCCAACACCAGGTGGAACCAGGTCGCTGCACTGCAAGACAGGACGACAAAGGCGCGCGGTGACAGAGGCGAGCCGGTAAATAGAGCGCTCGCGTGAAGCACCGGCCAACATCAAACGATGGCACGGTGCCGGAAGGCAGAGACGACAGCATCGGCGTTTTGAGTGAAGAAATATGAAGGTGAATGAGTAAGTATTTCACTGTCGTTCGTCTCCCCCGCTTTGGAGATGAAATGCGATGAGTCCGTCAGCCGATTGGCTTTCTGGACAAAAAATATCCAGCAGCAAATCCGGTTTAACAAGAAAACTCTCAAGACTGCGTCGACTGTCAGGGTCTCATCAGCAGTCAGGCCTGTTGAACAGATACTGCCGGGCTGCGAGATTGTTATTGTCAAGAACACTACGTGTACCAGACGGCTACGTTCATCGCCAAAAGCATCAGCATCATGATGCCGGGTACTTCACAACACAAAGTTAATTATATTTTTAAGTGTCTAAATGTGCCCACGTCTCAAGGCAAAGGGCCAATAAGAAGCCGTGCACAAAGACATCTTAGAAGGGAGTAGGAATTGTTTATTATTTTTATAGATAAATATATTTTTGCTGGCAGATGGCAGCTGTGTCGCAGAACGCAATATCAGATGAACACATGGCAAGGGAGTGGCTGCGGTCACTCAATGTGCTGCATCTGCTCTTATATACACAGATAACTTCAGGATGATGTAACACAATTATTGGATGCATGGGATGGTGCTCATCTATTTACTAGCACTGAGCCAAGTATGGAAATACCACATTCCTATGGCAGGGGCAAGTCTCTCCACAAAGTGGCATTCAGTTTTAACAACTCTCCCTCCTCCCCCCGGCGAGATGTAACGCCGAGTCGACCTGCGACCGGGGATTTGAGCTCGCGACGCTCCAAACGCGATCTGCAACGCTCCGGCACCTGCGTCCACCCGGCCAGATCGTGAAGATCGACCGACAGAATTAATGATTTTGCTTTCACGGCCGCAATGAACGCTACGGTGACTGCACGGCGCGCGTTACCGTCACGTTTCAACTCGGCGATGAAACACCGGAGGGGCCCCACCTACCCTCGCGGCAAAGTTTGGCCCACAATCGTGGCCGCCACAAATCTAAAAATAATGACGAGTTTGGTTGAGAGCAAGGGGGTGGGGGGGGGTGTGTTGGTGGGGAAATGAGAACATGTGTTTTGTTAGAAACAGGGCCTTTGCATTGCTCTTACTATCCATAGCTGTTCCACTTCAAGTCGATGAACTTCTTGACCAAGGGATGTTTAATGACGTCAAACAGTTGGTTCGAGACGATGACCTTCAGCTGAAAAGAAGGGACAAAAAAGAAGTCCGCACAACCGAGGCCAATGTCATATTTCTCAAACGGCGCAGATCCTCAGGTCAAATTTAACATGCCGAGTCAGAGTGTGGTCACTACTGCCTCCGCTCACCGGGGTTCTGTACGTCTCCTTGTGTTCTGAAAAAATACAAACGCAAAGATGTCAGGAACGTTGCCAACGGTTTTGGGAGCATTACCGCGCAGGCGTTTTTTTCGCGGATTGTGTGGCGCAGATTTCCGATGTGTCGTCTGCGTGCCGTTTGGCAAAATTTGCTCCCCGGAACTGAATTCAAGTTTCCCGAAAACACTCACGCGAGAGCTGTACACGGTTTTATGAGAGGCGTTGCCGGCTGTAGACTACAGGGCTGCACGGTGGACAGCAGAGGGTGCGATTCAGCAAAATCCACAGTAATTGTACAGTACTTCTGTGCTCCTATGTCTATAATCCCAGCTTTCACCAATCCAAACCGACCAGTGTTGTGAAATTTGGTTAAATTGCCCCCATTACGTACACGGTGTTGGGAGGCCCTCATCCAGCAGTGGATTGACAAGGAGTCCTCCACAAATGGTAAAGACTTTGAGGGGTCATCCCTTGGGATCGATAAAATCAGTACCGCACGGTGGAAAGGCAACAACGTATGGCGCGAAAGAGGTTTAACGTACGTAATTCAACATACAATGGCCATCCCGTGGATACACTGGTCCGTCGAGGGAATACAGAATTTCCACCACTGATTCGGGATTAATACTGGATATACAGCAACTGCCATTGCATTGCTCATTTAGGCAGAGAGAGAAACAATTTTTAATTTTTGACTGGACTTTGTTAGGAACTGACAATCAACGTCCGTGGGCAATCTAAAAAAATTGTACGAAACATTGTACAAATTAATCTGGACAGAAATGTAGTTCAAGGCCCTATGAGACTTAATTCCTAAAATAAGCATACTATAATTCCACGAAAAAAAATGTGTACAAAAGGCAGATTGTCTTTGAGCAAGAATCCATTCCAGTGCACAGAACGATCGATCCATTACAGAGTCTTACAGATTTCCCCTCTAACTGAACACTGAACAATGGGTGAGGTTCGAGCGGTGCAACTATGGAATGTGCAGACGGTGCAACTGCGCCGGGTTCCGTGGGCTGAAGGGACCCAGGAGGCAGGGTTCATGCCAACCACACGGCGCTACTGACGACACAAATAAGTGACACGGTGCGCTTTTGTGTTTATTATCCATAAAATTGGACTTTTCGAAATCTGAATGACTTCATTTAAATTCCGAATGTAGGTGTGTACGTTGAACCTGTTTCGCACCGCACGTAGCCAACCGTGATAATCGGAGGGTGCTCTCATAATCCACGCCCAGTGCACGGTATTCACAGATTCCCACAGCGGATCAACGTGTCCCACGACCCGGAGCATTGTGACACTCTCCTCGACTGCCAGGGGTTTATATTTAGAGGTGTTTGAATAGCGTGTACAGTGCGCACAACAGCGCGGTGGAATGCCTGAACGTATTAAATGTTCCTCGTTTCAAGCAATGCAAACAGGTGTTGCATTGCTCTCAGGGTGACGGAGTGGGAGAGAGAGGATGGGAGGGGGAAGGGTGGATGGGACAGGCCAATGTGTGTAGAGTGACTTACCGTGTCTCATCTCATCGGCTCTCGCAAGCTAAGCAGAGCCGAGCCTGATCAGTAATTAAACTAAAACTCAGCTGATAATTGTTTTTTTACCCTTTTTATCTGGCAACAAAACTGACACCTTTTTTACAAGGAGTCATGTTTGCATAGACCACAATACCTGCAGTCGTAATGCAAACAAAAAACATAACTCTGATAATGTATGCACCGTCCTTGAAGTTGATTGGTCCACACCCGAGACAGCTTTCCTTAAAGCCTAGTCTCACATGGTGTTGGACCAGATGACGCCAAAAGGCGCACAACTCAAAGACAATGCACCATCAGAGTATGAGAGCTCGGGGTAAGCATTTACACCATTGGAACCTCATTTGAATTGAGCGCCTTTTGGCGTCATCTGGTTATGTTTTTTGTTTGCATTACGACTGCAGGTATTGTAGTATATGCAAACATGACTCCTTGTAAAAAAAAAAGTGTCAGTTTTGTTGCCAGATAACAAGGATAAAAAAAACAATTATCATATGTTTCTACTGGCAAATGAGGTTCCAATGGTAAAACTAAGCTATTTTTTTATTTTACCAGGTAAGGCTCACTGAGCTATGTAGTTCCTTTTTCAGAAGCGACCTGGCCACAAATGATATCTCAATGAAGTGGCTTATCATGTGGAAATTTATAGCAGCCAAATACTCTAAACGCCCGTTTCTAAATGTGGAGAGAAAAACGAGAAGACCCCGAGTAAAATCCACGCGACCACGTGGAGAGAGATATGCAAACTCCAAATGGACAGGCGCCAGGGTCGGGATCGAACCCGCGACCTCCTGCATACCAGACGTTGGGAGTTAACATCTCCTAGCCACCATGGCGCAATTGGATGGGTGACCACCAATACATGCCAGGTGTTGTAAGTGCGAGCCTCCAGGGTCCAAGGCAGGTGTTTTTGAATGAGTGAAAGTTGCAGCGTAGTGCATGTTGGCCAAAATGTTTATCGGTCACAAACGTAACCACTATTAGCACTTGGCTACATGCGGTGCGAAAGAAGTTCAACACATACTCTAAATGAAACAAATCACGTCTTTATTTTATTTATTTCTAACTATGTGACTTTACCGAAAGAACCAAAGAGTATGGATTCCTGCAGTGACAAAAGCTTCAAATCAAGTTCAACACACATACAAAGCTTAGTACTGTAACACAAGGACAACATCGGCTTCTGTAGCAATACCTGCGTTAGGCTTTGGCTCCAGGCATGTCAGGTTGAAGCTTTGGTGCCGGCGAATGGGGTCACAGTCGTAGAACCGACCTAAAGCCTTATAAGCCTGGAAGCGGGGAGACGGGGATGGGGAGATTGAATGAGTGTGCACGCGCGGTGTATCACAAAAACCCCGGGCATGCTTCGTAACGCATGGGCTCGACTTAAAGTAAGCGTTCACGGTTCGCGTTCACACACGGGGGATTGCACGTCTTTTGGCGGTTGGCGAATATATTCCCGTGACTAAAATTTTATGCCGCCGTGCGAGATATCCAACCGACGGAGGGGGGTATTAATTTTAGATTTAAAGCTTTCGTGACTGCAAGGATTCATACTCTTAGGTTATTTTGGTAAAGTCACGTAGGTAAAAATAAATGATAAAAATTATAGAAATAAAATAATAAATCACGACGTTTCGGAGGCAACACAAGTCTCCGTCATCAGGTGGCACCGTCACTTGATACAGTAAATCTGGCTGTGACCCTCCCACCTGATGACGGAGACTTGTGTTGCCTCCGAAACGTCGTGATTTATTATTTTATTTCTATAATTATTTCTATTATTTGATTTTTATTATTTATTTTTACCTACGTGACTTTACCGAAAAAACCTAAGAGTATGGAGGGGGGTATGATCGCTGGGTTGCCCGTGTGTGCGTGGGTATTTTCTGGCACGTCTCTCTCTTTTTTTGTGGATCTCAGCCCCCCCCCTCCCGTCCTTTCCCCCCTAGCAAAGGTCAATTGGGTTCATCTCCCAGATTTATTTTGTCACGACTCCACGAGATGAAACGTCTCCCCAGCTTTCTGGAGCCTGAGTGCCAATCGGATCAACGCTGTAACAACAAAGGAACTAATATTGTCAGCGACTTGACTGCCATAAAAACACCGCGGTGTCGGACCGTTCAATATATTTTGGGGGAAAACTCCACCCGTGGCTTTGGTCCGTCCTGTTGTTTAATGTGGCCTAACTCATCAACTGGAATTTGAAAACGTCCTCAAGCTGTCTTTTTTAATTAAACTGGGTTCTCAAGTGGAGTAAGTTGATGGCTTCAGTCCAGACAGCAATGGATGCAAACAAAAAAACACCCCTAAACATTAAATTTGGTTCTGCTCTTAATTTTGCAAAAATCTGCTAAATTGCAGCTCTGCGAGTCTTAAAAATATCAGTTCGAGTGGCATGCGACAAATATTACGCTGTGCGATAGGGCACGTTGGAAAGTCCTGTGGACCAAAGGTAACTTAAAGGGATCTCAGCGGTAGCTCTGCGGTGTCTGCTTCCATGGGCCATTCTCAAACACGGGGTTGGGTGGGGGGGGGGGGTGCACTGCTCATTGAGAGAACCAAATAGGTACTTCGTCTAATTGGGGAGAAAACGAGAAAAATATTAAATGCAATGTTTTTTGTTTCTCTACACCAAGACGGTTGCAGAAGAAAGCTCACCACGGGGGGCATCTTGAGCAGAATAAGTGAGAGGCACGACTGGCCCAAGTCATCCTCTGCACTCGAGTCGGCCCCCAGGTCGAGAAGCAGCTGGGCCGTTTCCCTGTGGCCTGAGCACGGAGGGACGAGAGAGGGCAGCAGGCCACTCGCACACGGCACATTTCACACGGTGCATTTCACACGGCGGCGTGGCCCGCCACGGTGGCATCGCCAAGCCGCGGCCCGTTCGACACTCGTTGCAGAGGTTCACCGTTCGAATTCCGACGGCCGCCGCCAGCCCTCTTGGTTTATCACGTGGTGTGTATTAACCGTAACACACTCGGTCCCATTGTGAAAAAACTGCCCTTAAATTACGGAGCAAGGCATCGGCCCTGCTGTGGAAAACATGGCAGGACCCTCCTGGTAAAGAGCCATGAGAGTCATGTGAAGCTTTTCTGGGCAAAGGACATTCATTTATTGTATTACTCTGTGAGCAGCAGAGGGAAGTGCAGCAAAATACATTGTTGGTTAGTACTATACTCGCACATCTATGCTCCCCGCCTTCACCAACCCACACAGACCAGCACTGTGAAGCATCGTCACCTAACCCCAACAACCCATACGGCGTGGGGAGGCCCTCATCCAGCAGTGGATTGACAAAGGACTGTACATATACACATGTACGTTATTACTTATAGTCTAACGTTCTTCACCATGACCCTGTTTTTTAACGATTATTAGATGGGTGCCAACTCAATGCCTCCCAGCCACCGTTCCTTTCAACACTGAAATTCCCTTTTCACACTGAACATCATCGTAATGAGAACGGTGAGGCCTTTATTATCAGCAAGGAGTTTCTCATTTATTTCAATCGTTAAAAATTATAATATACATGTCTATATTTAAAGGAAAGTATATGATTTGACATTACTTGAACATCTGCCATTTGCTGAGTCTTATTAAGATGATCAATTAATACAGCACTATATTAAACAAAACCCACCAACTATATGAGCTAATATGCAAATTATAAACTATTTAAGGTAAGCCGGATTAAGCCTGGCGAGTACACGGATGCGAGACTGACTGAGATTACTGTGGAACGTTGGCTCGGCCTGCTACGTGGCCAGGAGATGACCCTGGATAATGATATCGAATACCATCTGTGTGAAACGTCGCATGTTCCCTAAAATGCAAAAGGTTTTTTTTTTGGGTACATTTTTTTGGTCTTCTTCCACACGCAAAACACTCACGAACGGAACCCTTCCTGAAAAAAAAAACATCCTTGAGACCCAGTAAGGCTTTCCTGGGTAAATAAAGGCCATTATTATCCCTCTATTTAAGAACGAAACAAGAGGATTTCTCCACAAATCTGGCTGTTGCCTGATGAGGCTGGTTGTTGTAATTACCGTACGAAATGTCTCAAATTGTAAACGTTGTAGTGGGTTTACTCTCCAATGCACAACAGATTAGTACTGAACTAGTAACTAATTGGCATGCTTTGCCTACGTCACAAACCTTACTAATTGGCTGTGTCGGGTGGTGGCGGGTTTAACGACACATTTATATTTACCTGATCTACCCAAAAAAAAAACCTCTCACGGATAATATTGGCACGAAAGCCTACGTGTTGAACCAAACGGCATTATTATTCACAGTAAAGGCAACAGAGTTTAAAGTGCAATCTTCAACCTTAAGTGACTCAATCTCTCTATACCATCGCTGTATTCTGAATGAGATCCATTGCCTGAAACGTCAGCCCATTATATATCTTTCTGCTGAAAGGCAGTGTTAATGACGAACCTTGTGAGTTTAATTTTTCGATTTAAAGCTTTCGTGACTGCAGGGATTCATCTTCTTGGTTCTTTCGGTAAAGTCACGTAGAAGGGAAGTAATAAAATAATAAAAATAAAACATAATAAAACAATTCTCACGACGTTTCGGCCACAACGCAAGCAGCCGTCCTCAGGTGAAAACCAGGTCCGTCGAGGCGACAGAGTCTGAATGAAACAGCACACGAGCTTGGAACATATATATAAGCTGGGCGCATTGACAAAGGAATTTGCATATCAACAGGAATTTAGCATATTTAGCATATTTATGGGATTTCCCATAAATATGCTAAATTCCTTTTGATATGCAAATTCATTTGTCAATGCGCCCAGCTTATATATATGTTCCAAGCTCGTGTGCTGTTTCATTCAGACTCTGTCGCCTCGACGGACCTGGTTTTCACCTGAGGACGGCTGCTTGCGTTGTGGCCGAAACGTCATGAGAATTGTTTTATTATGTTTTATTTTTATTATTTTATTACTTCCCTTCTACGTGACTTTACCGAAAGAACCAAGAAGATGACTTGTGAGTTTATTTTAAACGTGGTTGTTATTGAATATACACTACTGTACGTGTGTAATGCGGGCGTAAATGGGCGGGGCGGATATGACGATCCAAGAGGGAGGAGTCAGGGTGACGTGGGGGAGAAGTTATAGCGGGGAGACAGGAAGCTATCTGGGTCAGTCGGGGGAGTGAAGGGTGGTGAACACGTTGGGTGGTCGCCGTGCCTCAGCCTGGTGGCTGAGGGGCTCATGACGGCGCCAGCCAGCGGGGTGGAAGAGAGAGTGGAGGATTGAGGTAGGAAGTGGCGAGATAGCCACAGAGGCCACGAAGGGCTGAGGTAGGAAATGGCGAGATAGCCACAGAGGCCACGAAGGGCTGAGGTAGGAAATGGCGAGATAGCCATAGAGGCCACGAAGGGCTGACATTGGGAGGTGGCGAGATCGCCACGCACGGAGGAACAGGGAGCAGAGATGGAGCTGCTGGGGGAGCAGCCAGAGGGCTGTACCAAGAGCCTGCAGCGGAGCTGCAGGAGCGTGGAAGGCTACGGGAGCGAAGGCAGATGTGGGGCTGCCAGGGAGAGAGTCTCAGGAGGAGTGCCGTGTGGGAAGGAGAACGCGAACCCCAAATAAAGGACACGGAGTCAGCAAGAAGTGTCTGAGTCCATTTATTACACGTGTGCAGTATATGTGCATGTGCCATGCATGAAGACAATAAAGGTGGAGCGGTGGTGCAGCGATTAGAAAGCACTGTGCCATGAACTTGATGACACGAGTTCGATTCCCGTCAATGGCTAACATCAGTGGCGATTGATATCTGAAACGATCATAGACTCAACTTCCTAAACCCACATTGACCAGCGTGGTGAAATATGGTCAAACAACCCCCATGAGCGACGTGGCCTTCATTCTAGATTAAATCTAGCTTGAAAACACGTTTCTTGAGAACTGCCTTTTGTGTTTAGATTGTTGTCGTTCACCCGCTCCTCCGACTAGCACGGTTGGCTACGTACGGTGCGAAAGAAGTTCAACACGCGTACATACATTCAAGCAGTAGATTGACAACGGGTTGTACGTCTGTATTATTTATTATGCGTGCACAAGAGCGCCGCATAATAGCCATCGACAGAATTCCATTTCATTAAAGCTGAGAAGTCGGGCCATGGGTGAGCGTGCAAGGAATGAGTTGTGCCAACATCGCATGATGTTATCGCAGGCAGGTTTTTTTACGCTCGCAGTTTTTCCTCCAAAGCTGTGAGGGTTGTACCACACACTCTCGGTAAAAAAGAAAACCAGTGTTCTTTGCCAACACTGTTCTTGAAATGAATATCTATTTCAGACGTGTGTCATTTTTTTGTAACAAGATATTGCATTCGTCCGTAACTCTCCACCCAGTCAGCATGTCTGTTTTGTACAAATTCTGTTATGTCAAAGTGCCAAGATGCTATCTTTGTGAACGTTTGGTGGATAACCACATTTAGTGAGAATTAAGAGGGGTGCGGTGTGGTTCATTGTACGCAATCAGAAGATGTCAATTCTTCGTGGTGGCTTTTTGTTTCCGAGTAGTGATGGGCAGGCAAGTAAAACAATGATTTCCCCAGCGATTTAATGGATTGCCACAATTTGGAATTGTAATTCAGTTGAAGAATCAAACCTTTTTTTCCAGAGTCCTTGCCTATAAACATCAGGCAGTTCAACAGAGATTGGTTGAAGCAAGCCTGACTCTGCTGATGAGACACTACAAGTCAAAACCGATCCAGAGTTTTGTGTTGAACAAAATGCTGCTGAAATGTTGACGTGCTCCAAGAAGGCTGTTTGGCTCGTGGGATGTGTAAAATATACTTTTAGATACAGGGATGGATACGTGAAGGAGGTGTATTGTCTACTAATTTTATTTTTTGAATCGTTGATACATTGTCATCATATCTGTAGTGTTATTTGGTAAATAGCTGGAATGCCGCAGGGTGTCTGCAAATGTACTTTATGGGAGGTGCAGTATTAACAACCAACACCATGACCATAAACACCTTGAGACCATTAACCTTACGAGACCACCTCAACACCATGGCCCTAAACACCATGAGACCATCAACACCATGAGATCATCAATGCCACGAGACCATGAGCCAATCAACACCAAGGTGAACCTCACCAGCAGTGTGTGTGTGTGTATTTCATACCATGCATCACGGCTATGTGTAGAGGCGTGCGGCCCTGGCGGTCCCTGGCGTGCACGTCCGCCCCGTGCAATTCCATGGCCTTCACCGCGGCGGTCGCGCCGTGCTTGGCCGCGTGGTGCAAGGGCGTCTGCAGCTCTCCCGTCGTTCTCGCCTCCATGCTGGCTGCATCGATGACGACGTTCGAGACTTCAGTAACAGCAGCAATAATGACAACGCGTAACGTACGGGGCCATTCTGACGATCCACTGCTGGATGAGGGCCTCTACCCAGGCCACGTGGCGCGTCGTGGTTATACATCACGCCGGTCAGTGCGGGTTGGTGAAAAGGTGGGGGGGAAGCACAAAAGTATTGTCATGGACAGAGAACGTCTTTTCATTATGGTGCGACCTGATATTGTCATTTGGACCTGGCTTAAAGTCGTTGTGTGTGCTTCAGTAAGGACAGTATCGTGGGTTCCCTTCCTTGTCTTGTGGTTTAGTCTTTAAAATACAATTTTGTGGAGGATTAAGACATTTGGATTTCTGGCTATGACACTTATATTTGGAAAAAAAGATACAGTAAGGCCTTCGGGACGCACACGTCAATTTTATAAATAAACAAAACAGACCCTGTGGTATGTACAACAAAGCAGAGCCAACGGGTTTACAGAGGCGTTGCTTATCACTGCGCTGCCTCTGGCAAAAAAAAAAACTGTCAGGGGCTGTGGTGGCATCATCATCATCATCACGATACATGGGCAGGTATTCCGGGGTAGGTGTCCTCTGCACATTTAGTCATTTGTTGTTTCCACTTTCCTCTCTGTCTTGTGCTAATGAGCTCAAGTAGTGGCCACATATTTCGGGCACCAATCTCCCGTGATGTCGTCGTCAAGCCGTTCTCTGTGAAGTCTTCCTCACTTTCCGGTTCCTTCCATTTATCTGAACAACAACAACACGCTTTAAATATTCGTCTTGTTGTCCGTGCTACATGTGGTGTCCAAATCGTGCCAGTTTCCTTCTCATCACTGCCTGCAACATCATTATCATCATCAGGTCGTCTTCTTCTATGTGCAACCGTTTTCTTACGATCTACGTCGGTCACTCTCTGGGTCCAGTTTAGATGCAGTTTCCTTCTATAGCAATACATTTCTAATTCCAATATCTTACCTGCTGCGGCGGCAGATGCCTGGAATCCAGAGTTTTGAAGGAAAGGCTTGGTGGATGACGTGGATTTGCGAACCTCCAGAATTCTCTGGGTTGTAAGGTGGCCAAGGAGATCCAGTGTCAGTAAATGAGTTCGCGTAGCTTTTGGTGATATTTCCTCAAAGGTTGGGGGTTTGCTCCGGGTACTCTGGTGTCCTCCGTTATACAAAGTACTCATTCAAATTGGAAACAGCTAAACATCCCAAATGTAAGCCGCTCTTGAAAAAAAAGAGTCTTGACACAAACTGACGTTTTACCCTGGTATATAAATGATAATTCACTATGTAACACGATTTTTGTCCCTGGGTAGTAAGTGTTATTTTTTATTTGCTTATGCCTAAAAAGTATAGAAAATGGCTATTATTCCCTACAAACTTTGCTTTTGTGACCAGGACTTCATGTGAAGGAATGACACAAATGCACACCGCGTTTTCTCATTGAAAATAGGTAAATAAAAAAATATCACTGTCCTGGTCACAAAAGCAAAGTTTGTGTGGAATAATAGACATTTTCTGTACTTTTAAGGCATAAGCAATTAGGAAATAACACTTACTACCCAGGAACATTTTTTTTCTTACACAGTGTAATGCTACAACAGTGGGTGGCGCTATGGTAGAGTTGGTGCCATGGTGGCCAGATGTTAGCTACCTCGCCTGGTATACAGGAGGTCGTGTGTTCGATCCCGACCCTGATGCCTGTATATTTAGAGCTTGCATGTTCTCTCCGTGGCCGCGTGGATTTTTCTCCCGGTCCTCCGGTTTTCCCCCGCCACATTTATAAACATGCGTTTTAGAGTATTTGGCTGCAATTTGTGGGCAGGTCGCTTCTGAAAAAGAGCTGTATAGCTCAGTGGACCTTACCTGATAAAATAACAAAAAGATTGTTTATAGCTTTAGAGTGTTTAGCTACAAACCTGGTAACCTGACATCACTCAGGTGCGAGTTATGTCCATTGAATACCAACGTGCACTGCACAGAATTATGAACTACAACCCAACAACTCCCATTATGGGCACAGCGTAGGGAGGCCTTAATCCAGCAGTGGATTGACAAAAGGCGGGAAATTACGACTGCATTTGTCAGTGGTCCCTCGAGCATGAGGGCAGAATGTCTTCCACAGTCGGTGGAATCGTCAATATGCCAGGAGATGGCCGAACTGGCTGATTTGAGACCCACGTGCCTCGATTGCAGACACGGCAGGTGGTTCTGGGGAGAAGGATTGGGCCCTGTTGATGTCGCACCGCAGCTCTTTCTTTTTTTTTTATCTCTGCCGTCATGATCATGGATAAATAATAATACTCAGCGTCATTCATGCTCATAGCATCCCGTAACGCTGTCCATTAATTATATATACAGCCAAGTAAATGAAAACCCTACTACCAAGCAAAATCTAAAATTAATAAACAAATTAAGAAATGGCACCAAAATAAAAAAGCACAAACAACAACAAAAGTTATCGCAACATATGGCATTACTATTTTGCACTCTTATCGTGTTTGCATATTGTTTCTTGTTGTAACGTTCCGACCCCGTGACCCGAGTGGACATCCGTGAAAGAGAGCTTTCTAGCTCATCAAATTCCTCCAGTATAAAATAAATATTCTCATTTCTAATTCTTGATTGAGCGAAAGCGGTGACGTTTGTGCGGTCCGCTGCGAGCCACCTACCGCCGCTGTGCACCAGAACTCGCAGCACCTCGACGCTGTTGGCAGTGGCCGCTACGTGCAGTGGCGTGCAGCCGAGAGCGTCAACCCCGTTGGCGTCCGCTCCCTTCGCCAGCAGAAACTTAGCAACCTTGGCGCTGTGAATGAGTGCGACCTGGCAGGGGAGGAATCAAGACGGGAGTTGGCCATGATGATGATAATCGCCGTGTCAGCTACGGAAACGTCAAAACAAATTGTCGTGATTAGCAACAATGTCCGTTGGTAATGTGAACACAATGCTATTTTGTTTTATCGTGATGCTTTGGCCTTTTTAACCATGACATTCTCAGCGAAACTCCAGGCTTATTAACGAGGGTGCTGCTTAGGATGTTTGGTAAAAATATTTAAGGTCGGGTAAGGTGGCGCACGATCAAATCACCAAGAATGTTCCAATGTCGTCAGATCTCAGAAGCTAAGCAGGATTTTTGGCTTTGGTAGTGCTTGATTGGGCGACTACCATACATAAGTACATGTATTATCAGCTGCTGCGAGGCCTGCATTGTGGGCAGCAGACAGTCATGCAGCAAAGCACACTGTTGTTCTCTGAGCTCCCACATCTACGCACCCACCTTAACCAACTTGCATTGACCAGCATGGTGAAGTATGGTAAGATAGTCCACGACCCGCAGAACATATGGAGGCCTTCATCCAGCAGTGGATTGACAAAATGACTGTACACGTGCGTATTTTAAGTCATGTTGCAATATTAAATGTTAATGAATGGCGTGTTGCCAACCTGATGCAATGCAGTTTGACCATGTTCATGAGAGCAATTGATATCCGCTCCATCGTCCAGCATTTTCTCAAGAGCGAGCAAATCCAACTGTTAAAAAGAAATATCTCGATTTCAAGTACAACACTGAAAAATACTAATTATCCACGCATATGGTCAAGATGAAACCTTTGCTTGCATTTTATTGACAAAAGATTAAAACAAAATGTCAGATTCTTGGCATTGCATAAGCGTCACGTTCAGAGACAGTGAAGTGACCCTTTTTAATAAACCGATGTGAAATTAATCACGGAAAATACACATTGGTTATTTCAACAGCAGAAATGTCACGACTAGGCGGCCGAGTGAGTATTCATTTGTTCAGCCGGCACATGACTAAACTGTTTACAGCATTTCATTATCCATGCACGTTGCAATTACACGAAAAAAGCACAACAAACAGGGCAACTGTGTGGACAGAGTAAACATTACTTGTCAACGAAAGGGGTAAAATACAACTTTCATAATTTCTGACAGCTTTTTTAATAGACACATCAACTCCCCACAGTCCAGTGAAATATTATTTAAAAAACAATACGGGACCGGAGCCCTGTATTGAAAACAAGGAGAGCCATTGCGGCAGTGTCGCTGGGTGTTCGTATATATCGGGTGGCTCACGGTATAAATTATTTCATATTATTGCTTATTTTCTAGATGCGTAAGCAGGAGAGTGTGGCATTTCTAGTTAAGAGGGTCAGTCGCGTCATCTTCATGTTTTATTTAATGTGTCAAGATTGGACTGCTGAGTCTGGGCGAATGCAGCAGTTTTTTTTCTCCTTCAAGTCTTTAGGTCCTTAAATTAGTAATGGGTGGAGGGGGGCCAATTTAAATAAAGCACATGCTGTAGTGAATTAGCTGTCTACACAACCTCAGCTCACTGCAATAAAAGCAGACGGTCAACTGGCATCGATTGGGTTTGCCTTCCAGCATCAATTCTGGGAGCTTCAGCAGATCATAAAATGCCTTTGTCAAGGGTGATGATTGACTGCATCAGCCCACTGCACTTCTGGTCAAGACAGGTTTGAGTGGTTGGACATTCCAGGGAGCTCTGCTGTGAGGCTCTCTCCGTTGTGTTTTCAGGTTTTGTCGCGTTGTTGTTCGGCACAAAGTCCGACGTTTCGATCCGTGTGCTGGGGAGCTTCTCCCTCCTCAGGGTTTACCTATTCCTCCAACAACACGCGGCACAGCCCGAAAACACATCAGAGAAATGTACACAGCACAACCACATCGTAAGTAGCCAACCGTGCTAATCGGAGGTGCGGGGAAGGACAACAAACTAAACCCAAAAAGCATTTCTAAAGAAATTAGCTTTCAATCTAGATTTAAAAGTGCATAGCTACAGTGGCTTTCTAATATCGGAAGAAAAATCGTTCCAGATAGCCACAGAAGCACATCCAGAAAGCGCGCGATGCAGTGACCGTCTTTGTTCAATGGCTATCCAAAAGCCGCTGCGAAGATGACCGGAGTACAGCGTGATGGTTTACATAGCACGCAGAGTGAACGCCTAACCTTCTGCTCGGCAGGATCTGTCTCTTGCTTCGCGAACTCAGCAAGAAATGCCCGATTGAGAGTTGGGTGCAGAGGAATGTTCTCAAATGTAGCACTAACGGAGCCGATCTCGCCGAGTTCCATGATCCCTCCCCGCTGTTCTCCGTTGGCGATAAGCTTGAGTGTTACTGCCAGAGAAATGCAACACAGAGTACATCACATCAGATGATTAACATGAAAACGGCAATTCCTGGCATTGCAATTTAACCACACTGCATTATTTATGCCTCGTCTACTGCTGGCATATACGTACTATGCGAGTACTGCCGTTTTGATACTTATGCTGAGACGTGTTTATGTTTTGTCAGCGGAAAAGGTGGCCATCCTATATAGGAACCCCGATCACATACATATTATATTCATATTCTTGGTTCTTTCGGTAAAGTCACGTAGAAGGGAAATAATAAAATAATAAAAATATCAAACAATTAAATTCTCACGACGTTTCGACTACAACACAAGCAATCATCATCAGGTGTGAAATCCACAGGTGTGAAATCCACAGCTGATGATGATTGCTTGTGTTGCAGTCGAAACGTCGTTAGAATTTTGTTTTATATTTTTCTTATTTTATTATTTCCCTTCTACGTGACTTTACCGAAAGAACCAAGAATATGAATCCCTGCAGTCACGAAAGCTTTAAATCAAAATTCACATACATATTGTGAGGCCTTCACCCAGTTGTAGATTAGCAAAGGGCCATTATTCTTGTTTAATGTTAGTGTAAGAAATAGTGCACGTCTCTCCACACCTTTGCGAATCTTACGGCCTCAGATTGTTTTGCACCTGAAAAACAGACAAAGAAAGCCATTCGTGTAATAGTTTGAGCAATTGCTGCCATTTGCAAATGGAAGAGTTCTGTATTTTAATGGTTAATTATATATTGTTGTGTTAATATTCGGTTTATGGAGGGGCTTATTTTGCATCCCACCGAAAGGCAGCTAAAAATGATGACTCTTGTAGAATTGGCGGAAGGCGGCAATGGTTTTGCTGAAACCATAATTTCTGAGCGGGAATATTGTCTGCGAAACCAGTAAAAGTGTAGCCATGAGGCACACGGCGAAAATAAAATGTCCCCTATGTTACGCTCGTCGTTAAATCACCACACTTATTGGTGCCCACAGAGTATACAACCATTAACAAGCTCCATGCGGCCGGCAGATGATAGTTAACGTCACACGTGAGATTTCAGAATGAAAATGATGACCATATCGCGAATAGGGTGGGCAAGGTGGTGGCAGTGGTGACACTTGTGCAGTGGTTCTAAATCTTTACTACAGACCTTGCACCCCCGTTCCTTGGTTCTCTAATCATAAAAAAAGTATGTTAATAAATACATAGAGGTTTGATGAAACAAAGTAGTTGTATTTATGTTCCCATGCTGAATTTGTGTTTTCGATGTATTACCTTCTAAAAAAATCTGGCCATGTCTCGCACCCCCAGAAAGGGCATCTTGTACCCCCAGAAAGGGCATCTTGTACCCCCAGAAAGGGCATCTTGTACCCCCAGAAAGGGCATCTTGCACCCCCAGGGCGTGCACCCCCAGGCTAAGAAGAATAACCACTGCACTAGTGCATCACAGCAAGAAAGACCTGGGTTCAATTCCCAATTCGGGCCCCTTTCAATTGTGGAGTGTGAATGTTCTCCCACCCTGAAATGTCTGGATTTCCTCCTCCCATATATTAAAAAAACCTACCATAAGCTGTAACTGGCATTGGCCCAAATATCTGGACAATTTTTACCTTAAAATTTGACTCTATTTGGATTACATACAGCAACGCCGCCTCCCAATGTACAACAATTGTCTTGAGACTCAAGTAATAATGATGTATTCACCCAGAACTTTAAACCCAATCTTTGGGGTTTAATTGTAGACCTTTCTGTGCATCTGATATCTGCGAATTGATGACAATTAGATGCATTGAATCGCAGCCTCTGCGATGGTGACACTTTAACACTATCTCACGTGGATTTAATGATAGGGTTATTCGAATGATTTGAGTGGTCTAAAAAAAACCACATGAAGCATGGTAATACACAGGGAATACAAATCAGGTATATATCCTGATGCTATATATGTATGTAAAATATATATTTATTTTGAATGCTAGGTGGGAAGGAGTGGAATATATATTGTAGTGATAGTACTGTATATAGATTATATACACGAGGGCATCATTAGCCATCTGTGCTCCAAAGTATACTTAAACAATATAGACCTGTGCAGAAAAGCATAGACTTCATTTAAGGACTAAATAGATAATACATGGAGTACAGCAAGTAGGTATAGCATTGTAGTTAGACCACACTTCAGTGCGCAAAGGAATAACATTACCATACAGTATAGACTGCATTTATAGTCTGAAACGTCTTGTCCAGTGTGGAAGAGGAGGCCAAAAACACCCTCTTGTGGACGGCTCTACCGTCAGCAAGTGGCGTGTGTAGGAAATTGCAGGGCCGCGCTTTTAATTTTACAAGCCTCTATCGCCACTAAACATCGCAGTGCTACTACACATTCTTGCATTTATACAACTGTTAACATATTTCAGCTAAGGCTGCATTTAACTTACCACACAAAACACAACACAAGACACAACATTTGGCCCTTACTGCATGCATAGGCCGTACCTACTTTAAATGCTAACGCGAGGTGGGCGACCACCAACTTCTACAGAATGCAGTCCGTAAAAAAAATCCAGTCGAGTTCGATAGAAAGTGTGTAGCTAACAAACGAACTAAAAATCGCGAAAGAATATTAAAACAATGTACTTATAGACTGCATTTCTAGACTGTTAACACGTATTGCGCGTTGCTCCGCCCCGCGGTGACCATCATCGTGGCCACGCTCCTCCCGCCCTTCGGCTGAGTCGCGTCTTCTCGGGTTAAAACGAAGAGAGAGAGAGAGAAAAAACAGCTTGGAGGCGACCAGGTGAGAGAGGAGACTTCACATCAAGGTGGGAGAGAAGACTTCACACCAAGGCGTGTGTGTTAGTTTCGTTCACAGGTGACTAAAAGACGGGACCGGTCGAGGATGTCGCCCGTCCCCCCCCCCATAGCACCACCGCTGCCGTGTCCGGTGCGACCTGGCCGGCAGGGCTTGCAGGAAAGCCGCTAGGCTTCGTGCGCGCCGGTTGCGGCCTACCGGATTCGCGGTCACTGTTAATTTGTCTTTATCGGTGTTCGCTGCCTGCTATCGATGGTTGTTTAACGTTCGATTGTGATGATAACGCGGGGGGCGATTATGGTAAACGATTGAGGACGTTGAGTAAAAGTTGTGCAACGTGTTAAATCGGTGGCTTGATTTTAAGATTAAATATTTTCGAGTGTGATAATCGCTGTGGCGCCTTGCAAGCCCTCACATTTTACAACGTGGGTTTCTTTCGAAAGCCTCTAATGTTTACCAATTAAACTAACGCAATTGTGCAAATTAATTGTAGTGCATCGTGGTGTGCCACCTCGCCTGCCTACACGTCCCTGTCACGGTGTCCAATGTGTAATAGTTTGCGTTAAAATGTGACTTTGTGAAGGTAATTCTTGCTGTACACTCACGACCGTATTCACAACTTGCCATTCGTGGTTGAGTTTGTCTCTTGCTTTGTGTATGTTGCTGTGTGTACTGTGTTTGCTTATAGCTATGCGAGTGTATATACCAGCTTCATATTAATCGTGTTCAACATATTACATCGCTAAAAACGTGCCTGCTTTAAATCGGAATCTTTAGCCTGACGAAATCCGATGAGCTACTAAGCGTTTGTTTTGTTTACAGATATCCAGTTCCCACGACTGAATACACGACTTGTTAGCGGACAAGGTGTGTGTGTCTGTACTGTGATGTGTGTACTGTGTTGTGTGTACTTCATGGTGTGTTCTGTACCGTGAGGTTTATTTGTACCGCGTCTGTTATTGAGGAAGATGCATTGCTTATACTGTTTCAGTATTTTATAAGACTCACCACCACTACATCGGCTGTGCACACATGTATTGTGCACACTTCTTATGCACTGTGTTGTGTGTTATCACCACTATGTGTGCTGTGTTGTGTAACGTAATGTGTGTGTGTGTTGATGCAATAACTCTGCTGTTTTTGTCCACTACCCTGTGTATTTGTCTATTTCAGACTGATTTTTGGTGTCTTGTTTGTTTGTTGTCCTACGTACGGTGCGAAAGAAATTCAACACACACACACGTGTGTGTGTGTTGAATTTGTGTGTGTACACTACTGTGTATATTATTTGCTAGTGCTCGGTATCCACATGAACAAGGCGGGCAACGTTTACAGGAATGTGTGTGACCCGTCGTATCATACTCTGCCAAATGTATTATGAAACTGACGAGATTGCTGTTACTCATGTTTAGTGTGCAGAGAAATGTGCCACAGACTTTGGAGTTTGAACTATATGGGGTTTTTTCCCTCATGAAATTCTAAATATCGTCTTGGGAAGTTGAAGTTAATGGGTGCTGTTATATTATGAGGGCCTGGACACGCAGCTTTAAGCGTCTAAACAGTTCAGCGGTGGCTTATTTTGTTGTTTAAAAGTTCAGCAGCTTGTATCAGCGTCGTCCTTTTGATGTTCTAATAAGCTAATTTTAATAAGCTGTTAATTATTAACGCGCAGCTGGGGAGGAAGGACCGTACAGTGTGTGTAGTCACAGTTTTTTTTATGACCACGCAAGGTCTAAAAACAGATGTTAAGTTCATTACTCAGTCTGTGTGTGTAAAATATAAAATAATTCGTATCGATCCAGAACGGAAGCATCTGTGCCCAGTGACTCGAGGCCGAGGGTAGATTTTCCACAAATAGTTAAAATAATGAAAAGGAAGAAACACCCCTGTATTTGTTGATAATGTAACCGAAAGAACCAAATAATAAAAATTAAGATGATAATGTAAGGGTTCTCTTTTGCCGATACAGAGGAGAAACCACCTTAACTCCTAGATTAGGTGGTGGCCAAAAAACACATTTGGCGACCTTATTCTAAGTAAGACCCACTGCTTTGTGAACCCGGTGATGATGAATCGTGCAGGCCCTTCGTCAAAGTCCACTGATGGACCAAGGCTTTCTTCCCCCATGCCCTGTCACTGGCGGGTTCTGATTCTTGGTTCTTTCGGTAAAGTCACGTAGAAGGGAAATAATAAAATAATATAACTATAAAACAATACAAAATTCTCACGACGTTTCGACTGCAACACAAGCAATCATCATCAGGTGTGAAATCCACAGCAAGAAAATTCCACAGGAACGAAATTTTCTTGCTGTGAAATTTTCTTGCTGTGGATTTCCACAGGAAGAAAATTTTCTTGCTGTGGATTTCACACCTGATGATGATTGCTTGTGTTGCAGTCGAAACGTCGTGAGAATCTATTATTGTTTTATATTTATATTATTTTATTATTTCCCTTCTACGTGACTTTACCGAAAGAACCAAGAATATGAATCCCTGCAGTCACGAAAGCTTTAAATCTAAATTTGGCGGGTTCTTGTTGTTGTTGATGGTCAGCAGTGGTCAGTGAGGGTTGGTGAAGGGGGGCAAGCCAGCATGTGTTTAGATAACACCGCCGATGCTCTCTAGACGTAGCAGTGAATCGACGAATTCTCTGGGGCAGTAGTGCAGGGTCCTTGCCACCGAGCCAACAACGCGCGCCCCCCATCATCGGAATCTTTCCGCCGGACGAATCCGATGTTCTACAAAACTCTTGATCACGGGTGGTCCCACGACGAAATGGTTTGTAGTGTGGTCAAAATGTGGATTTTAACAAAAATATATGTTGTGGTGGGGTACATTTGTGGGAACCCACACTTGCAGCAGTCGGCACACGCATTCACCTTTTATGGCATTTACAAGAGGTGCGTTGTCATTTATTCTCCGTCTGTAGTTGCAGATACGGATGACGTCCACGTGGCCTGGTTGTTATCGTCCAATTCTGAACAAGTTCCATGGCCCATGGCCCAAAAATGTTTGTTCATTTTCCAAGATATATTTTTTGGCTGTTCCGCTTAACATGGACATTAGAGACTGATCTTGTGCACGTTCTTTACCGCTCGACGTAGCCAAGCCCGCATGAGATTATGTCTGAGCACTTCTCGTCTGTCATTGCCAAAGTGTGATGTCTTGCCAGGTGACAGCGTCGTCGCTTTAACACGGTTGCATGCTCAAGTCCTTTCATCACCATTTGTGACTCGACCTAAAATGATGACCATGCTTCGGACTGACTAATTGCCCTAAATGGTCTTTCCTCTTTCTAGCAGGTATGCTGGTGGATGTGATTAAAAAACAATTATCTTGTCTTCACACTGATTGTATTAATACCTCATGTATTACTCTACTGTACATACCCACTGCTTAATTTGGTGTGAGGATGTGTGTACGTGCTTGTTAATGAGCTGCCCCTGTTGCCTTTTGTTCCGCTACCGGATTGAATTCAATAGTTGTACGTTATGCAAGTGATTGAAGATGGTGTGCTCTGGGCTTATCCTGGGGTTCTCTGTTTGAGTCCACACTCTTATGTGCAGCAATTGGCTCCCCCACCCTCCCCCCACAAGTCTCCCTGTGGCTTGAAATAAGTGGCCAGCGCCTGAATGTAGTGGGAAAGAAATAAAGGCAGTTCTGTGTGCCTCTCTGCCTTGACCTCTTGCATATGTCATCCAAAGGAACTTAAGGTCTCATGGCAGCATTTACCAGTGCAAGTTCAAAATCTTTCCGAGTGATGGCCTTTGTGTAATTACAGTAATAATTCACGGTCCTTTGTTCACTCACTGCTGGATAAAGGTCACCCTTCCCATGCCGTTACGGTCATGCGGTTTGATCGTGCTTTTCCATGCTAGCCTGTGTCACTTGGCAAACGGAGGGCGAGGCTCGGGAATGGTTCGAATCTATCTGTCGCCACAGATGTTCGTCCGTGGCTGGCAATCAAACTTGGGTTATCAGGCATATTGTGTGCATTGTGCTAACCACTTTCCTATGTCCTTTACGTTTTCACACGTTGCATTACACAGTAACGCGAACCTGCGAGCGTGGAGCTTTAAAATGAATCGAGTGGCATTTTGAATTCGCAGCAGGGCTCCGCTGAGTACACCTAAGCTATCTTAGTAAACGTAGCATCAGGAAAATCCTTGCATTATTTTCATTACACCATCGGCAGTCAAAATATAGCTTTGGCATGGTTCTTAAACAGCTATTTTGATAGTTTTTTTAAAGGCTTCTGTTATACGTAGCCTTATAATGCTTGGTGGCAAGGCTTTTGGATGCATTCGGATTTCAACCACGTCCTTCTCTTGTTCTAAGGGATTACGTTTTCCTTCCGACAGACAAATCGTGCAGAAGTTAGCAGCTGTGTGTAAGGCCTTTGTGGCACTAGCGTAGCTCTTCTTGGATTCGCACGACATTTGAGCACGGCGGTGCTGCTGCTGGTTTTTGGTGGTGGTTACACACAGAGCTTGACCTCTTCACTCGAGTTGGCACGAGTCTGTGATGAAAGAGCATTTCCTGGCACGTACTTGGGTGGCAATCCTGTTTGCCGCCCGCCCCGGCCAGTGTTTGTGCAGAAAACGAGGGGGTATGGGGGGGGGGATATTTTAAAGTGTTGGGTCTGTGCTGTGACTGACTGACAGTTCTGTTTGCTGTCTATGTCTGTGTCATCTCATGTTGCCCGCCTGTTGTGTGTGGGCCGAATTTAATTTGTATGCATGTATTTGCGTCGATTGGGTGAGTTTGTGCTCGGTCGTTTTTGAATGCAAACCAAATGTGCAAATAACTAAATGCATTTTTAGCACATTGTGTGTGTGCAGCGTGTGCTCCTCCTCTGATTGCGAGAGCTCAGCTTATTAACAGAGTTAGGATTTACATTGTTTCTTTTGTCCTAAGTCAGCCAGTGTATCCGTTTTTTAGAACTCTGCCATCCGTATAAGTAATTGAAATTCGAAAAGCTATACGTGTGCAAAAGCTGATCAAAAATGTAATACCGCATGGAGTATTACTTGATGAAATTATTTTCTATTGTGCTTACAGCCGGATAAAGCAAACCCTTAAGTAGATTTTACACAATTGCAATCTAGGAAATATCTTTATTTCAATCTGCCTTAGGAAATTGTCCATTCTCTCCTGTAAACGTCAGTCTTTGTGGTTGCAATGAGAATATTAAAGTTTTGGCAAGCTATATAATATTTTTTCAGAATTGCCATACATACACGGTGGTTTTACTGACAAACGCCAACGGTGCAATATTTTTGGAGCGTGCTTTGCAAAGTTGAATATCAAGGTGCACGTCGCCGATGGCGGGGCAGGAGCGATAACAGGCGGCACTGCGGGTTAGATGCTCCCAGTGATGGATGGGCGCCATGGAATGCCGCGCTGTCTGGGAAATGAATCTCTAAGCCTCCAACGTTTGAGGCAGTGGCTCAGCTGTCCCAGTAGATGCGCGCACAGGAGCGCAAACCCGACCGCCTGGATAGCACCATGGCTCAATCTACCCGAGCGGCGAGCGTTTACTATCGCCATCTGAAGTCGCTTATCTGTTGATTTGCCAGTCGACGGGTCGTTATGTACAATACCCTTTTTGGGGTATTTTTTCCCCCTCTTCTCCGGGTTGAATTCCAATTGTGCCGTAGGTGTCATGCTGTCATTAGATTGTGACATTTACATGCGGAGATCTCAAGGTGAGAAGTGTACCACCTTGCCAGTAAATGATGTCCCAGAACTTCTGAATTCTTTTCAAGAGGCTTTTTTTTTATCACACTAAAGGCAATACCTTTCATTGCCCCTTCAAATAGTGTTTGCCGCACGTTATTAAAATCACAATTCCTAATCCTTAGAGGTGGAATATGCCAAATTTTACATTATGCTTTCGTTTGTGCAATCATTGGTAACTGGGCTGAGACCATTCACTCACTACACATGATAACCCAGTTTTAATCATGGGTGACTGAGCCCCATATTCAAACTTACATTTTTATCAGTACTGCCTCAGTGCTCTTGACGGTTTCACATATTGAGAGGTCACCTTTGTGCAGTCATTGATGCTGCTATTTTGAGATGCTGCTTTGGAATAAATAGTATGTGCACCTTCAGGGTTTCAGGTTGCATCTTGCCTCTAAGACTTGGCAGCTTTCCAGCACTCACTTGGGGATGCATATGAAAGTGCCATGTTAACAATCTCTTGACATCCTCGTGGGAAGAGATTTCAATCTGTTGCGGTAGTTCCACAGTAATTACCAAAATCGCTCTCATGCATAACACAGGAAAACAACAGGCGAGTGTCGTGAACCAAATAGAACTTTTGCTACAAGTCTGCAATTTTTACTGCTGAAGGGGCACTTTGATATCACACGACTGCAGTCGGATTGTAAAACAATCACTTGGCATTTTGTATGCCTTCATGCTCGGGTGTGGAACCCATATGTTGGGCTCTGACATTGTCTTCTTGACAGATGTTTTGGACATTAAGCGATTTCATTTATGTCTGTTAAACAACACTGAATTGCTTGTTTTTCAGGCTGTGAAAATGCTTCCTGATGGGAGAGCGGCATGTCACCAAGAACTGAGATGAATGGTGCTGCACATCCTGCCACGTCCCGATGAAATGTTTTGTCATGCAGGCAGGCGATAAATATTGCGTTTTTCAACCACGGCTAAGCAAACATTTATGAGCGAGGTTTGACCTCATCATTTCCAGCAGCCACGTGCGGCTTTGGATAATGGAAATGAAATTCTCCCTTTTTATTGCCGCGGGCGATTGATCTGCCAGTCAAGTTGACGTATCAATGACGGCCGTCGCCGCATCCCCAATAATTTGCCTGTAAAGATGCCCGTGGACGCGTATTGATCGAGTCACTCGTCGCGCATTGAGCCCTCGCAATGGAATCAGTCGCCGACTGTCCGCAGCACAGAGAGGAAGCCTAACAGAACCGTTACCATGTCACGCGCTGGATGCATTGGTTGTATCCAGTGGTGGACCAACGGCATGCGCCTGACGCGGCTGATATGCCTGCTGCTCGTCATCCTGGTGACGATCCCGCTGGTGGCCCACTACTACCTGGCCGTCGACCTGGACAGCACCGGCGGAAAGGGGAACCACGTGCAGAACCGTGACCCCGGCAGGCCACCTGTGGGGCCCTGGCACCCTGGCGCGAGCGGCGCCAGCCTTTGCCAGGGCCGGCACGTGGAGGACCTGTGCCGGATCCGCGAATCGGTGAGCGAGGAGCTGCTGCAGCTGGAGGCGCGGCGCCAAGAGCTGAACGGGGAGATCGCGAAGCTGGGGGCGCGGCTGGAGGTGGCGCGGCGCGGCGTCGAAGGTGCCAAGCAGGAGCTGCAGCAGCTGAAGAACACCATCAGCCAAACGGAGCGCTCTTACCGCGAGATGCTGGCGCAGAACCAGCCCAAGCTCTCGCTGCCCATCCGCCTTCTCCCCGACGACTCGGACCCCATGCTGCCGCTGCCGAAATCCGCGCAGCAGTGCCGCTTTTACAGCTGCTTCGACTTCTCCCGCTGCCCGCTCACGTCGGGCTTTCCCGTCTACCTGTACCCCTCGGAGGGTCTCCTGGGAGATGCGCTGGACCCGTTGGTGCGGCAGGCCGTGCAGTCGGCGCTGCGGGCCAGCGTGTACGCGACGCAGGACCCCAAGGTGGCGTGCCTCTACGTCGTGCTGGTCGGCGACGTGCAGGATGGGTCGGCGCTGCCCGCCGCCGACCTCGAGCGCCACCTCCACGCGCTGCCGCACTGGCGGTCGGACGGACGCAACCACCTGCTGCTGAGCCTGTCGCGGCGGGCGAGCGCCACGCGGAACCTGCTGGACGGCGTGAGCACGGGCCGGGCGATGCTGGCGCAGCCCGTGTTCGCCGAGGCGCAGTACCGGCCGGGCTTCGACGTCGTCATGCCGCCGCTCGTCAACGCCATGGCCGAGCCCAACTTCCTGCAGCTGCCGCCGCAGGTTCCGGCCAAGCGCAAGTACCTGTTCAGCTTCCAGGGCGAGAGCGAGCTGAGCGTGTCGCGGGGCCGTGTCGGCGAGGAGGGCGGAGAGGGCGAGGAAGCAGGTGACCGATTTCGCACGCGGCGCTCCGGCCTGCGCCCGACCTTTGTACGGTCTCGTAAGCGGAGCGGGCTCGATCCTCGAGAGTGCTTGTATGGGGGAAGCCACAACGCGGGAATGGGGTCAGCAGAAGGCAGTGCAGCGAAACACGTTGTACTGTACTTCTATGGCACCACGTCTATTACTACCCCGCCTTCAGAGTGGTCAAATCACCCCCACGACCTGTATGGCATGGGGAGGCCCTCAACCAACAAAGGGACTGGCTATGTACTTTTCATTGTGATGCATGGCATGTAAACGTGTTTTATGTGGTGGGTATTCTATTTGTGTTTTGCTGGGTCCAAGAGACTCAGTGAGATGTCTTTGGTATGTAGGTGTTACAGTCTCTTTGCACGACCCTTATACAAGACATTTAGCATCTTATATACAGGGATAAATAATTCATCTTTTGGGAGCAACTATACATTACTCCCTGTACGTGTCTTCCAGTCTCGACCACCGGAATAGTGTCGAGTATTTCAGGGCTGAATTGCTAGGGTTTTTTTTTAGTCGCCGAGATGTATATTTCAAATATATTGTCGTCACTACAATAATAATACGAATGACTTGTTATGATATACAGCCCTTTGTTAATCCGCTACTGGATGAAGGCCTCCGCATGCTGTGCCGGTCATTTGGGTTGTGTGATCATATTTCACCATGCTGTTCAGCGCAGGTTGGTGAAAGGGGGTGCTCGGAGCCCGTTCACATATCACAACGATGTTAGCTGTGGCTGGCAAAGGATGTCAGATTTGCCGGGTTCATTAAAACAGGGGTTAGCATACTGTGCTACCGCTCCACGCCATAATAGCAAGCTTGTATTGGACAACCCAAAATACGAGATTTTTTGGATTCCATCTTAGCTGAATATGAACGCACGATGAAATGCCAAGCAGACCCTTATTAGCTAGGCATGCAACAATTCATCTATTCATTGCTTCGGATGGATTTTTATACCCATTCTACTTGCATGTAAGAATCTATTATTTTCGATTGTGTATGTGCAGCCAATTTGTCAATACACTAATGAATGAGGGTCTCCCCACGTCGTGCGGGTCTTGAGGGTTATTTGAACGTATATTTGCTACGCTGGTGAATGAAGGTAAGGTGCATAGATGTGGCATCTAAGTAATGTACAATGATGGATTTTTGTCCATAATAGAATTTTTCTGGGTTAGCTCGAGTAAATATAAATGGTGTCGTTAAACCTGCCACTACCCGACACAGCCAATTATTAATGTTTGTCACGTAAAAAGAACATGCCGATTCATTACTAGTACAGCACACCGGTGTGTTGGAGAGTAAACTCATAAACATTTACAATCTGAGTACGACGTTTCGCCAGTAATTGCAACTAGTTTCCTCAGGCGACAGCCAGATTTGTACTAGTAACGAATTGGCATGTTCTGTTTAAGACAAACCTTACTAATTGTCTGCCGGGTGGTGGCAGGTTTAACGATACATTTATATTTACACGATCTAACCCAAAAAAACCTGTATTATGGATGATATTGGTCACGAAAGCCTACATGTTAAATGGATTATGGTGTCCTACCAAATGCAGCCCACCATAGAGACCCGATAATTATATTTGGATTTATTTCTGTCCTTGTGATATATAGCTTTTATAGCTTCACAACACCGTACATTCTACATGCACCGCAATGGCAGACATAGAATGTGTGCGTGAATTGCAGTGCGACCCCGAATTGCTTCGATTCGTAGAGGGGGTAAAACGTATACATCCCCGTTGTTAGCGATCGTCTTGCGGACACTGAAGCCGAACTCTGGCGCTGATACTTACCCCTCGCCTGAATTCGAACTCGAACTATAACCCTGGTGCTGCCCTAGGTTCCACGAGATTGTTTCCAAGTGTGAATCAATGCCCATCTTGAAGGAGCGGGCACTAAATGGGACATTGATCTAGAGCGCAGTTTTAGCGTGGTGTCGCGTTTTTCTCATCAAAGCGCCCTATCGGTTGTTTGATTGTGTTGTAATGGCCACTCCGATGCTACCCGAGTCGAGGTAGGAACATTAAAGTCAGATGAATTAACGGCATGGAATAGCCTCAATTAACTTTTACCGTCCCTCGTAAAGTTGTTTTGTGCTTTGCGAGTTCGTTTTTTGCAACATTTTTTTTACAATTCCATAAAACACGTGTGTTAAAGTTGTTAAGGATAGGAAGGGTATGAATTTAATACCCACTCTATTGTTGGCTGTGCTGTATTTCTACTTCACAGTTGGCTTAATTCTTTACGCCACCAGCAATTTGATGATTTGTTTTGGTTAGGGGTTTTACTATTCACAGTTCATGAGCTCAGACCAGATATTTCACTTGTTGCTACCACCCAAAATGGCATCGCTTGAGTGGTTCCAATTTCGTTGTGTGGCTAACAACAGTTTATTAAAAGTTAACCATTTGACATTACTGGGTTATAAAATAATCTACTCTTTTGAGCCATGGAAATAATTCGGTACTAAAAGCGGTACCAATTCCTGTTCTGGTCCATGGACTATCAGGATTACCATTGGATTCTTGAATCAAAAATTTTCTCTACTCTTTGTCATCTTATGGTTATTGATTTATTTTACAGTCTTTGCGAATATTCAACCAATTTTAACATTGAAAAATAATTTGTATGAACATCGATGCGAGCATTAGAAATAATTTAAATTGATGCATTGTTACGTGCCAAGTATATAGTGTGAAAATTCTTTCAGAAAAATACACACATGTATTTAATAAACAAGCTTCAATTTCCAGCGCGATCCGAGGAAACGAAAAACACTTCTTTTTTTGTTAAATCGCCTTTCAGGAGGCGGCGATGGCAGGAAAATCGACCTCTACGACATCCACATCGTGTCCGTGCTCAAGGCGATCGTCGCCGGCGGCCAGGAGAGCGTTCTGGTCGACTTGACGTGCGACGGCCCCGCAGCCGGTGGCGGCGGCTCCCCATCGGAGTGGGCGCTGTGCGGTGACCACACGTCGCGCATCGAGGTGCTGCGCCGCTCCACGTTCGCGCTGGTGGTGGCCGCCGGCGACCCGCGCCTCTCCGCGTCGCAGCTCGCGTCGACGCGCGTGTACGAGGCGCTGGAGGCCGGCGCCGTACCGGTGGTGCTGGGCGGCGACCGCGCCCGCCTCCCCTTCGCCGAGACGATTCGCTGGGAGCGCGCGGCCGTGCTGCTGCCCAAGGCGCGCGTCACGGAGCTGCACTTCCTGCTGCGCAGCGTGCCCGACAACGACCTGCTCGCCATGCGCCGCCAGGGCCGCTTCCTGTGGGAGACGTACCTGGCGTCGGCCGAGAGCGCGCTGGGCGCCGCGCTGGCCACCGTGCGGGCGCGCGCCCACATCCCGCCGGCACCTGTCCCCGAGGAGCCGTCGCCCGAGATCCCGCACCGCTCCGCCAGGGTGCCCACCGACGGCCTCAACCCGCCGTCCGAGATGGGCGACCTAGAGCTGGGGCCCGCGGAGAACGAGCCGCCCTATGCCTCGGAGCGATACAAGCGCAATTACACGCTCGTCATGCTGGACGCCGACCGCAGCTGGAACTCCCCGCCGGGACCCTTCTACCTGTTCCCCTTCACGCCGCTCGACCCCGTTTTGCCGTCCGAGGCTCAGTTCCTCGGCTCCGGCGCGGGCTTCCGGCCGATCGGCGGCGGCGCCGGCGGCACGGGCAAGGAGTTTCAGGAGGCGCTGGGCGGGAACCTGCCGAGGGAGCAGTTCACGGTGGTGATGCTCACGTACGAGCGCGAGGAGGTGCTCATGGACTCGGTGCGACGTCTCAACGGGCTGCCCTACCTCAACAAGGTGGTGGTGGTCTGGAATGCGCCCAAGCTGCCCTCCGAGGAGTTGGTGTGGCCCGACATCGGCGTCCCTGTCACGGTACGTCGATGCTATTGCGCGTACGTGGCACGGCAGAGCGCGATTTTTTTTGTCCCAACTTTAGCGTACTTACGCTGTTGCTGGAGGAGACCTCCATAAAGCAACGCGGAAATAACATCGGGATCGATCGATAAATGGCCTTCGATATATAACCAGGCAAGAAAGGGTCCATTGAGACCAGGAGTCTTCTTCTTTCAAGAGATGCCAGGGCTTAATTAAGTAAAGAAGAACAACCAATTTCAATGCGTACATTTTGTAAAACAATTAGAATGCAATTACGGTGCAATTAAAACAATTTAAAAATGTTAAATGAATGAAAATACTTTGCATTTTAAAAAGATCATGTTCATGCAGACGATGCTAGGAATTTCATTGAAAATGCTAAGCCACGTGGAGGTGTGGAATAGAATATAACAACGAAACACTTGAGGTGTGGTATGGAAGAAGACGTTTTGATGGGTAGAACGTGCGTGCAGGAAGGAGGAGGGAAGGTTGCTGACATGAACATTGGAGTGGTCAAGTAAAGAGACCTGAAGCCACACGTGATGCATTGCAACTGCAGTCCTTGGAGGTCAGGTGTGAATTTGCAACAACGAGAGCAGTGGTGCGAGATGCCCTTCCTGGGGGTGCGAGACATGGCCATGGAACCTCTATGTATTTTTCGATTTAAAGCTTTCGTGACTGCAGGGATTAATATTCTTGGTTCTTTTGGTAAAGTCACGTAGAAGGAAAAAATAAAATAATAAAAATACAATTCTCACGACAAGACAAATTTCTTGCTGTGGTTTTCACACTGATAATGATTGCTTGTGTTGCAATCGAAACGTCGTGAGAATTGTATTGTTTTAGTTTTATTATTTTATTATTTCCCTTCTACGTGACTTTACCGAAAGAACCAAGAATACTCTATGTATTTATTAACATAATTTTTTTTACGATTAAGAACCAAAGAGGTGCAGGCTGCAGTCAAGGTTAAGAACCATTGAACTAAAGGATCTTCAGGAAGGAAGCGATCACGAGGGTGTGGTGACGTCTTCACCTTGGTTTAAAGTACCTAATTAATGTTTGTATCCCATTGCTGAGAGGAGGGACAGAAATGTCCCCAGCATTATTCGTACATAGTGCTTCACGAATGCTGATACGTGTACATGTACTGGACGTGCGTGATCAATCCGTAGTCATTGGTAGTATGGTGACTGCTCTTCGTGCCACTGTTTGTAGATGTGTATCTGAAAGTCAAGCTCCTGATGCAAGATAGTGGTGTGCCTGGATAAAGGCAAAGATATGGATTTAATGAGCAGACCTCTTTTTTTTCTTTGACATCATAGATGTTTTGGCATTTCATTATTTATTACTATTATTTAGTGTAAACTCTCCTTTTGAACTTGGGTTTTTCAATGGAATGTCAAGTGCCTTTCATTGTAAGTGGCCAATTGTGCCTAGCACACCTATTGTACTGTTATGGGTGGATATGTTTCTGAAGTGAATTTGTTTTCTTAAAGCTGTGTTTTATCTGCACTGTGGATTCTGCCCACTGAAAAAAAACCTTATTACTCTGATATCCATATTCCTTGTTCATCTGCTTTACTATGCTAAGGGCAGCTTCAGCTTTAATATAATAACATATTTAGAATTTTACATTTTTATTTATGTTGTAAATCCATTGCTGAATGAAGAGCTCCGTGTGTCGTGTCAGTCATTAGGGATTTGCTTAACCATCTCTCACCACGCTTGTCAGTGCGGGATGGTGAAGGGCGGTGGGGGTTGTGCACAGGACTGGTTCAGCTATCACCCGACATTGATGTTATCCGCGGCCGGCAAATCAAACTCGGGTGGTCGGCTTTGGAATCGTTGCTCCACCGTTACGCACCCAGTTCGTTTTGTTGTTGTTGTTATTGGCTTGTGAAAAGGGTGCTTTGTAAGTCCAGTCCTCTACGGACAGTCACAATGTGACTAAAACACACCTTCGGCGTGTGTGCTGATATACTTTCATTTTTCGCCGGCGCTAACTGCGGGGTTGATGTGTGTAGACGGTAGCGATCGATTCGGCTTGGAGTGTGCTCTCGAGCTCAAGCTTGCCACGCCTCGAACAACCGCTCTTTGGATCCTCCCCACGCACTCGCAGTAGTTTTTTTGTGTGCGTGTGTGAGGTTCTATTTTTTTCTAGAAATATTCCAAGATATTCCATGGCCATCCCCCCCTCTCCCTCCCACATTCTCATTGCAAACAAATAAATTAATTCGTAAGCTGATGTGTTTTCAGTGGGTGGCATTCTGGCCCATGGTGATGGGGGTGGGTTGCGTGACAGAAAATAAATAAGCAGAAATTTTTGCGAGGATTGCAGCTCGTCTGCATTGCAGCCTCCTTTGTTCGGCGATCCGTGGAACCTCTGCAACTCCCGCCGCAGTGCAAGTTTGTGCGTCTTTGAAGATAGCATCTGGCTTCGCTTTGTTCTGTGGTTTTAAAAGGCATGCTGCCATGCAAGTGTGTGTGTGTGTCTTTTGGGAAATAAAACATATCGTAGGGTTTTTTCAAATGTAAGAATTCAGTGCTTGTGGCCAGGGCTTGTATTTGTAGGTGTCCTTTGCTACTTTCATCCCCAGAAAGCGAACGGTTCTTATCTCGTAGTGGCAAGTGAAACATCGTGTATAATTGCTCAAATTAGGATGTGAAAATTGTAACGCTAGTAATTGGCGCGTCAAACGAGTTGCAGTTTAATGGGTTTGGCTGTGTTGGCTGATGGGAGGGTCTTGCGACAGAAATTTGGCCAGGTTATTGTGGCCAAACCCAACATTTTTTTCTACCATTCGGTTTGTGTGGCTGCAAGACAAAATGTCCCTGTGGTGGATGCGCTTGACCAGCCACTTAAAATATATTTTTGTTCTCTTTGATGTTCAAACTCGACGTGGGACAAAACCGAGGCAATGTAAGAGCTATTTATTGTTCATGTTTCCTCATCCTTTCCGATATAAAAGCATGACAGAATTCATCTTCTTGGTTCTTTCGGTAAAGTCACGTAGAAGGGAAGTAATAAAATAATAAAAATAAAACATCAAACAATTCTCGACAGCGTCTGAAATTCATTCAGACGCTGTCGCCTCGACAGAACTGGTTTTCACCTGAGGATGGCTGCTTGCGTTGTGGCCGAAACGTCGTGAGAATTGTTTTATTATGTTTTTTATTATTTTATTACTTCCCTTCTACGTGACTTTACCGAAAGAACCAAGAAGATGAATCCCTGCAGTCACGAAAGCTTTAAATCGAAACATGACAGAATTCTCAAAAGATTTGCGATCAGCACTTTGTGGAGCCAACGACAGGGAACCGAGAAGTGGTTGTCGGCGAGATGCAGGTAGCGGTTTCTAATGACCTATGACCTTGCCTGTCCATTAGTCCAGTGGTATCCCTGCTGGGTCAGCCGTTAAACAATGCGGGCTGGAGAGACGTATTGAATTCTGTGTGCCTAAATGCAGTTTTGTGTAACCAATCGGGGCCAGCGTTTTTTTTTTTTTACCAGATGAGAGCTCGTGGAAGTAGCCAAGCCCCTCTTACAGAGGGGACCTGGAGGACAAATGCATAGTGCAGGCTTCTTCTCTGAATACCTTGACGAGAAGTGCCCTCACAATAGGCTTATCTCTCACTGATAATACGGGCATAGAGCACGGACGCATTGTCAACTCCTTTGCCTCCGGACACTGCCGAGTATACACCGGTGCATCTAAGAGGCTTGATCATTCAGTGTGTCTGTGTGTTTTGTGTTAAGAACCTTGTCTTTTAAGCGAAAGGGTTTGGTCATGAATTGTTGGTAATTTTCATCATCATCATCAGCCATGAATAATCCACTGCTGGAATATTGCCTGCCCAAGCCTTCGCCATCTCTCACTGACTTGCGATGCAGCGATCCATCGAGCACATGAGCAGTTGACAATGCTCCATCTCCACAGTGGACGTCCTCTCTCAGGCGTGTTTTGCCTCTTTTGGCTGCCGCTTTGTCATGAGTCTCAACCCCCGTCCATCGTCACCTAGTGACCTATGCTGCCCGAGCCCACTTAATACGTTTATCAAGTGAGCTTGGGAGCCATGGTGGCGATATGTTAACTACCTCGCCTGGTATACAGGAAGTTGTGGCTTCGATCCCGACCCTGACGCCTGTATATTTGGAGTTTCCATGTTCTCCCCATAGTCACGTGGATTTTATTCTGTGTCCTCCAGTTTTTCCCTCCATTTAGAATCAACAACAAGCATTTAGAGTAGTTGGTTGCTACAAATTTACACACAATGCTAAGCCACCTCATTGAGCTATCATTTGTGATAACCAGGTCGCTTCTGAAAAATATCTACGTAGCTCAGTGGGCCTTACCTGGTAGAAGAAAAAAGAGTTTTTTTTTGGTGAGTTTTTTTTATCAGGCAATATGATGACATATTCTTGGTTCTTTCGGTAAAGGCACGTGGAAGGGAAATAACAAAACAATATTAATATAAAACAATAAAAATTCTCACGACGTTTCGACTGCAACACAAGCAATCATCATCAGGTGCGAAATCCACAGCAAGAAAATTTGAAAAAAAAAATTCTTGCTGTGGATTTCACACCTGATGATGATTGATTGTGTTGCAGTCGAAACGTCGTGAGAATTTTTATTGTTTTATATTTATACTATTTTATTATTTCCCTTCTACGTGACTTTACCGAAAGAACCAAGAATATGAATCCCTGCAGTCACGAAAGCTTTCAATCAAAATATGATGACACTTATATTGCGCGTTGTTGCCCCGTAATCTACGGGTTACATGATCGCTGTCCCCCCCCCGGCCGCATGTCGCAGGTTGTGAAGACGAAGAAGAACAGCCTGAACAACAGATTCCTGCCGTACGACGCCATCGAGACCGAAGCGATCCTGTCCATCGACGACGATGCACATCTTCGACACGACGAAATCATGTTTGGCTTCAGGTGGGTTTTATGCAAAAAAACGCCCTTGGGCAAATGGTGTTTTGAAGAGGTTGGACCGCATTGGATTATTCCTGCAGAGCACTGAGCCGGCTCCGCTGAGACCCTGGTTTTAGCCCGCCCGTGCTGGAACCAGGTTCTCAAGTGTGGTGGCTTGACGATGTCAACCTTGTCACCAATGACTGCGCAATCACGTTACGTTAAAACAATTTTTATTAAATAACTGCTTTCATTGACGTGCGATCACACAGTCTTTGCCACATTGTAACGGTTATCACGCTGGGCTTGCAATCTAGAGGTCGCGAGTTCATTCTGCTGGCACGGCACAGTTGGAGTAATGGTGCAGGTGCCTCTGTATACCCCTAGCAGTATGAATCGGTCATGAAGAGTTGGCCAAAATACCCTCTTAGAAGGGGTCTTCTCACGGAGGCCTATTTCACCAGCAGTGGCTTGACCGATCGGTTTGCAGCGCTGCTCCTTTACCCTTTGCAGGGCATATAAAAGGTGTGCCTCCTGGTGTGGCTTAAAAGAAGCCCATTCGAATGGCTTCAGTCGTCGTTCTGTGATGTTATCTTCAAGGGCCTATTCTGACACGCGGTGGTGGGGGAGTTGCCTGTAGTGAGGGTTACTGAATGGATATTTGCTCATTTCTGCGGATGCCCGTAGCACAATTGGATTGTAATTAGGTGAGGATTAAAACACGCCATTCAAAGGCTGCGAATTAACACATTCAGTTATTGGAAGCCTTTGCTCAAAAACAACAAAAAATGCCGCATTCGTTTTCCCCTCTCTCAAACTGACCAAACCAGTCCAGTGGAGGAGTGAGTGGGAGGTGTGGTGGTCAGTGTCCGGGCACATGTCACTTGCTCAACGCGGAAGCGTTTATTTTGGTGTGGCTTTTGCTTTGAACTGATGCGACCTTTCGCTCCTCCACCCCCCCCCCCCCCCGCCTAAAAGAAAGGTCGGCAACAGGTTGGATAGTGGGAAATAAGGTGCGTCCACTCTCGCTGTCCAGCCACCGCGAGCAGGCCACACGAAACATTGTGGTTGCCAAAGGTGGAATGGCGTGGACCGTTACATTTACATACAGGGTATATAGTCATGAACACTTGCCGTAGCTTTTTTGAGAGCAGCAATGCCTGATGGGATGGCTAAAATTTGCAACCCTTTGAATTGAGGGTCGATGCAAAAATATGCCCACACATTCAGCTCTTAAGCTGGTGATCTGGACAAGGCTGAGAGAGCATCGAACATGCAACGTGGTGACCACGTGGTATATAATGGGTGTTGTGTCTTCCTGTTGTTTGTGAGCAACACACCAATTTGTTTGTATCCAGCTTGCACACAATTTCCTTTTCCGATGGATTTTCTCAATTTACAGAACGATGTAATTGAATTTCACCCCCTTTCTTGTTTCCCCCTTATTTATTTTACACTGCATGCGTGCGCGTTCGCTGGCTGGAACGTCAAATTGCATCTCTGGTGGTGTCGCCTACACAACGCCCTTGACGGAACGCATGGGGGTGGTGGGGGGGGGGGGAACTCTCCCGGTGTTTCTCTTCACCTGGGTGATTTTGGCGCCCAGGGTTTGGCGGGAGGCACGTGACCGCATTGTGGGGTTCCCCGGGCGCTACCACGCCTGGGACTCGCTGCACCAGTCGTGGCTCTACAACTCCAACTACTCGTGCGAGCTCTCCATGGTGCTCACAGGGGCAGCCTTCTTCCACAAGGTGAGATCTGCTCATTTGCATTTTAATCAACCCACGGGGCATTCCCTTTATAGTTTAGACACGGCCCAAACAACTGAAACGAAACTAAACTATGTTTTTTATTTGACCAGGTAAGGCCCACTGAGCTTATTACGTAGCTCTTTTTCAGAAGTGATCTGGCCACAAATGATAGCTCAACGAAGTGGCTTATCACGTTGAAATGTACAACACCCAAATACTCTAAATGCACGTTGATTCTAAATGTGGTGGGAAAACCGGGAGGACCCGGAGAAAAATCCACACAACCACGGCAAGAGAGAGAATATACAAACTCCAAATATACAGGCGTCAGGGTCGGGATCCAATCCACGACGTCCTGTACACCAGATGAGGTCGTTAACATCTCGCCACGCCAATAAACAGCCCTAATCTTGCAGCTGTGTGCCCTAGGCCCATGTTCGCGTGCTGTGCAACACAGGGCTTGAAGCTCCGCTGTTGAGATTAAAACTCTTTAAGAAAGAATTCTCTAATTGGAAGCTGTAGTGAGCCACGCCATGATAACTCTTTCGTGATGCAATTGTGACGCCACTCCCACAGTTTAATATCGCCTTGCGGTCATCTCACCGAGAGACTAACTAGTCATGCGTTGTAATAACTTTGTTTTATTTCATGTAAATTAGATGCCGATTTCCTTTAGGCTAATGCTCAACGAATTAGCTGGAATAAATTAGAAAATACGGATGAGTCGGACAGTAGAGATGAGATGAGTTATTTCTTAAATATAAACACGACCCCAAATTGTGAAGTTCCCCCTTCCTCAGCAATCCGTGATGTCAACTCCCTGCCCCTGTTCAAGTACGGGCTCTATACCTTTTCTTCTGTCTAGCGGATTGCGTCTCTCTCTCTCCATATCAAACAAATATGGCCACTGTTCTTTTGTAGCATCTTGAGACACAGCCGCATTTTGACGCTGTATATTTTATACATAGATACTGTGACTAGAGAAACTAATGGCCCTGCGGGTGGTGCGTTGTGCTGCAGTACTACGCCTACCTGTACTCGTACGTGATGCCCCAAGCCATCCGCGACATGGTCGACGAGTACATCAACTGCGAAGACATCGCCATGAACTTCCTCGTCTCCCACATCACGCGCAAGCCGCCCATCAAGGTGATCTTCCTCCAGTGTGTTTTTTTTTAAGATCTTGGTTTTTTATTTTATTTCCTTTTCTGTATTTAATTGCAGTTGCGCTACTGCTCCATGCCATGGGAATTCTCGCACGTCGCAATGGATTTGCCTCGGTTCTTAAAGAACGGATCCCTGGAAAGGTGGCCTAACACAGGTCTGGTCCGATCTCTGGTCCGGGTCTCCGTCCGTTTGCTCACTTCGCAGGTGACGTCCCGCTGGACGTTCCGTTGCCCGGGCTGTCCCCAGGCGCTCTCGCACGACGAGTCCCACTTCCACGAGCGCCACCGCTGCATCAACTTCTTCGTCAAGGTGTACGGCTACATGCCGCTCCTCTACACGCAGTTCCGCGCCGACTCGGTGCTCTTCAAGACGCGGCTGCCCCACGACAAAACCAAATGTTTTAAGTTCATATGAAGGAGGTGGAGGCGGAGGGGGAAGAGGAGAGGCGGTCCCCGGTCATCGTCTTTGCCACCGACCCCGTCGTCGAGCCTCGGCGGGGGAGGCGGGGGGAGCCTGTGTGACACCAGGGGTGGCAGGAGAACGATCTGTGGAGATTCTGCTTTGGGTTGGTTTTGGACGCCCCGTCTGCAAGAGTTGCGGGCGCCTAAATTATTCCTGTTAGAACTGAAAGCCCCTAAGGCTTGCGCGCGACGATGTTCATCGCGAAGAGTCGCGCGACGCCCAGAGAATGTGCCCAAGGGAAGCTCGTATCGACTGTCGGGATTTGGTTTCGCTGGTTGACGCCTATTTATTTCTCACACGTGACTTGAACCCATCACAGGAAGCGAATGCCGAATGCAGTTTATGACGAGTAAGTACTGTATTTATTTGTGGTTCTGTTGACCTCCCCCTACCCCCCACCCGATGATGTAAAGGCATAAGTGGCTTTCGTATTTTAGATGTTAAACACGGTATGCTGCCAAGCCACAAAAGAAACATGCCCCGCTACGCAGGCTGTGTTTCCATTAAACAAAGCGACGTTCGCAAATTTTTCGTGCAATCTTACCGCATTATCCGTAACAAAGGTTTTTTGGGTTACATCACGTAACTATAAATGTGTCGTTAAACCCGCCACCACCCGACACGGACAATTAGTAAGGTTTGTCTCGTAAACAGAATGTGCCAATTCGTTACTAGTGTACAGCACACCGTTGTTGTTGGAGAGCAAATCCACAAGATTTACAATCTTGAGTGACTTTTCGCTAGTAATTACAACTCGCTTCATCAGGCGACAGCCAGATAATGCATTAATGCATATTAAACACACTGTAACCGATGACTATACAAGATTATACACACGCATATATATACTGTAGCGTATTGTTAACAAAAGACGATAAAAAAAAACTTGCACTTGGCAGGGAACCAACATTTGTTGCGGCTAAATTTCAATGGAAACGGACACAAAACGGCAAAATAAAGATATAGATATGAAACTCGCGTTGGCACAGACGGCCAATCAAAAAAGCAGGCCGCTGAAAAAATAAATAAAAGCCGCTGACCTTTCCATTGTGCTGGGATATTGCTAGGCGGCGACCTTCATCTAACAATGGGCGAAATAAAATTAGACCGGGATTTTGGTGATTATTCTCCATTTGGCGTGGCACGTGATTATCAAGCTGTGCCGTCCCCATAAGTTGCGGTGTCATCGCAGCCACAAGGCTCATTGTGAGCACTCCACCCCGTAATTATATTGTCATGGTTTATATACTCTATATATATATATATATACACACACACGTGACTCATTGCGAGACTCGTTATCATTCATTTTCATTTTCTTACCACTGCTGGATGGAGACCTCCCCATGACGTCGCCGATTGCCTGTTACTCCGTCTCCGCCGTGATCACCCTCTGCGGGTTATTTCCTCCTTTTTGGCTACCATGCCATCGCCAGCCTCGCCCATCGGCCATTATCCCACTCTTGTGATGTCTCGCCCAGGGCCACTTGGACGAAACATCGCTACGATGTCTCTGTTGTGTTCGTCTCTTGGTGTAATTCCCAGGCATGTACCTCTGCATGCTGCTTTTGCGTACTTTTTCAGTTTTTTTCTGTCATAACTGACATTGTGCATCAACGGACAACACTTTACGCACATTGGTATGCTTCTTTTCGTTATGAACTTTTAAGTTTAAAAGCACCACATGCTGCCCTCACTCACCTCGTTTATTTCATCATTTTGATCCTGGCCTGCCTTAAACAAATTGTCAAACTTGTCTCTCCAACAATTATTTCGTTTTATTTAGCAAAGTTGTACATGACCGTTGCTTTGGAATTTGCATATCAACCGTGCAGCCTTCTCCGTTGGATTCTTCCATCATTTCACGTCGTAGTTCACTGCCGTTTAATTCTTCGGACTGTCGTCAGCACATGCGGGATGGTAGATACTTTATTCGATCGATTTAAAAAAGAACAAAAATACGTTGTAGGGTCGCTGTGAATCTCTTTGGTGTGAGCGTATCTCTTGCCCCACTCCAGTGTAGTAACCTCCTCTATCTGTAAGAAATAGATTTTAGACCAGTGCTATGTATTGTTGGATTAAGGGGCTCGGGGTTTTTTGCGAGAAGTTGAGCGCAGTGGCGTTTATGTTTGGCCGTCTGTACGGGAATCTTTATTGGCGGTGGGCAGTGGTGGGTGGAAAAAAAAACCCCGTGGAAACCCGTATCGCTCTTAGTTGGGCACAACGCGCATACGCAGACCCGATTGCACGGACGGGTTATGTACGTTGCGAAAGGAAGTTAATGCGACCTTCAGACGTGCAGCAAAATAAAGAATTAACCGCATTTTAATGGAAACATAGTCATCCCGATGACCTGCTTTGATAAAACCGGATCTGCCGGAGGCTTTTACATTTCGACCGACTTAACGAGGTTAAAAAGGCGGACGGTTTTATTTTGTTTTTGATGGACTTTTGTCACTCATGCCCGTCGCTTCTAACAATTTTTACGCCCTCATTGTCATCGCAACTTTATTGACACGGAGCCATCTGTTCATAAATATCAGTTCCACTGCGATGACATAAATGCAGATAAATTAAAAAACCCTACGGGAACAAACTTGGCGTTTAGTTTTGTCTCCTGCAACAGACCGTGCTCGCTCCGTTGTTCCCGTAGCGGCGAGAGCGCCAATTGTACCCCATTGTCTCGCCACATCCTGGACGGAACTTTTCTGATCTCTGTAAAAAGTTGAGTTTCGCTTCTACATTATATATATGAGCAGCTGTGCAAGATACTGATCGAAAACATCAAAAGATTATCCTCTATTCTTTTTTTAATATTCTAAACATTCGATTTCGTGTCTCCCGAGTTCTCGGAGGAGTTTGCCGGTGGCAGACTTTGATTGTGCTCGGCAAGATGATTCCACTGTGCAAGTTGTCCCAGTTGTGCTGTGTATTTCTTTGATGTGACTTGGGGTTGTGCCCGCTACGCGTTGTTAGGCACGATGCTCCACATATTCAGGGCGGCACCTGCTGGAATCGTTTCTTGAAATGTTCCAGAAGTTCCTCTGCATAATTGGGGAATTGAATTCAGACCCCACCCCCCCCCCCCCAAAGAAGAAGCTGCCTAGCGTGCAGAGCGAAACGTCGGACATCACGCAGAGCAACATGCGGTACGTCCCCAAAATACAGGGGAGCTGCCCCAGGTAATTGTTGATGTACGTTTCGTATCGTTATTTGATGTAGCCATAGTCACAATTCTGCCCAGCCATCGTGTGGTATATCGACAGTGTTACTGTATTTGACTAAATTTTGTATTAAAAAGATAAAAGGCGATTTCAGAATGTGCTCGCGCGTGACAGCAAGCGTATTCCCGGCACGTCGCACCGGCGCGCCGCACCGATGCGTCTTACCGATGTGCCGATCGGAATTCGGGCAAGTTGCTGCCTGACCACCGGCGAGGTGCATTTAAACCGGGTCAACGTTTAAACCGGGTCAACGTTTAAACCGGGTCAACGTTTAAACCGGGTCAACGTTAGGCAGGTTACACTGTACTCGATTACAATATTACGATAAAGACTGACGATTTTTGCGAGCCGTTTTTATATATATACAGTATATGTGTTTTGTGTGTGAAATCCTGAGGTTACTCACCTCTGAACGGCCGTGAAGAAAGTAATGTTTACATAACATGTTGTCTATGTCCTGTTGGCGTGTGGCACGATGCCGATGTTATGGGATGCCTGTAGTTAACACAAGAGTTGCATTCTCTTGTAACGTTGTGGATATTGTCGATTCAATTAGGCTAAGTGATATTTATTCAATTTTTTTGTATATATATTTTTTAAGCTTTTATCGGGTGCGACGCTTGGTTTAACCCCACGTCACCATTTGTCCACCAGAGTGGGAGTCAAGGTCCCGATGTGGGTAGACGTACCCCGTAAGTCTTACCCGGGAGAGCCGCGTGTACAACGTAAGGATTATTAATGCCCATACTTTGTGTTACAAATGCAAAGCTATATTAGCTCCATTGTGTGTGATTTTCGTACGTGGGCGAGTTCCCCTTTCGTGGGGCTTGGCAGCCACTGCTCCTCCGACCGTCGGGCAGTTGGCCTCGACCAAATGATTAACCCGGCAGCTTCGGCTGCATCTTCGTCGTCGTCGTTGGTGAATGCGTTTGTGAACTGTGCTACGGTGCACCCTGGCCCGGAGGGAACCCCTCGGCCATCTCAAAACGGCACTCGTTTAATGCCCTGACGGCAAAGCTACATCCTCGCAATGTCAACAGGTTACAACGCATGAACCCTTTCCCGTTCCGATGGCGTACGTGTACGTCGTCAGAAACGGAACCGGAAGAAAAAATGTAATAACTTTATCGCTACTGAGGCTCTCCCCCAAGGCCGTGCGGGGAGGGCGTGCGGCACAGTTTGGCGCCAACTATCATCGGTGTGTGGTCGTGTCCCTACGGTTCTCTGCGGTGAGTCCAATGTCTTTAAAAACCACCGCGCAATACGCTTCTCTAAATAAAATGAACGCTGAACCGTTTGCGCATTCCGAGATTCAGCGGTGAACGGGACACCACCCCCCCCACCCCGCAACTTGCCGTCGTCTCGGAAAGGGTTGGAGGGTAAGAGGCATGGTGAGGTGGTTGGCAACACTCACTGCTACGGAGCCCTAAGACCCGAGTTCGATTCCCAGCCATGGTAAAACGTAACTGGCAAAATGATATCCGAACTTGACCCTGGCCCTGTCCTCTCCCTTCACCAAGCTGCACTGACCAGCGTGGTGAAGCACGGTTGAACCCCTTCGTCGGGCAGGTAGGGGGGGGGTATATCGCGGTTTGGGTACCGAGCGACGAGCGGAGGAGCCGGGACCCCACGTTGCCCACGAGGGTTGCCACAGCTCTGTCACGGCCACGATAGAAACCACTGGAATAAAGGCATCGAGCACGGGACGTTGAATAAAGTTTTATAAAATGCCCATCGCTGCGAGTGTGATCGTCCAGTCGTCTCTTGCCACCAGGTCAACCAACTTGCGTTGTTTCGCACCTCCGATATAGCACGGTTGTGCTACGTACGTTGCGAAGGAAGTTCAACATACATACAAGCTGAAGGGGGGGACGCCTCTTGCCCACTGTCGCGATGGAGAGAAGACTGCACGGCCAGTAAAAAAGCACGCCAGAGTCTTTATTCACGTACGACTGTACAGGGGAATTGAACGCTGAACAACATCGGTGGAGCTGGTTTTACAAAATCAATGTGGAAAGCAAGTGGTTGCTGAATATCGTTTGACCAAGGATGTTTTGCTATTTACTGCACACCCCAGTATTAAAATAAATGTGGATAGTTTGAGGGGAGCCGTTTACGTTTGCAAGGGTGCCATGTGGGGGAGATGTTAACTACCTCGCCAGGTATACAGGATGTCGTGGGTTCGATCCCGACGCCTATATATTTGGAGTTTGCATGGTCTCCCCGTGGTCGCATGGATTTTTCCTCTCCACATTTAGAATCAACATCACATGTTTGGGGTATTTGGCTGCTATAAATTTCCACAAGGCACTTGTTTGAGCTATTTGTGGCCATGTCCCTAGCTGTAGAGCTCGGTGAGCATTACCTGGTAAAATAAAAATATTAGTTTTTTATATTTGCACAAAAGCCCCACGATGAATTGTCACCATAACGGGTCAAAATTCCCCATTTCAATGTCTTGTTGGTCTCATTTTTGTAATGTTTGCTCATTTATGCTGTGTATCTTGTACCGTTTCTATTTTACTTTTGTCACCTAGTATTGCATTTATACTCCTTTGTTCTGTCGTTCATTAATACAATTAGTTTGAGAAGAAATTACAGAATATCACATGCACACATTCGATTATTGTATCATGAGCGAAGTAATCAATTTTATTTCAGCTCATCATACATGCTTCGAAACTGTGTGCGCAAGAATCTTGTGTTTACCGTACATCGTAATGACTGTCGCGGGCACTTAGATCCACCACAATGTGTAAACAATTGTAAAAAAAAAACCCATCTATATTTGAATTGAATCCCGACTCATAAGTTGTGACAATTCATTGAACCACAACTGGGATGTGGGTCCAGAAAGATAAATAATCCATTCTCTGCATGTATTAAAATTGTTTGTTTTATTCGATGAACGTGCGGAGCAAGGAGGTATAACTTACAATAGCTGTGAATCTGTTATAAAATAGTGCGTTCGTTTGCGCCACTTAGCCTTTCGACTCCAAAGTCAAGAACAAAAATGACCTTTATAATCTGTGTGCTGAGCCAGACACCTTTCAACCTCTTTCCTCATCATGTACCACCCCACCACATACAGCAGAGAGCAATGCAGACACATCCGGTGTACTTTACATGCCGTAACATTTTCGCTCCCCACCGTCAACCCTTGCTGACCGGCGTGGTGAAGCATGGTCAAATAACCCCCTATTTTGGATAACCCCCACGACCTGCGTGGCATGGAGAGGTCCACATCCTGCAGTGGCTTGACAAAGGAGAGCCGTGTGTGTGGAGCAACTGTACAAAAAATATTTATTTTTTAAAAACTCCACGTTTTTGTCAATAACAGTGTCCAACAGAGAAATGTGTTTTAAATTGGAAACCGTTTGGGCCACTGCCCAAACGGTTTCCAATTAATAGCAGATCTCCCTCTCAGGCCATAGCCCATAGCCCGAGACGTTGCCTATTATATATTTGTTTCCCTCCAAGTCAAAAGTCAAATCAATCTCCAGCTCCTCAAATGAGCAGTGAAGCGCTCATCTCCCATTTACAGCCCTGAGCCATTGGTGCAAATTCCACACTTCTATGATCGTGGGCGAGTCAACTGGACATCTTTAAAAAAGAGCTTCATAGCTCCTCAGATTTCTCCAGGATAAATATTGTGAGTCTACGCATCGCACAACAACCACTGTTGACTTCCCCACAAAGTGGTAGAAATTTTATCGACCCTGGACGGATGATGGGTTTGGTCAACGCTCTGGACTGGGATTCAAACTCGCGAAACGTGTCAAGTTAGAAACACGCATTCGGAGCATTTGGCTGCGATACATTTCCACATGGTGATAAGCCACTTCATTGAGCTGTCATTTGTGATGGCAAGGTCGCTTCTGAAAAAGAGCTCATAAGCTCAGTGGGGCCTTACCTGCTGAAATAAAAAACAGTTTAGTAATAGCGTGAAGTTGTTGCGACGTGCGCTGCCATCACACCGGAGTCAGAGCTTCTGCAGCAGCTTGAGCAGGACGTCACGCAGCTTCTGCCGCATGATCTCGTTGTTGGCGCACATGATGTGCGTGGAGTCCTCCGATGCCTGGATCACAGTGTCCTCGCCCGGCAGGTGGATCACGTGACCGTCCGCCGAGTCCTCCACGCGCGCGTCCATTATCCCGTGCTGCCAACGCCGGCGGCGGCCCGAAAATGGGGAAAAAAATAGAAACGTACGCTGAGCTTCTTTCGCACCGTGCGTAGCCCAACCGTGCTAATCGGATGGTGCGGAAACCATGACCATACCATGCGGTTAGGTTCCTTGATAATTCTTTTTTGGTTTAATGTGACTTAAGAATCAAAGGAACCCCCGCAAGATGTGTTCATGCTTTATATACATCGTAGGTAAAAGGCAGCTCAACACTGGGCATTAACCTGCCAGGAGGGGGTGCAATTATCGCTGTGCAATCCCAATGAATTTACCCGTGCGATTTTTACGAATTCCGCAAATTTTGACCGTCACGCCGGCGCACGATGGCCTCCTGCTCGTTGCGAATGGCGCGTCAAATATTTTTTAACGGCCCACCGCGTCGCAGACTGCATGGATTCTGCGTGCATTCTTAACCAGGGGGGCCTGCCGGATTCTAAAATGCAAACATCGGCAAGAAGCTGCTGCGGCGGCGAACACGCCACCGCCGTGCCGCGTCAACGCCACCGTTAGTCGGGCACGGCGACGGCGGCGGCGGCGGGGGGGGGGGCTTGAGAGGGCCGTCGTTTCACCTTCGCCAGGCTCTGCAGGAACTGGTCGATGGAGAGGCTGCCCCACAGCAGCGGCCTGGGGGGTTTGCTCTCCACCGCGTCCTCGGCGCACTTGCGCTTCCTGATGCCGCACGGCTGCGCCACCTTGGGCAGCATCTGGGGTTAAGAAAAATGCTGTGAAGTGACTTTGTTTCCAGCTTGCACGTAATTAAATTTTAATGGATTTTCTCAATTTACAAAAAATGTTGAGATTTGAATCTCAGCTTTTTTTTAATCCTTTATATTAAGTTCGCTTGCTTGCCTTGCGCGCTTACGACCGTGCAAATCTTTCGGTAGTTTTTTAACCCACTTCCCGTGATCCAATCGAGCAGACATTTTGCACACAGACTCGTTGTGCGTGACAATTTATTTTCGTGAAAAAAAATTCCATAACTTTACACTTTTTAGGAAAAAAAAAATAATATTGAATTACCAATTGCTTAATGGTGGCAGACAATCATCTAACCCATAGGTGGCAGCTATCTCAAGCCAGAGGACGAGAGGACTCTAGCCGCCATGCATATAAAGGATTTATAGTGAAAAACTTAGTTTTTACGGGTTAATTTTGTTTCCCACAATTTAGTTCTCACTGCGTGCGTGTTCACTGGGTAGAACGTCTAGTTTGTTGTCCTTCCCCTCGCACCTCCGATTAGCACGGTCGGCTTACGTTCGGGTGCGAAAGAAGTTCAACGTGCATACGTAAACGGACGCGGGCGTTCCCCTGCCTGCCCCTTGGGAAACGCGTGGGACACTTCCGCGTGGAATCTCCTCGGGGGCTATATATCTGCACAACAATCCGTAATGTTTGGAGTTTCTCCTTGGCCGTTCCAGCGATTTCAATGAATGAGAATTAATTTGAAATGACAAGTAGATGCGCTGCTTATTGTATCTAGGTTATGCGACTTAGAATGTACATTGTTTACCTTTGACCCAATGATTTGGTCATGGAACCGCTTATCCGCTCTACCATGGAAACTATGCCGTCATTACAGCTCCGTCATCAATTGAAGATAATCACGTGACGATGTATAGTAAAACGGGCGACGTGATTATCGTACGATATATTGTTGCGTCGCCATATCTCGCTCGATTAAAGAAACATGTCGTTACCTCATCTGTGACAACTTTAAGTCGTGCTGTTTGTTGCTGGTCGCTTAACGTTTTGAGACTATTGGGGGCTGTGCCCGGCAACGGTGAGTCAAGTCAGTATTTCAGAAACCCTCGTGATACGACACTGGCTTGGTGGGGACGGTAGGGTGGGGACGGTAGGGTGGGGACGGTAGGGTGGGGGCGGTAGGGTGGGGACCGTAGGGTGGGGGGGATGGTGGAGGGGTGGGGTGCGGCACGACGTTATCACCTGCAGCGTGTGTTTGTTGTCGCGGGTGGACAGCGATCCCACCACGGTGGCCACCGCGACGCCCGGCTTGATCTCCATGGGGATGAGGGAGTCCGCCAGCTGCCGGTGGTGCACGAGACGGCAGCAACGTTACAGCTGGGACGGTTCGTCGCGCGCCTCGACTAAAAGTTGAAATCGACCACTCATTTGTTGTTGATGACCTCAACTTTGAACTAAGACACCCTGCCTCAACAAAGGCAGGAACCCCCCCCCTCCTCCCTCTACAAGGCTACGCCATGCGTGACACCCAGCTGATGGTGTGATACATCATCTAATAAAGTTATCTCTTTCACTGGTCGATTGTTATTTACAAACACACACCGCGTGTTTGTGTTGAATCGTTAGGCTACACAAGCAGGCAGTCTCTCATTGTTGAATAATTACAAGAGATAAATCGGTGGTGGGATTTAAAATTCAATCATTAAGCTCCTCAAGAGGGCAGATTGTTCCCTAAATACCGAGTCGAGCCTGTCTTAACCGAGGTTCACTTATTCGAATGTAATCCTTAATTGGACATGATTACAATCCTAATTAAGCTTAAGTGCTGGGTATTGGCTATCCAGTAAAGACGCAGAGCTTATACATTAGCTCAGACAGGTGCTTACCTAAAATTGGAGAATAGATTCATTAAGCTTAATTCGAACCACAATCGCCTGCAGCGGTGAACACAGCATGCAACGCGGTGCTGCCCTGCTCGTAACGCTGAACCTGCCGCCACCCTAACACGAGTTTGTTCCACCATAGCTCCGTTCAGCCCATACTCCTGTGCCTTTCTATTCCCAGCAACCGGAGGGGATCGTCGGTAGAGGCTATGGTGGTGGTAGTCGTAGCGGCAGTGGTGGTGGGGAAGGTGGAAACGTACTCTTAGGTTTTTTTCGGTAAAGTCACGTAGGTAAAAATAAATAATAAAATGTAATAATAACAATAATAGAAATAATAGAAATAAAATAAATCACGACGTTTCGGAGGCAACACAAGTCTCGGTCATCAGGTGGGACCGTCACATCTGAATTTACTGTATTAAGGTATTAAGGTGGAAACGGTGGCGTGGGAGGTGGTGACATTGGTGGTAGAGATGGTGGGGGTGGTGGGGGTGGTGGGGGTGGTGGGGGTGGTGGGGGTGGTGGTGGGGGTGGTGCGGGTGGGGGTGGTGGGGGTGGTGGCGGGGGTGGTGCGGGTGGGAGTGGTGGAGGTGGTGGAGGTGGGGGTGGTGGTGGCGGTGGTGGAGGTGGTAGCATTGATGGTGACGGTAGCAGTGGTGGTGGCATAGGAGTTGGTGCCATTGGCGAGTGGCGGTGGCGGTGGCCATCACCTCTGGCGCGATCTCGATGCGCTCGTAGTGCCGCTTGACCGGCAGGGAGATGACGTCGGCGCGCCGGTAGGGGAGCGGTGGGGGCTGCGAGTCGACCACGAGGTCGGTGCGGTGAGCCTGCGTGGGCGGCGGCTGCGTGTACTGCTCGGGGCACACGATGTGCAGAGGCTGCGCGCTCACACAAAGACAAAGAAACCCCATGTAGGCTTAACAGGCTGTTGGGGCAAGTGCGTTACGTGAGCACCTATGAAGGCTGGCACGGTACACTAGGGGGTGGGTGGCCAGCACCACGCCCGGCCGCCTTTGTCTCCCCGGTTGGCGATATTTATACACATTGCCAGGTATTCATTTGAGGTTGAGTCGACTTAGGGGAGGTCCAGGACCGGTTTAGATAATCGTCACTGCTGCTGGCAATGAGCGGGAATCGAACTCGGGTTGCCGGGTTCGGGGCACAGTGCGCTAACCGCTACACTCCCACTCCCCACTACGACAAAGACATCCACACAGACACACACACAGTGCGACAGGTGAACACGCGAACACAATGAAACCCAGCAATGATTCAATGTTATAGCTGTACAGGGAAGTGCCTGCACAATTCGTTTTTCTAGCACCCATTCATGTACACTACCGCTCCCCACGCGCACACACACACACACACACATAGATCAAAGGTCCCCCGTGTAGCCTCTAAGGGTCTTCTGAGGCAAGTGCTCCCGAGCGAACGCCTATGAAGGCCGGCACGACGCACGAGCGCGTGGCGTGGCCAGCATCATGCGCCTGGCCGCCTTCACCTCTCCAATCCCGAGTTTTACACACTGCAATCAAATTAAGGATGAGTTGATCAGAATACTTATTTATTACTGGAGGAATGCGATGAGCTGTAAAACTCTTTTTCACAGATGTCCAGTAAGGGAAAGGTCTAAACGTTACAAGGCTCAGGACCGGATCAGATAGCACTCACCGCCGACGCTGTAGCTATCCCCGATTGGGAATTGTAACGCGGGGCGCAGGTTGCGCTAAAAAGCACGTGCGCTCGTCCGACGAACGCGGCACGGTTGCCGGCGTGGCCTTGCAGCGCAGAGGAGCGGGAGGTCAGCGGCACGCGAAACGAGCGCGGGAGGTCAGCGGCACGCGAGACGAGCGCGGGCGGCGCCGTTACCTGCAGGTCCTTGAGCAGCTTGGACACCTGCATGAAGTTGAGGCGGGTGTCGATGGGGCAGTACACCGCCTTCATGGCCAGCGGCTGGTACGGAGCCAGCGCCTCCATGTACGGGAAGTCTGGCTCTGAAACCGCAGTCGAAATCATCATCGTCGTCGTAATCAGCCATGATCTAGGCCTTCGAAAGCCGCCGCTTTCTCTCGCGGTCTCGCGAGGCCGAAGGCTGTCCGGCTGATTTTGTCGCTGCCCACATCTGCCACGGTGGGCGACGTCTTGGGCGTGTCTCCTCTTGTTGGCTGCCATTCCATCGTCGGGCTCGTTCATCAATCATCATCCCTTCGAGCAAGCGGTATATCCTGCGCAAGTCACCTATCTTTTTTTCTTAACAGTGAATATGCTCAGAGGCACAGCAATAAAGTAAACGGCCTGATAAGTCTCCGATTTTGGATCCTTCCTACGCGCAGAAAAGTGTATGAGCGCTCACATTTTCACGCACGTGCGCTGGTTGCATTGGTACGCGGTGAAATATTTTTTTAATGCTTTTTGAAAGTATATAATTTCCCATCTTTCCCAAAAACTATAAAGATGTGGTCACTGTTATTAGTAAACTGTGGTAAGTTTTACCGTAGTTTGTTTAATTCGTCGAGTAAGTCGATCAGTCAACTCAAACACACCCCGAAATGTTGCCTCCCGAGAGCAGGGAAACCCCCCCTCCAAGCTCCGCTCATTGTGATGCGTGTGACGACGCTGGTGATGTCACATAGTTCCGTCCATCGCCTCCAGTCCAACAGGAACACACGGGAACCGGAGGCGATGCTTTTTTCCCCAAATATTTCCGTGTCAAAATGATTAGTTGGCTTAATGAACCGATAATCGGTACAGTAATCGATTACTGAACTAATCGGATATCCCAGCTTCAATAACAACCCAACAACAACAACAACCCATCGGCTCCCCTCACGAGTAAAAGTTTTGAATGCTATTGGAGCAGACACGCCCGAGGCGGGGACACATTTAACACTGCCCTCAATAAACACATGCATCCAGAGGGGACGTTAAAGTGAGACCAATTAGCAAAGCAATCTCCATTCGTTAGCGCACTGTCAGAAATTTGTTGAACACAATTACACCGTGTTTAGTATGCACTGTGGCAAGAAGGCATGAATGATGTGTGTGTGTAAGCGCACGCATGCACACTCAAGGAAAATTGGACAAGGGTTCCATTTCATTCCTTGCCTAAGGCCAATACAAACCGTGCAGCGCCACTCATTAAAAAGAGATGCGTCGGCTTGCACAGAGACACTCAGACTTGAACACATGCTCACAGACTTGCATAGATATCCACAGTCTCGCATAGAGACATTGAGACCGATAGCCCTAGAAAGACTCGGATGACAGGCCTAGCTATCGTGGTGTGCGGGCGTTGCAACGGCACCAGGGCCTAGCCATCGAACAAAGACGGTGGTCACCGCATCGCGGCGCTTTCAGATGTGCTTCTGCGGCCGTCTGGAACGCTCTTCCTTCCGATATTAGGAAGCCACTGGAGCTATGCACTTTTAAATCATCATCTAGGTTGACAAACTAATTTCTGCGCCTATGCCAGCCACACTCCTCCACCCGGCGTAGCGGTGGCACCACGGGCGCTGGCGGCGTACCCGTGAAGATGACCGTGTTGAGGTTGTTCTTCCCCCACAGCTCCAGGAAGTGGACAACGTCGCCGCAGCGCAGCGACGGGTGCCCGGCGAACACCACGCACGGCTGCCGGAACTCGGAGCTGAAGTCGCCGTGGATGCTCGGGTAATGCTTCAGCCGGTTCATCTGGATGAGCTGGTTGGCGCACGGGCGGACGGGTGAGCAGGCAGACGGAAAATACAGACGAAGGGATGGATGGGTAAACCGGACAGACGTCCAGATGGATGGACAGATGGATGAGGCCGACGGACAGACCAAGGAACACGTGGATGGACGAACGAACCAGGGATGGATGGAGGTGGAAAGACATACGTGCACATGGGCATACGGAGATGTGTGGAGAGGAAGGTTGTGTCTGCGGTGTGTGTGGTCATGGAGGCTTCCACACTACCACTGGCAGGTTCGAGCCTACGTGTCCTGGCATTCAGAGTTGACACGAAAGTTAACGAATGCTCTTTGAAAATGATCTGACACAACGCCTCTCTTTTGCCCGGGGAGACCTGGGTAATGGCACTGTGCACGTAGCTCATTGTAGATTTGCAAGCGCTGTAGTTACACACGATTGTTTAGATTTGAGTTTGCGAGACTGGTACGCAAGAGTACTGAAGAAGTCGCAGGGCGGCTGACGGCTGGGAGGCTCAGAACGTGAGCCGGCAACGCTCACGCGCTCGGAATTAAACGAGCTCCTCAGATGTCACCGAGTCGATGGCCTCAACAAAATTAATTCACGGATTTACCCACGACATTGTGAACCGTTCCAAGAATCTCGCGTCACACGAGGGCGGTTGCACTCTGCTAGCCGTGACAATTCACCATCTGATATTCCCTCTGTCACCCCTGTGACGCAAAGGGAATATAATTGGGAGCAAAATAATGAATGAAAACACAGCACGCACGCATGCGGTGAAAAAACACTGACCTCGCAGCATATGACCTGCTTCGTTATGGCCCACAGCATTAGCAGCTGACTGCGGGATTTGACCTTTGCGAACCCCCTTTTAATCTGGCTCAGCGGCGAGTGCGCTGACCGCTGCGCTGCCTTCATTTGCTGCCGATTGGCAAAGTGAACGGCTAATTGGCAAGTGCCACCGCATCTGGACATGGCTCCATTAGGCTATGGCAAGTGTATTTTATTTATTTATTTCATCGTGCACATGTAGAGCACTTGCGTCAATCCACTGCGTGGCCTTAAAAGGGAAAATATATAACAGACGACGTTTTGGGCAATGGCCCTTCTCCAGAGGACTTGTACAAAATGTGCATTCTCAATCGCTGTTGTTGACCACCTGCCTTGCAAGACACGGCACCGAAATCTTTTCAGATCGATCGCACGAATTCCAGAACGATTATCACGCGAGAGTAAGACAACGGGAACAATGACCGTACCTCCGCGTGAAGAAATGGCGGCTCTGGCAAGTAGACCTTGGATTGCTTGGATTGACACAGCCTGCAGGAATAAAAATACGACCTGTCACGAATGAAAACGCGTGCACGCAAACTTACACTGTCGTTGGAATCACTGCGGTGAATATGGGTCATAAAAAATACTGATATATTCGTGAAAATACACATTCTTACACTGATCAAAGTGATTAATGCTTGCAATATAAACAAGTGGACAATACAACTCCTTGCCATATCTGCCAACCCTCATACACAAAAAATATATCCTGCAATTTCCAATGCACTTTACAGAGAAAACACCAAGTGTAGATCCATAATACAAGTGTTTCGGGGTTCGATGGCGTAAATATAAATGTGTCGTTAAACCCGCCACCACCCGACAATTAGTAAGGTAACCAAGTGTAGAACGTTCGACACGAAGCCAGCAATGGTAAGTCAACGATCTGCGCCCCGGGGGTTCCTACTGCTGAATCAGAGTATTTATTTATACTGGAGGAATCCGAAGAGCTATAAAGCTTTTGTTCACAGATGTCCAGTCGTTTCACGGATGCCCGGTAGTTTCACACGCCGGCTACGACGCTGGCGGGTGCGGCCATCACCGCAGCGACCGCTTGCGCGCGTGAAGCGCATTCCGTTCACGTGCAGCGTCACGACCAGCAACGCAAGACACACAGTGGACGCCCCCGCGCTGTTCCGGCATGCGACGGCCGTTAGCGGCTGAGACCGCTCGAGCAAGTACACGCCCTCTGCCGGCTCCCGCCCCCCGCCTTTCCGTGTTCCCCACACAACCACCACAGTTCTATTTCACCCCCCCCCCTCCCCCCCGCCGCCGCCCCACCACTCGGCGAAGATCTGCGAGAACTCGAGGGAGCTGCTGGCGACGGGCGAGATGAAGTAGAGTGGCACGGAGGAGAGGTTCGCAGAGTCCATGTACTGGTAGAGGCACTCCAGCAGATCGTAGATGACGCCCGACGGGAAGCAGGGTACCAGCACGTTGCCGCCGCTCCTGATCGTCACCGCTGCGACGTGCAACCACAGAATTTTAAGTGAATTTTTTTTACCGAGATGTTAACTACCTTGCCTTGATACAGCAAATCTGGCTGTGACGGTCCCACCGGATGACGGAGACTTGTGTTGCCTCCGAAACGTCGTTATTTTTATTATTTTATTTTTATTAATTTTAATTTCATTTTTTACCTACGTCATTTTACCGAAAACACTAAGAGTATGAATCCTTGCAGTCACGAAAGCTTCAATTCTAGAATTAGGAGATGATCGGTTCGATTCCGACCCTGACGCCCGTTGTATATTTGGAGTTTGCCTGTGTCTCTCTCTCTTTCTCCGGGTACCGCCGTGTTTTCCCCTCCGCATTGAGAAACACGCGTGAAAGTATTTGGCTGCTATAAATTTTCACGTGATAAGCCACTTCACTGAGCTATCATTTGTGGCCAGGTGGCTTCTGAAAAAGAGCTATACAGCTCAGTGGGCCTTACCTGGTAATTTGTTTTATAGTATTCATGTTTGTCTGTTCGTCTCTTATCTGTGGTTCTTCAAAATGTTATGGTTAGTTTTATCATTCGGTTAGAAACACTAAAGTCAGTGTTCTCCAGTTTCATGGTTGAAAAGTGGTTGAAGTTCTTCCCAAATCCTGGCCAGCTGGTTCAACAAACTTAAACAAACAAACAACAGCAGCTTTCATTTGTAAGCCGCTGAATAGCGTTAAGCAAACATCTAGGAAGTGCCGCAAGATTGGAAGGGTACGCATTGGACAGCGGGCAGGGGAAACAGATGACCATGGAGAATGGGAAGCAAGTCAGTGAAATAGCGGGCCATCAAACAATGACGGTCACTGCATCGCGCGGCGCTTTCGGATGCGCTTCTGCGGCCGTCTGGAACGCTCTTCCCTTCCAATATTGGGAAGCCACTTTTAAATCTAGATTAAAAACCTACGTCTTTAAAACTGATTTTTGTGTTTAGTTTGTTGTCCTTCCCCCGCACTTACGATGCCTGGAAGTGTTAGTGCACATTAACATAAGTGTGCAAGCGAGCATGAGTGTGTGTGCATGAGTGTGGGGAGCAGTGGTGCTGAGGTTAGCGCTCTGCGCTACGAACCCGGCGACCCGAGTTCGATTCCCGCTCATGGCCAACACCAGTGACAATTATCTGAACCGGTCCTGGGCCTCCCCTACGTCGACTCGGCCTCGAATGAGTACCAGGTGCGGTGTGTAAACATCATCACTTAGGAGACAAAGGCAGCTGGGCGTGGTGCTGGCCACCCACCCGCTTCATAGCTGCTAGCTAACAGCACTTGCTTGCTTCAAAAGTCTGTTTTGTTATTTTAAGTGTGCAAGTGCATGCACACTTAGTCTGCGCTAAGATGTGTGCCCAAGTGAATGTGCAGCGCGAGAGAGGCCTACGAACGTGAACGCCCGCAAGAGGCACGGGCTGTTTTACATAACGCTGTGTTAACGCGTTTACAATGCGATCCTCTCGTTTCCTTGCAAAGGTTCCTGCATTGAAGTCCGATACGAGAACCACACTGCCAACGCACAAGTCACAAGTGCTCGAGTGCGCCAGGACTATGCAGCCAATTGCTAAGAGCCAAATCGCACCGGTGATGGCAATTTCATACACGGCGCATCGACGGATTCTCATCAACTGCTATCTCACGGCGAGAAATGACACGAGGCTGCGTCGGCTCCTAATCTAAATGTTCTTGCCGTGCGCTGTTGCGGTCTCCTCCGTCGGTACGCACCAAGGTTGCTGCAGAAATCCCCCACCATGTTGTCCGGGTTTGCCAGCGGGATCTGGGTCAGCCCGGTCAGAATCATCGCGTCGCTGCCTCTGAGCGGTGCATGCTCCATGGGCTAGAGGGGAACAGGGGAAGACGGGGAGAGAAAAGAAAACAACGGCGTTATTGTCCATGGAGCGATTTGCACCTCCGCGGTAATTCGATTCTAAACTACAAAAACGAAAAGCATTTTTTTATTTTACCGAGTAAGGCCCACTGAGCTATGTAGCTCTTTTTTAGAAGCTACCTGGCCGCAAACGATAGCTCAACGAAGCGGCTGATCATGTCAAAATTTAGAGCAGCCATATTACTCTAAAACGCGTGTTGTTTCTAAATGCCGAGGGAAAAACCAGAGGACCCAAACAAAAATCCACACAACCAAGGGGAGAGAGAGAGAGGCATGCAAACTCCAAATATACAGGCGTCATGGTCGGGATCAAACCCACGACCATTCGTATAACAGGCGAGGTATTTAACATTTCGGCACTGTGGCGCGCACATTGCCATGATTCGGAGCCTTCACCCAACCGTACTATTACTCCCGAGCCGTCCATGGGCTGTTCCTGGCCCATCAAAGTGTATAAACGAAGCATCGCCGTTCCTGATTCTACTGCTCCCAGGCACGGTCCCTCTGCAGCTGACTCACCAACTGTGAGCCGCCCCCTCCGGCCTCCTGTGGCCACCGCTGTCCATACCTGCGGGTGAGTGGTGAGCAGCGAGGAGCCGGACACGTAAGCCACCTTCTCGTGCTGGGACTGGATGAGCCAGTTGCAGCTGCCGAGGCAGTAGCCGGAGCTCAGCGGCGTCACGGAGACGGCACCGAACAGCTCCTGCGCGGTGGGGCAAGAGCGCTTTCTTCGTGAACGGCGAGAGAGAGAGGGACGGTGACAAAGGCTGGGAGCGTGAGTCTGTTCCCGGTGTGAGCTGACAAAGCGAAAACCGAAAACCGCAAGCCTCTTGATTTGAATAAAAAGATTGATTTTATTAATTTGTATTCGAGTCTTATTGTTTCCACCTTTCAAATAAGTGTGGGGCAACGCCTATCTCCCGTTTCACGGTGTTGAGACGGTGGAGGAAATTCCCCACTGCTAACATGGCGGGAGTTCATTTTAGCGTGGTCAGGAATGACGGGACGAGAAAGAAAGCAAAGAGTGCTACCCGTCTCGAACAAGCAGCGGGAAAACGTCAACTCGAATGGCTGGGACACGGCGTAAGAGCGAGGAAAAGCACATCGGAAGAACGGTGATGAACACGTCAGCATCGGAGGTGTCCCTCGAAGCGAAGCAAGGGGCATGAAGGAGCGTGGACTGGATGTGGAAATGTCTCAGAAGAGGAGTGGAGGAAGAGGAGCAGAGAGGCAGACCCCACGTGGGTGACAGCAATGGCAGGAAGAAGTAAGCTATACATCAGATATCTAATTATATTCTTTAATTCCTGAAGTCACGAAAGCTTTAAGTCAAGATATGTAATTGTTATGTAATACATCAGTTAGGTTTAATTTTCAAAATTAGGCTCTGGGCTACAACATTATAAAGAAAACATTGCCTTTGCTGAAGAATGACTTCACAAGGTCGAGCAGACGAGCTCCACGTTGGTTAGCAACGCCCACGGCAGCTGCACAACCTAATCTCAACCTCGTGTGCGTCAGCTAGATTGTAAGCGGCAGTGACCACCAGGCCACACACACACACACAGACACGAGGATTAACCTGCCGTACACTCGGATTAAATGTGCCACATCCCGCGTGATCGACACGGCTAACCGCGGCGTGGTTTCTCAAACCCGCTTCACTCCGGGATGCCCTTGTATGTAGCGGGGGGGGGGGGGAAGTCATAACCCTTGGGGGATCAGGAGAGCTGTTGACAAACCTGTGCTCTCACCTCGAGCGGGCTGGGAGAGTAAGAAGTGGCGTGGGCACTGCAGAAGTAGCGCTCAGGCTGAAGAGGCCCAAGCGTGGGTGTCTGTCAGGACCAATGGGACTTGTATTTGTTTTGTTCTGCCAAATTAGCAATTGGGGTTGAACGGTGATTTGCGTACTGCACTAGGGACCCGGCTAACGTGAGTTTAATTACCTTCCACGGCCAACATCGGTGCCGAGCAATAATTGAACCGGACCTGGATCCCACTTTCGCCAACGCACGTTGACTAGCATGGTGAAGTATGGTCAAACAACCCTCTCAACCGATACGGTGTGGGGAAGCCTTCATCCGACAGTGTATTGCCGAAGCAACATTATTATTATTATTAAATTTAAGTAAGCAATTTTTTTATAGTGAGCGATTGAGAGGCACCTCCTGGTTAAATACATTGAGTTTTAGAACAAGGGAATCAATTCATATAGAACGCATGGCAGCCCGTGTTTCCAGAAGAACATGGAAATGGTTATTGATTCCCCGGCTGCATCTTAGGACTCTCAGTGCCACCCACGCGGACGTCCAAACTGCTACCCCTCACACCCAACGGCGGTAACCGATCAATGTCGTTTCCTCCCCGTCGCTTAGGAATGCGAGCACCGTCTTGACGATGCTCCAGGGGGCTTGCCACCCGTAAGTTTGAGAAATGTTGATAATTAAAAAAAAAACGTGTGAATGAGCGATTACATCTTTCGCGAGGTTCACCTATTAAGCGTTCTAAACGCAACCGTGAATGTCATCCGTTTGGTCGAAGAGCAAACAGCGATGTCTAAAACATTGCCATCCGTGGCATCCCGCGGCGGACGTGCCCACTGCCTTGAGTGTGCTGCTGCGGAAACGACGACCAGACCATCGACCACGCAGCAGCATTGGGAACGTTCAATGGAGGAGGGGGGGGCATCAAAATCATCCGTAGCACGTCAACTGAAGCCTTTTCCTGGCAACCAAATGTACGCACAGGTTTTCATCCATTCTGCGATATGACAGTAACATGTTTTCTGAAAACGAATTTCTTTAGAACTGCTTTTGTGTTTAGTTTTTCCTTCCCCCGCACTCCTATTGTGTTTTTGGATTGTTTGTTGTTGTAAAGTTCTGAACCACCCCGACTGGACATCTGTGAAAAAGAGCTTTTAGCTCATCGGATTCCTCCAGTAATAAATATTCTGATTCTGACCTCCGATTAGCACGGCGCAAAATAATTGCAACATACGTACACCAGGTCCTCCGGCAGTCGCCCCCTCGGGCATGCACGTGGATGACGGCTGCCGTGTCCGGCTAATCCAGGTTGTGCCTCGGGTTAATCCCCGCCTCCTCCTGCACCTCGCGATCCGCCCGCCAGCGCGGGCAGGCGAGCGGCACGGCTGGCGGGCGAGCCAACGAGCGAGTTAGCGAGCGAGCGAGCGCGTAAGACACCCACCGTCCTCTGCGAGTAGCCGACGAGCTGCACCTTGCTCAGCGCGGCGTTCACATCGGCCATGCCGTAGCACTTGCGCCACGCCGCCACCTCCGCCGCGTCCTTGAGCGGCGCCGGCAGATTCCTGCAGGGGGGGAGGATGCGACTGAAACCGTGCGGAGGTTCCGGCAATGGCTAGGACACAGCGGACTCTCTCCGTTTGTTGGAACCCGACTCTGAAATCGCACAGTTGGCTTCCGATTGCTAAATAGAGCACAATTAAATTTTCCTTCTTCTCCGCGAGCCGACCCCACTCTCCGGGTTCGATTCCCGCTCACGGCCACCACCGGTGACGATTATCCGAACTGGTCCTGGGCCTCCTCTAGGTCAACTCGGCCTCAAATGAGTACCCGGTGCGGTGTGTAAACATCGCCATCGGGGAGACAAAGGCGATTGGGCATGGTGCTGGCCACCCACCCCCTCGTATGCCTTGCCGGCCTTCATAGGTGCTCGCTAACAGCGCTTACCCCAACAGTATGTTATAGGCTACACGGGAGATCTTTGTGTTTGTGCATGCGCGCTCAGTCAAGGCCGACCTGAGGATGTCCTTGTTCTTCCACTTGCATGCCGTCTTGGGCTTGGGAACCCGCTCGACGAAGGACACGAGCTCCTCCATGAGCTGCCTGCCGGGGCAGACGCACAAACCCGCCAGGACGCATCACTCACTACGCACGCACAAACGAGCACGGCAGGTGCCCTTGTCTCGGAGTCCTCATCGTTGACACGTAGGCACTTTAAGATGTTACTTGTTCATGTTTTGTTTGTTGCGGTTGCACCCGATTCAAGAGCCGAATGGCTCACGGGGCTATACCAAATAAATAAACTAAAACTGACTGATTAAACTCCCACAACGAGCCCCAGGGGCTAACGCTGCTGGATTTGTCTATTTAACTGAGTGAACGCTGACGGCTTATATGTTCAATTTCCTTTTGATGTGAATTATTAATAATTTAAATAAGCCACATTCATACATTGTATTTGAGTGGATAATAATGTATGGTTATTTAATTCACCCAAGGGAAAGATGGCATTCATTTCCCAGTTTTCAAGAAATACCCTGGTAATATAAATTAATAATAATAATAAAATAAGTGGTTTTGTGATAGTGGTGGCAGGGTTGATGGTCGCGGTGGTGGTAGCAGTGGTGGCATTGGCAGCAGCAGTGGCCATGTCGGTAGCAATGTTGGTCGCAGTATTGGTAGTGGTTGTGTGGTAGTGTTGGCAAGGTTGGTGGTAGCGGTGGTTGTGGCTGTGGTGGTGTTGGTAGCCGTGGTGGCATTGGCAGCAGCAGTGGCCATGTCGGTAGCAATGTTGGCCGCAGTATTGGTAGTGGTTGTGTGGTAGTGTTGGCAAGGTTGGTGGTAGCGGTGGTGGTGGCGGTGGTGGTGTTGGTAGCCGTGGTGGCATTGGCAGCAGCAGTGGCCATGTCGGTAGCAATGTTGGCCGCAGTTTTGGTAATGGTTTTGTGGTCGTGTTGGCAAGGTTGGTGGTAGCGACGGTGGTGGCGGTGGTGGTGTTGGTAGCCGTGGTGGCATTGGCAGCAGCAGTGGCCATGTCGGTAGCAATGTTGGCCGCAGTATTGGTAGTGGTTTTGTGGTAGTGTTGGCAAGGTTGGTGGTGGCGGTGGTGGTGGTGGTGTTGGCAGTGACAGTGGCCGTGGTGGGGTAAGCAGCGGCCGGGGTCGGATGGAGACGCACCGCCCGATCTGCAGCGTGGGCTCGGTGGCGTAGACGATGCCCGTGAAGCCGGTGCGCTCCGTGACATACGGCAACGCCATCATGCTGTGGTAGTTGGAGATGAGGATGGCGTCCACCGTGGAGAGGTCGATCAGCTCCGTCTGTTTCGCGCCAGGATGTACGTGAGTATGTTTGTACGTACGTTGAACTTATTTCGCACCGTACGCAGCCAACCGTGGTAATCGGAGGTGCGGGGGAAGGACAACAAACTAAACACAAAAAAGCAGTACTGAAGAAATTAGTTTTCAATCTCGATTATTTAAAAGTGCATAGCTCCAGTGACTTCCTAATATCGGGAGGAAGAGCGTTCCAGACGGAAGCAGAAGCGCATCTGAAAGCGCGGGGGTGAGTACAATGTCTTTAAAAACCACTTGCACGGTCTGAGAATTAGCGTTGAACGAGACCCCCCCCTGCAACTTTCAGACGTCTCTGGACGGGAAATGGTTAAATAGCCGACGCTATTTACGTTAACTATCAGGGTTATAAGTTAACAGTTAATGCCGTTCTTCACCACAGCGTGGGCGAGTTATCCCTTGGGGGGTTGATGGAGTGGAGCATGTACCTCGGGTATGCAGAACTCTGGGGCAGAGTCTACGAACGTCCGGCCAGCACATTCCTTCAGCTCCTGACAAAAGACATCATCCGCGCAAACTCTCAAGAGCAGAAGCGCGGCACGAAAAAATACTTGCCGGATGATTTGGCCGTGGGCGGTCGAATTTACAGAAAGAACAAAATGCTTCAGTTGGTGGGTCACCCATAAAAATGTGAAGCGTCAACCGATTCTTGCTGTTTTGTACCGCCACCTATGTAACCCAAAGATTGGGTGTACTGTGTCATGAGCTGTACTGTGTGACGTCTGTACTGTGTCATGAGCTGTACTGTGTGACGTCTGTACTGTGTGATGTCTGTATCATTGCAGGGTGCTCACAAAATAGAAGCTATCAGCTCACTGGGCCCTGCCTGCCGAAATAAATAAAATCCATCTTTATATTATTTTCAAGATTTATGTAATGAAAACACACTCCAGGATTTGGTGGATTTATCATAATTTGCGTTCATGATTTGATTAAATAATTTATATTGCCTGACTTGTATATTCCGTCTTTTTTTTTGCTGCGTCTGTTTCGTGCCATCAGCCCCAAGGTAAGGTTTACATGTACGTTGCATGGCTAATCGATTCTCACACGCATCATTCAGTGCACGTAATTGTGAGCATAAGAATCTATTTCTGTTCACTGGATCGTTACAGACTCAATTTAAAAGCCAAACGATTTACGCAACTGTCAGGAGTGAACGCTTCCGCCGCCACTGACCTTTTCCAGTGTCTTGTTTCCGTCTTTGGAGACCCAGTTGGGCAGCTTTGCCAAGCGAGCACTGAGAATGATAAACAGATAAACACACACACACACATGCTTTACTTATCCCAACAATGGATGCGTATCCTAGCTGGCACTGACAGTAGGCGGTTTCACAGAACAAGCAATGAAGGTTTTTTTTGTCTTTGAAGAACAAAAATACATACAAGGCAAAGGAGCGGCCCCCCAAATTGCCTGCTCACAATGCTGCTGTCGAATTGCTCACCGCTCCTTTCTATCTTATGCCATTTTGGCCTTAATAGCTGCTCATTAACAGAACTTGTTCCTTACAGCCCACATGGCTAACTGGGGGATCTTTGCCCTCATTACGGTGTAGATGTAATTCAAGTTTATATTACTCAGTCTCAAGACTCTTTTTTCAGGAGGGTCCTGCATTGATTCCAAGGGATAACACGCACATTTCTACACGGAAGGGTTCACTATCTACTTCCCGTACTGCCACTTCTGGCCACTTCACAGCCCAGTTGGGATATGGGAAGTTTCACGAATCTCTGCATGATCCACCAACCCTTGCCTCCAAAGGACTGGATTGCACGTCTGTGCCAATCCACCCGGTTTTGAAATTGAAATGCTGTTATCCATCAGAACGTGCACACTAAAAGTGGGCAATTGTCACAATTTCTAGCCGGAAATCGCAAATCTTCTCCTGGAAACAAATACGTTTCCAATGCCTGCAGTGGATGCCCACGTACAACATTTCGATATAGATTCTGGCCAATATATATAGAAGCCGGCTGGGAGAGAACTCTGCGGCCACTGACAGAGCTCACCTGTGGACGAGCGTGAGCGGCAGGAAGTGCAGCGCCGACGAGAAGTCCAGGCCACAGTCCAGCATCACCGTGGTGGCCTTGAACTTGAGGACGTTACACGGCAGGGTCGGGTGCCCGGACAGGCAGTACTGTGGACAGCGATAGGGCGTGTGCTTGGGCACTCAGGCAATCGTGGTTTCAACTCGAGTGGTCGCCCTCATCGTTACCGTGGGCGTAATCAATGGTGGAGCCAGGATTTTCAGGTAGGTGGGGCAACCCCTCCAGCAATGAAACATGATAGTTGTTAGTAAGGACTTGTCCCTTGCTTTTTATTTGACGCGTGTGCGGCAATGGCGCAGCCATCGATCGAGGGTCGAATTCGAACCATGTGTGATCGGCATCGCGCTCACTGAAGGTATGCCTTCAGGGAAGTCGTGTACTGTATACACAACTGCGCACAAATCTGTGGGTCGCTTATAACTGCTTTCCCATTACTTATTGCCAATTATGGGCTCAGACTATTGTCCTATCATCTCATAGAGTCCCTGGCACGTAATAATATGCTACAAAGTGGCAGTGGGATTTCTATCGGATCATTAGGGGGGCACGTGCCACCCCACCCCCCACTGGCTCCGCCAGTGGGCGTAATGACCGTGACAATACGACACTCCCATAATTGCACAGTGGACGTCAAAGATCCCCTGATGCCATTCGCATAAGTGGGACATTGTGTGCCGGAGTTATGGTCCAAATAAAAAAAAAATACCAGCTAATTCACCGATTAGGATAATAGAAAAGCAATCGTCACCCCCTACTGGCAGACTCCTGCCCCAGGTCATTCTTTATAAATGAGACTCAACCTGGTCTCTTGAGTATCTAACCTGGTTCAACAAAGTAAACTCAGGGTAAATCATAGCTGGCAGTAGTCACCAAGAGTAGCTGTTGTAGCATTTTCTATTGTAACAAAACATTGCTTGCTTCGTGGCCAACTGTGATGTAAACTCCAATCAGGTCCACAAGACTTCCCAAGGCCGTGTGCTCTCCTGACCAATCACTCTTCGTCAATCATACTCTTCCACAAACTCTGTTTTCATTGCTGAGACTAAATTCTGTCACTCCATACCACCGCTGTGCCGAGTTGCAACAGTTGGTCAGAGTAAATGCTTTTCCGGTGATGATTGCTGGAGACAATTGCCCAAAAATTGTCTGAGTGTATCACGGTGTACCGGTGATGGCATCAACCATCAGCGACAACAACCGCCGTTCACCACTAAGTGGCGGTGACGTCACCATGGAGCTTGTGCTATGATAGGTGCACTTTCAGGCCACGTGAAGTGTCGACGGCCCACTGGCAGGAGGTCATAGGACAGACCCAAGTGCCATGGGTTGACTGAGACAGCTGGCGGATGCACCAACTGTGCTCCCCACTGTGAAAATTCTCTGCGTTTTAGCCGCTCCGCTCGTTGTTGTGAGCGTCGCTCCTCTGCCCTCCGTTGTTACGGGAGGGCGACTGCCTCCAACTCCTCAGCAGCATCTTTCACAAACCTACTCCTCGGAGGCCGATTTTAACACCGCTGGTACCGGCCATCGGCACATGCGACAACACATCGAGACAGCAACATTCTCCTGACGTGTGTGGGTGTTCTCTGGTCTCTCTGGCTTCCTCGCACATAAAACACGCTATTTTAAAAGGTGGCGAAACATCCAAATGTAGGAACCTAATGAAAAAGTCTTGAGACTTAGCGAGGCTTTCCTGGATAAATGACGTTGCTATTAATAATACGCTGCACTGCATTTGGGTGGAGCGGTGGCGCAGAGGTTAGCGCACTGCACTATGAATTGGGTGAGCCAAGTTCGATTCCTGGCTCTGGTTCACATCAGTGGCAAGCGATGTCATAACCAGTCCTGGACTAATCAATCACTTTATAAAGGGCTGTGCATCATACATTGACGATAAATAATAATACATTAATAATCCAGGCTGATGTCTGATTCTCAATCATCCACATTCATTGTTACAATAAGGAGCTTAAGTCCTGGCATGTGGAAGGAGCTTACTTCTTATCTTATTCATCCCCATAGCTAATTCTTAGTAAGTAATGAGGCCAGCATGCTCCATCATGTGATCTGCTGGTGAAAATTATGCGGGTTTGTTGACATGTGTATTGCAATGCGACCGCCATGCATGGCAGGTTGTGATAGCATGCTGGGCAGTGCATGCAGCAAATGTCATTGTTACACTGTATTTATATGCTCCTGCGTCTAAGCTCCCCCCCCCCCTTCGCCGTCACCAACCCGCACTGACCGGCGTGGTGAAGTATGGCTACATAACCACCAAGACCTGCAATGTCGGGTGACTTCGTCCGGCAGTGGATTAAGGGTTCTGTCTATACATGCAGTATATTTCATTGACATGTGACTATCTGCCTCGAAAACAATTGGGGTCTCGATGGGCTCTCTCCTGTGGGTTTACGTAAAGAACTTATGATTATGATGATAGTTAGGGCTGCGGCCATAACTCCGCCTTCTAACTTTCTTTTAGCCTCTTTTTTTGCCAACCAAATGTAATCATGTCTCCTCGAACGATAGAATAAATAAGCCAGCTCAAAGTTGAGCATTAATACGGTTTATAGTTTATCCAGCCTGCAGCTTATTTGAATACAGCCCAAGGATTATTATCATCTTTGCCATCCTCGCTTCACTCCAGCCAGCGTGTCACCGAGTACGTCGGAGTGCAAACGTTGTTCACATCCTCCAATCCCTCCGCTTTCCTCCGATTCCCTGCATCTCCGATGAGGATGGTTGGCTTCCTTACGATGCGAAATAAATTCAACATAGACACATGCACCACCCTCCAACTCTCACCGCTATCTCCCAAGTCCCTTGGCATTTCACTCCACAACTTGCTTGGACGACCCTTGCTCTTTGTCCTTTCCCCTGTATACTCATTCAATGTCTATTGGCAACCGATTATATATTATTAATTCATCCTATGAGAATAGGTTTTCCCATTTTTTCTGGCAACAAAACAGGTGTTAAGATGCTATAACACCAAACTGATTCCTTTGACAAGGAATCATGTCTGCATTAACCACAATACTTGTGGTCAGAATGCAAAAAAAAACATACCAAGATATTATATGCATTGTCTTTGAAACTGATTAGTCCACACCAGAGATAGCTTTCTTTAGAGCCTAGTCTCAAACGGTGACCAGAGGACGCCAAGTATTGTGGTTAATGCAGACATGATTCCTTGTAAAAGGTTTCAGTTTGGTGTTTTAACATCTTAACACCTGTTTTGTTGCCAGAAAAAAGGAGAAAACCTATTCTCATATTTTGCTACTGGCAAAGGAGGTCCCATTATTTCATCCTGTTTCGTGTGTCCGTACAATCATATATGTTTTTCTAGAGCCTACAAAAGCGCAGTTTACCATCAACATTTGACAATGTGGACCTTGACAATGCAACTTCTAAAGTCAATCAATGTAACTGGATATACCTGTTACATTTCACATGTAATAGCTATACGTGTCACCACTATGCAGTGCCCTAATGCAACATCTCTAGACCCTCTACAGAGGCACAGCATCTTGAGTGATCCATTTCGGCCGAGGCTAAACTGGGGTAAGTCTAAGGACCGGGTTTAACGCATTGAGTTATAAATCTGAGCTTTGTTGCATAAAAGTGCCCAGCTGTTGTAAACTGCACCCCCACCTCCCTCTCTTCCGAAGACAGAGCTAGAATAATGATCTAATGAAGGTATTGCTGTAATGATGGTTATCTGAATCTAACACTGCAGAAACATAAATAGGTGCTCAAAACACAGTCTTTCTCAATCGACAAGGTTACATGTCACGAGCCCTTTGTCAATCCACTGCTGGCTGAGGGCTATTTGACCATACTTCGCCACGCCGGGTTGGTGAAGGCGGGGAGCATAGACGTGGGGACATAGAAGTAGAGTACAACGATGCATGTTGACGTACTGCCCTCTGCTGCCCACCACGTAGCCCCGCAGTAGTCTATAGCACCCAGTTCTACCCCATATACACATACATGTAACAATACCGTACACAAATCGCTCTAGATTATATACATGCCAATGACCACTATTTACTCAGATGTGTTGTTATATATACACTGACAAAAACAAGACAAAGATCCCCCGTTTAGCCTTAACAGACTGTAGGGGCAAGTGCTGTTAGCGAGCACCTATGAAGGCCGAAACGGCACACGAGGGGGTGGGTGGCCAGCACCACGCCCGGCCGCCTTTGTCTCCCCAGTGGCGATGTTTACTCACCGCACCAAGTACTCATTTGAGGCTGAGTCGACCTAGGGGAGGCCCGGGACCGGTTCCGAAAATCGTCACCGGTGTTGGCCGTGAGCGGGAATCGAACCCGGGTCGCCGGGTTCGTAGTGCAGCGCGCTAACCGCTGCACCACCGCTCCCCACAGTGCTGACGATCACTCATTTTAGGCCGAGCCGACTTAAGCGAGGCCCAGTCCAGGCTTTAATGCATTAATCACCCACAGCTCGTGACAAGAGTCGCGTCGGGGAATCTAACCGGGGTCGCTGGACTTCAAACCGCGTGAACATCGCCACTGCGGCTACGGGATTACAGCTTGTCACCAAGCCGACTTCAGTGGCGCTGTCAACAACAGCGCCTCCTGAACAAGGCAGAGGCCTAAACTCTCGTACATAAAACCAGGGTTATGGTACGCTTAGTGAGCGAGGTTAACGGTAGTGAACGCTGCGTTGGAGCACGTCAACCGAGACTTAATCACAGGCCCATCGCGTGCGTAGAGTGAACGATTGTAAACGCATTTTAAGTAACCGCGCCGTGCGAAAAGCAAGGCCAGAATTCAATTCTCTCACCAGCTTCATGTCCGTGTGGGGAGGTTTTTTGTTGTTCTAAGAGGTCGCCGCGAGGAAGAAAACAACACAAACCACCCCCCCCCCCTCTCTCCCCTTCGACGGATATAATATTAATCGAAGTCGCGTCAGTGCTGTGGTATAAACAACAACAATAATAACAACAACGCGCTGCCGTGAGCAGGACAGGGTTATGATGCTCGTCTGAGTTGACTTCGCATGGCCGTGCTCACGCCGGGGTGCGCGGCAGAGGCGACATGCACCGCCGTTGCCGCGAGCTCTGCGTGGGCTCTGTAAAACCCACGTGTCTCTCTCACACACGTGGTGGTCGGAGCCGTCCTCTTACTTAGTGCGTACGTATGGAGTGGGGAGCGGGGGGGGGGTAACACAAATGCGTAGCTTGCGTATGGGGGGGGGGGTCTACTGACAATGTGCTTTCGTGACTGCAAGGATTCATACTCTTAGGTTTTTCGGTAAAGTCACGCAGGTAAAAATAAAATAATAATAATAAAACGAATAAAAATAATAATAGAAATAAAATAATAATTCACGACGTTTCGGAGGCAACACAAGTCTCCGTCATCAGGTGGGACCGTCAAAGCTAAATTTACTGTATCAAGTGATACAGTAAAGTTAACACTTATATGGGACTCGTTTTTAATGGAAAAATAACACCGTAACATGTTAACAAATGTATGTTAATAGCACACCGGTGTGTTGGAGAGAAAAACCATGTAAATGTTGTGGCTTTGTAAATGTTGTGGCTTTGAACACACGGGTGTGCTGTACTAGCAACGAATTGGCACGTTCTGTTTACGTGACAAACCTTACTAATTGGCTGTGTCGGATAGTGGCGGGTTTAACGACACTTTAATATATTTACGCAATCTAACCCAAAAAAACCTGCATTGTAGAAGACTATCTGTTACGAAATGAAAATAGTTTTAATGTATGTACGGCAGTGTTGTATGATCAAATGTTTGACTTCGCAGCAGCAGAGAGAAATTAACGGAAACTTAAATAAAAATAAACACAAAAGGAAGGATAGGCAGCACGAAATTTTGGCACTCGATTTTGTTTAACAAAAAAAAATCATCACAGTCAATACTACTGTGGCATTAGACGGAAATATATAATAGACGACGTTTTTTTGTGCCATTTATTTTTAATGATTTGCTTATCTTTGCACCCATATCGGTATTTGTACTGTTTGTTGTTGTAACTTTCTCACCCGCCCCTACTGGACATCTTTGAAAAAGAGCTTTCTAGTTCATCGGATTCCTCCAGGATAAATATTGTAAAATAAAGAAAGATTAATTGCCGGAAACGTCACCGATTATAAAATATTCCATTTACGGAACGTGTTGAGCTTGATCCTTAATTGTGCGAGCACGCCACTGCTAATGCACGAAATAGCATCAAAATAGTGAACAATTACATTTTTAAATCTCACTCCCGTCTCTCTCGAGTGCATGCTCACTCGGCCACTTTGTGTGACGCGCACCCACATGGCTCGGATC